TTAATGGGTCTTGACTCATTTTAGATCATTATTTATTAGTCCAAAGGTGGAGGTCTCTGATTAAAATTTTTGTAAAAGTTAGATTATTAAAATAAATAAAACAAAAAAGTCAAAGGATGAAATTAAAATTTATCTTGAAGTTAAAAGACGAAAATACTAATTTTATCAAATTTTTTACTACTTTACATAAACTTTTAATATATATTTATATTTATAAATTTTTTTACTACTTTATTTAGACTTTCAAATTTTTACAAAAATTATTGTATATATAAAGCTTATAATACTTAAAATATTATTTTAAAATAAATTATATTTTTAAACTATTATAATTTTATTATATATTTATCATTTTGATATATATATATATATATATATATATATATATATAATTTGTGATCATAGAAATAAATTAAAATATTTTAAAAAATTAATATTTTAAATAATTTTATTATAATAATAATTTATACATAATAATTTATTTTAAAATAAAATACTTAGAAATTTCACAAACTACTAATTAGTTACTAAAATATTCAAGCAACAAACTTAATAAAAAAAAAAAAAAAAACATAGACTATTTTGATATATGATGTTAACATGTTTCATTCCAAAAAAAAAAAAGTACACTCATGTTAACACGCAACTAGCACACCTGTTCAATGCTGATATTTTTCCCCATCTAACATATGTTCGACTCCATGGTAATTATTATAAAAGTACTTGTTAAAATATTATAAATAATTTATTTTATAAAAAATATATTATAGTGTATTGAAAATATTATAAATATATTAATAAATATTTATTAGTTTTAGAAGTTCAGTATAAATAAAAGAAGTTCTATGTTAAATAATAATAAAAAGGCTGAGTAATATACAAGTGAGTAATGTTTCACAGCCTATTTGCTTAAAGTTTTTAGTTGATATATGGTATTTAAGTCTATGACTTGCTCAGTGATCCAACGTGAAAGTGATACTCTTCTCTACGTTACACAAAAGGGCCATATACTTAATAGTTAAAAGTCAAATATAAGAAAAACATTCTCGTACTAAGTAATAAGTTGAAAATTAGTGAGTGATGTTTTGTCTGAGATAGTATCCAAATTCTCCACTTGCTCAATCACCTTACGTTAAGGAAAAAATATCATTTTTTTTAATATTTAGTTTTTTTAAATAGAAAGAAAATTTTAATTTCAGGATTTTACTTTCATTTCAGCCTCCGTGAAGAGTTTGGAATCTTTCATCCATTATCCATTATTTGAGTACTATTGTGGAAATTTTCTTATTAATATTCTAAAAGTAACAGAAATGGGTGTAAATATGTGAATTCATCTTCAAGTCACAAACTGAAAAACTGGGTCTGTATTTTGAGTTATCTTATCACAATTGAAGGAAGTGAGGCATGCATGATGCATAAGAAAATCATATTATCGGGATATAGTATTAAGGTGTGAGTTATTCATGTCAAATCGTGGTTGAAAGGATGCGTGTAATCTTTGAATCTTCTGGTAGACAGATTTAAGTCTATCATTATTTTTTATTTCACTATAAAAAAAATTATTATCGATAAATAAATTTTAATAAGAATTATGTTAGTCTTTATTTAATAAAAATATAAATTAGTAATATAAAATTTTAAAAATTATATTAACAAATAATATATCATACTCATTTTTAATGTATTAATACTGTATAGTATTATTTTATTAACAAAATTATTTATTAGTATAATATATCATATTGTTAAATAAATTCATAATGTTTATATAAACAATTTAATTTTTGTTAACAAAAATCTATACTAACAAAGGTTAATTTAACGTTAAATTGTTAGTAAAATATATTGATAGTATAAAGGATTTTTACATTTTTATTTAATTATGATTTGATGTAAATTGAAAATTATTGTAAAATGATTATTTTAAAAATTGTGTTTAAAATAATATTTAGTTAGTTGAGTGTAAAAAAATTCTGTTGACATATAACAAATTTAGACTATTATAAATGTTTAAGACAAGTATTACGCAAGACATTTATTAGTTTATCATTGATGTATAGATGTATAAATAAAAAAGAAAAAATAAACTTCACAGATTAAAATAAAGATATAACTAATATATATATATATATATATATATATATATATATATATATATATATATATATATATATATATATATATAATCCGGCCTCATTTAAAATATTTTTACAAACAATTTGTTTATTATTTCAGTATCTAAACATCCCAGGTAAAGTGTAAACTACAGTAAGTAGCCCAATATAAAGAGTATGACCTCCAAATCAAAAGAAATTAGAAACACAAACAACGTGAACAATCCCAATATGTTGATTGTACCATTCCCAGCTCAAGGGCATGTCAATTCCTTGATGAACTTCTCACAAAAGTTAGTTGAGCATGGATGCAAAATCATTTTTGTTAATACTGACTTCACCCATAAAAGGGTCATGAGTTCAATGGCCAAGCAAGAAAGTTGGGAGTAAGCTAGGAATCGAAGTAGCTCTCTTCTGGCCTGCATCAGCTACTATGTTTGCATTGCAACAAAACATCCCTAAGCTTATTGAAGATGGCATCATAGATTCTAATGGTAAGTACATCACATTTCACTAACCAATTATTGTTTGGTTCTATTTTCTTAAATTTAAAAAAAAAAAGACTCCACTGGTTGAGAAAGTGTAATTTGGTTTTAGAAAACTATTTCTTAATATTACAGAAATGTTTGAAAAACTGAGAATAAGATTCAATTTTATTATTTTTTTATTAAATCTTTAAAACAAAAAAAAAAAGTGACCATTGTGTTATTATTTTGACAACAGATATTTGTTATATAAAATATTTTCTTCTCAAATTAAACAGTCTTATAACCTCATTTTATTTGGCACCACAGGATTTCCAATAACAAAAAGGACATTTCAAATATCACCAAACATGCCAGCTATGGACACAGGACTCATTTGGTGGTCAAATGTCTACAACTCGACAGTAGAAAAGAAAATATTTGATTATTTGGTACATTGCATACAAAATTCGAATTTGACTGAGTGGTGGCTTTGCAACACTACATATGAATTTGAACCTGGACCATTATTCTTTGTTCCCAAGCTCCAACCGGTTGGCCCACTGTTGAGAAGTTATGAAAATACAAATGCAACTACAAGATCATTGGGGCAATTCTGGGAAGAAGATCTCTCGTGCATCATTCTGTCGTGTATGTTGCCTTTGGTAGTTTAGCACTTCTAAACCAAAACCAATTCAATGAATTAGCTCTTGCACTTGACATCACCAATAGACCTTTTCTATGGGTTGTGCGTCAAGACAATAAGATGGTATACCCTAATGAAATTTTAGGGAATAAAGGTAAAATAGTTGAATGGGCTCATCAACAAAAGGTGCTAAGCCACCCTGCCTTAACTTGCTTTGTTAGCCATTGTGGTTGGAATTCTACCATAGAAGGTTTGTCTAATGGGGTGCCTTTCTTATGTTGGCCATATTTTACTGACCAATTTTATAATAAAAATTTCATTTGTGGTGAGTTGAGAGTTGGGCTAGGGTTGAATTCAGATGAAAATGGACTTGTGTCACGAAGGGAAATCAAAAAGAAATTGGATCAATTGATTAGTGATGAACAAATAAGAACAAGATGTATACAATTGAAGGAGATGGCCGTAAACAACATAGCAGAAGGTGGTAGATCTGCAGAGAATATCAATAGATTCGTTAAGTGGCTGAAATCTTGAAAGTATAGGGATTGCCTTTAATCATAACCATGCAATGTTCTTGAAGATGGAGACGTTTCTCTTCTTGGATTAAGTTGATCTTTGGTATGGTACAATTATGGAATAAAGACTTGTTTATCTATTATTATGGCGTGAATAATATACTTTAAACTTCAAATTGATAATGTCCTTTTAGTTATGCTCAATTGTAAAATAGGATTTAACCTTTTTATATAGTTTTAATTATTTTAAATTTTAGTTTTGTTATGCATTGCCTTAATGATTAAAAATCATAATGAATAAAACTATAAATATATATATTAATAATTAAATACTATAATTATCAATAACAACTTTCCATTTTTGTAACAATTGCTTTAAAGAGATTCTTTGGCAAAACTATTTTATCGTCCATGTAAAAAACTAGGACGTGAATTATGATTCTAAAGTTAATCATTGTTACAAATTTTTAAAATCATAAAATATAATAAAAATAATGTAGCAATCAATTTTAGAAACAAATAAAATAAAAACAGGAAACATTTTTTTTCTGAAACCGAAACAATTTTCCAAATCAATTCAAAGAAATTGATCTTGCACTCAAGCTCATACATTAGACCATTTCTTTGGATTGTTCAGTTTCCAATTGTATGACAAAAAGTACGTACCAAAGTACTTGGTGAGATTGAACGAGACATATGTCCTTTGTAAAGCAACTCTGATATCACTTGTTTGTAAAAAGTATTTGTTACGCCGTTTGACAAACTGCAATATATTTTCTCTAACGATGAGAATGATTGGAGTGAAAACAAAAAGTTGTTTTGAAATCTTCAAAAACTTAAAACAAATTGAAAACAAGCTAGCAATTTTGTAATCAAACCTGAAAACAAAAAATAAAGGCAAAACGTTTTCTAAAACCAAACAGCCTTAAAAAGTATTTATTGGACTAAAAGATATCGTCAGCAGAGTCGTGTGAAAGCAAACATCCATTGAAGATGCCACAGCCCACAGCACTTAAAGATATTTCTACCTTTTTGTCTCAGCTTTCCTATGCTTAATGATGGAGGAATAATGTCAAATGTTTAGGATTACCCTTGTGCAAATTCGCATCATGTTGTAATCAGACAGCGCATTATGCCAGAAATAACCCAGATGGGGAACAAACTGTAACGCGCACGAGTAAAATGTCCGAAGATTTAGCATGCAGAATGAGTTCAAGGTATGAATAAATTCAATCGTTTACATCAATAGCTATTTGCCACACAAAAATAAAGACTTTGTTAAGAACACCTGATTTAAAAAGCTTGACAGTTGCGCCATGGACAAAATTGGCTCAAAACTGATCCATTCCCCCTACACATAAGAAATATATGCCCATATCCCACCATCTCTAAATAATAGCCAATCTATACCTCACTGTACAGGAATTTCTGAAGAAATGCAAACTTTGGAGTCTGCTCCCCCACTGATAACACTGTCACTTTTCCACCAGTCAGCAGACAGTACCTGAGTTGAACAAATGACAATTCTTTTAATTGCAATTTTGGTTCTTCTGGGGCATAAAACAACTATGTGCGAGAGGTTTTTTTTTTTTTTTTCCTCTTTATGCCAAAAACATGGAAACAAAATTTCATACCTTGTCACTGTGTGATTCAATGACTGAAAGAGGCCACTGCAACATTCATGGAGAAAATTATCAGGAAAAAACACAGATGGATATAAAATCACATCAGAAATAATTTTTCTTGTTAGAATAAGGATATGTTACCGCAGTTCTCAGATCCCACAACATAACCTTCCCATCAAAGGATGCAGAAAGTAAATGAAACCAAGATTTATCATGCCATTTGCAAGCTGAAACCCAAGAAGTATGAGAAGCAAACTGAAAAACAGGAGCAGAAGTCCCTGCACAAAAGAAAAATTGCTTTATTTGAGACTAGCATGAGATAGTCTGCAGAGGTGAGCGAAAATGATTATTAGTTTTATTTAACAGACCTGGCTTACGAGGATCCCAGATCCTAAGGACAGGGTCAGAACCACCAGCAGCTATCAGAGCAGAACCTTCGCCACCAATATCAAGGCAGTTGACTACCTTCCCACAGAACTACACAACAAGGACTACCTAATCTTAAATTTTGATTTTTTTTTTTATTGCAATGCTTTTCTACTTCCGATTGCCAAACATAAACATTCTCACCAATAATTATGTATGGAAAATAACTTAAAACAAAAACTGAAGGAAAACATTAAATAGATAAACCAGAAAACATCACATAAATCGTAATGAATCAGATTTATGCCTGCAAAAAAGGTTCCAGTTTTTTCAATATGGTAAGCACTTGAAATTGTATTTTAGATGAAAGAACATTAAAACTTACTCAACATTTCAACATACTAATCCTAAATTAAGCTTAATCATGGGACAAAACCAAGATTCTTCATCACAAGCAAGGTAGTTAAAATCCCGATTTGAATCTTAAAATCTTACGATTTTACGATTTTGGAAGTCTCACCGATTTAAATCGTGGATAAAATCCTAATTGAGTAAAATCCTTGTAAAATCCCGATTTGAATCATAAAACCTCTCAAATTGTGGGATTTTACGATTTCACTTCGATTTTGAAAATTTCTCGCAAAGTCTATTTTGTTGAACCCTATCGTACGCCTCTTTCATATATCTCCTTTTTATGGAATCTAATTTGCCTCTAGCAGCTTTGAACCCTAACATTGTTGTCAACATTCAACAGTCCTCCTAGTGCGTGCAACCTGGTCTGCAACTAAATCTATTCTTGTTGTTCTTGCATCTTTTCTGTTCTGGTCTATTTTTTATTCACGTAAATGCATTACATTCTTATGGAATAAATTATGATTTGTGAGTGCTACGTTGTTTAAGTACTTTTACTTATTTGAAGCTTGTTTCCCTTAATTTATGATATTTTATATGAATAATATGAATTTATATCATATATATGAATTTTATAAAATCTTACGATTTAATTTACGATTTACGATTTTCACTCTCCTTTACGATTTAAAGTAAAATCCCGATTTTAACTACCTTGATCACAAGACAACTTTGGACTTCCCCTCGCCACATAAGCATCATAACCAGCAACCAAGGAAAAATTATTGAAGAACTAGTATGCACAAAATGTAAAGATTAGACAAACTCTGACCTAGAGGAACAAATAATTTCAAAGCCACTAAAACAACGGATTAAGACAAACAGTGCCTTGACATCCATAGCAAGAACAAGAGAAAAAAAAATGATAAGCATGCCCTGATCCAGTTCAAACAGTTAACTGGCAGAGAGCGTCAAATGGTAAGATGAAATAAAGTTTGATCTAAAGACAAAAATGAACACTTCACAAGTGCAAACATTTTAACAAATTGGAAAGAGAGAGCATTAATTTGTCAACTTACTATATCTGTCAAGTTTTTGCCTGTCTCAACATCCCATTTCCTAATAGAATGATCCCATGACGCAGAATAGATTGACTCTCGTTGTGGCCAAACCACAGAAGATACACACTGTGTAAGGCCCACAAGGGTAGTAAAAGCCTCTCCCTATAATACAACAGAGTAATATTAATGAAAACTTAAAGTAGTCCATGAAAACTAAAGAATGATACTAAAAGGAAAAGAAACACAAATTAAGAGGAAAAAACCAGTTACAAAAACTACAAGGTTTAACCATTTTACACGTCTACAATAACATTAAAAGAACTTTGAACTTGTCTTGGAATTAAATAGTAAAATTCTTTATAAAATAGTTTCAAAAACATCTTCCTTCTTAACATACAGCCTCAGTTGCCAGTAACCATGATACTTCACACTCAACCAGTAGAAAATTAACATATCGAAGAAGGAAGTTCACATTTATAATCATCCCCAAATTTCTTTATGCATAAGGATGTTGAGATAAAAAGAGGACTAGAGCACATTATACTCAACAAGCAGGAAATGCGTAACAGCAACATCCTGAACATTATACTATTCCACTTATCAATTACATGTCAGAGAAAGAAGAGTAAAATCCTGTCTCTGGCGAACCCTTAAACAAACTTCTAAATGCAAAATCTTTGGAAGAAACACATTTGTGCCTACACAAATTTCAGTTTCAACAACACAAGAAGATAAACAATAAGGTTTAAGGAACTTGTACAAACTTCTAGTTGAGACTCCTCAATTTGACCTCCAACTTTTCTCTTCTTAGACACTAGATCTTCAGCATTAAAGTCATTGATTTGCCATAGATTGATGGTGCAATCCCAAGAACCTGAACAAACCTATGTATGAGAGACAACAGAAGAAAGTTAATGTTACAAAGCACTATCACTCTACTAAACCGAGAGAAAGATGGTGGAGAAATTAAAAAAAGAAAAGCAAATACAAACCATTTCTCCAGAAGCCTGTGCTGCAACACTCTGTACAGCAGCCTTGTGACCACGCAAGACTTTGTAAGCCCTGACCCTCATAGGATGGTTTACAGGCTCCTCTGTATTGAGCTTTCACACAAACAGAAAGATATAACATAGTAAGCACAAGCACAGCATAAGGAACTATATCAGCAACTTCTTGTAGTTACCTTCCATAGCCTCAGTGTCCGGTCTTTTGAAGCAGTAGCTACTGTAACAGTTTCTGCGCCTGATTACAATACAAATTTTGATAATTAGGAGCAATTCAACTACAGTATTATGCATCTATAATATCATGGAGCAATATGAAACAAAGATTACACAAAAGAAAAGTGCACAAATTTTTGCAGCAAGCTTTCCCCACTAAATTCATGAAATATGCATCAATCACTGCTGATGCACATAAAAGCATAGTCAACAGAGGATACTGCACATATTTAGATTGTGCAATCAACAAAATAAATTTTTTTAAGGAAATTAAAACATTGAAACACTAACTAATGTCATTTAAAGCTTAATCATTTCAATCCTATAAAGGAATGGGAAAAGAAAAAATGTAAATAGTTAATTTAATGGAATAACTTTAAACTTGATAGCCAAGGCAAATCAGCCATAAGCTTTCTTAAACTGTTAGATATAAACCTTATCATTTTCTCATCAGAAATAGATTAAGCATCAACTGAAATTTGACAACTGGCAATAAGAACAGTAAACAAAAACAAAGTAAGCGGCATGTAAGAGAAAATATTTGTCACTATACCTGTTGGATTAATGATACTAACAGAAGAGACAGCATCACTGTGTCCTTCCAATATATGGGAACATAATCCTGCATCTTTCCATACCCTAAAATGTAATTTAACCATAGCAAGGTTCAGCTCAGTGGAAGGAGAAAGTAATAAAATGATAATATCAATCAATTGCAAAATATACCAATAATTCTAGAATAACAAAATTGTACAAGACTATTACCTCCCTAAACCATCATAACATCCTGTCAAAAAGAACCTGCAGAAATAGTAAAACTGTCATGTTTAAATTGTGGGTGAATGACATCCAGGTAAAAAAATCAATCAGCATACTAAAACAACCATAATTATCATACTTTAGCAAGTGAAAGTTACGCAATGTGATGTTTTAAACAAACAAAAAGGATTTACAATAACACCCATTCCCTCCAATGACCAAAAGTTTGAAGAACGTATTCACAAACAGGACTAGGTTGTGTCCTCACTCCTCTGACTACTGCTGTCAACCACAATGCAAATACACCTCATACAGTGAACATATGATAGTGATGATGTATAAACCCTATATTATAAAAAATTTACACCAATCACTCTTGCCAACATCACCAAACATGATTAACAAATTAAAGAAAACCAATAAAAACCAACCACACTAACCTAAATTCAACATTTCAACCTCAGTAAAATCTTCCATAAACAATGGTTAAACAAAAGGAGTTTCTCATACAAATATTGCTGCATTGCTGGTTGCCACTGTGGAGATGCTTAATCACTGGAAATCTTTGAGAAATTTTCCATCAAAATATCTTTAGCCAAACTTTAAGTTAGACCATTTCAGTGCAACAAGTGGCTATTTTTCTCTCTGCTTTAGTCAATTAGTTTGAAATGAGAAGTTAAACTTTTCCAACATCTTTGGGTGTTAATGTGTTATGTGCAACATGTCACATTGTCTTTGTAAACAAAAGAGCAACATGACTGCATATTTTATGCCGCAAAGAACCATACTGCTGAGAGAAAATATTAAGGTATTACAATTTATGTTGAATACATTTAACACATTTGCAAGCTTACCTAGAAGAAGAACCATCAACAGCACTGACCCAGTCATCATGTAAAGAAGGGTCTTCCTCCTTTCGAGGGGCCACAGCCCTTGTGTACTCAATTTCCAAAATCCTTTCCTATAATTGATCATTCAAAACAGTTAGCTATGATCCAATGACATCATAGCGAAAGGTAACAATGGTTTGTTTCCCATGTCAACAAATGAAGAATAAAGGAAATGATCAGTTATCATTCATATACCCAATTCCAATCCCTAAAATTTCAACAATCGCCCATTGAAAAGACAAATCTTGCTTAATTTGAGATTCCTATTGAATTCGCATTAATGCAGAATGTTCATCAAAATCAGTTTTCTATGTTTTGTAGAAAAAATGGTTGAAATGTTGAATATACCATCAACATTGTAATGAATCCAAGTCCAACTGATTCACAGTCAATCAATACAATGCAGTTGTCAGTCAGCAACTTTTGTTACAGTCATATACTAACACAACCTGAACTACCCCATTCTAGCGAACAAGTAAACTTTCACAACCACCACCCTCCAATCCACTGGACCATTGCCTTGGACACTATCACCAATATAACAAGAAAAGCATTTATTTGTTTTATTGATATACATACGACCGTCTCAGGGCACTCTTAACCAAAGTCTAAAAGAAAATACAAAATTAAAACAATTCATTAAGACTCCAGCACACAAATGAAACACTCCTAGCGTACTTATTTAAACATCTAGTTCCCAAGTTAAATTCCCATTCCATGAAACTTCATTCAGAAATGCATTTTCTAAGTCCATAAATAATATCAATTTGCGGTTACACTTTTCACCATACAGATACAATCAATTTTAATTGTTTGAAGATTATTACCGCAGAGATTCCCTTAGCCAGAAGAAACTGCTCGAGCGACATCCGAACGAACTCGCCATCAATCAAAAAATCAAACGGCTCCGGCTTATAATCATCTTATATGAAAAAAAAAATAATAATAACAAAATTAACCAAATTCAATCCATAATTCAAAATTAAGAGCAAATCGCATAACAGTTGTTAGAAAGTGAGAAATGGAAAGTACCGTTGGCTTGAAGGAGAGCGTTGATGAGGGAAGAGAGGCCGAATCTGGTGAGGTCGGCGGGGATGGCAATGGCGGTGGTTGGGACTTTGAAGGGTTCAGCCAACTTGGTCACGAACCGCACTTGGAGCCTCCTCGTGCTACCTTCACCACCCTCTTCGCCCATATTCATCCACCTTCAATTCACACTTTTCTTCTTCTGCTAGGTGAGGTGAAGGTGAAGTGCCAGAGACGAAGACACGAACGAGGAAGAAGAGACTAGGGTTTAACTGTTATGGGTTTTAGTCATTGTTTTGGGGTCTCAAGCACGACGCCGTTTTGATCCAAAGTTCTTCTCTGAGAATAAATATATATTCAGGAAATTACTAGATTGCCATTGCATATTTTCTCTCTATAAAGTATAAACGAGAAGGGTGGACTTTTAATTGTGTCGTTTGTTTTTTAAACTATTTTTAAAAATAGTTTTTATATCAAAAAAATTAAAATTTTGTGTGATTATTGTTAATTTAAAAAAAAATTGTCAATCAAGTTGATCACCGTTTTTTTCATTTTTTTCTTAAATAACAAAAACTATCATTTTTATATAGATCGAGTAAATCTTCAAGAGATCGATCATTATCACTTATTTTTATATGGCTTATATTTACTATTTACATAAAAAAAATTGTTGACGTGAATTTACATTTGAGTGATGGGAAATAAAAATGTTAAATCATACGAAAACTTTAAAATAAAAATGATGTGACTTAATTTATTTAGTTTTTATAATATACGTGACTTAATTTTGATTGAACAGCACTTTTTTTGTGTATGGTTATTTTTTTCAGAGTTAACATTCATTTTTTTTTAATCTATTAGTCAAAATTCGTCCGAAATAAGTTGGAGCACACAGGTTATCCTGTGACAAACAGACACAAAACAAGTTTTAGGCAGAGTTTATGCCTGTTTGATATAATTTTGATTTTTAATTTTTAAAATTACATTTTAAAATAATTTTATAAAATAATTTTTAGAAAAAATAAAAATTATTTGATAAGTTACACCTAAATAGTAATTCTATTTTTTAATTTTAAAAATTAAAATTAAAAATAAAAAATAATTTTAAAACTTATATTAACAAATAATATTTTCTATTTTTTACTTTTAAAAATAAAAAAAAACTCTATTTAAGAAGAGAAACAAACAAATCCTATATATTTAATATTATACAATAAATTATAATTAGACCAATTGCAATAATTATAAAGCGGGGTCCACTTAAATTGGTAGGTTGACGTGGTGGAGACTTTCTTCAATAGATACAAAAGTGGTAAATCTTTTTTAATAAACGTATTCACCAAATTATTAATATTCAAAAGATTCTGATTCGTTCTTCTTCTTTTTATATTAGACGGCATGTTACTGTTACTATGCAAAGTTAGCATTTGCCTAACTTTTCATTCAGGAAACATACAATATAATAGGACAAACTATAGATTAAATTATTTATATTCTTATCATCAAGATCAAGTTTTAAATTAAATGATGATATATGTATATATTGTTTTAAAATCAATATTATATACTTAATTGAGGTTACTTAGAGTTGTTTAGGAAGGGAAATTTTAAAAGAAAAGAGAAGAAAGGTAAATTATTTTATTTTAAATAAATTTATTTATAATTAATATTTTTAAAAATAAAAACTATAAAATAATATATTAACATAAATTGAATATATATTAATCATGTATTTATTATCATAAATTATATATAATTTATTTAATCTAAAATTAAAAATATATCGTCTCTGACAAAAAAAAAAACTCTCTCTCAAATATACCTTAAGATTTAAAAAATTCAATACTTGAGTTCAGTTAACTTTTATATGGAAATAGTTGTCATATAGTTAATATACACCACTTGTTTGAGAAATACTTAGAATCAACATTAAATTTTTTAATATAAAATTTATAACTAAAATTAATTCAAACACACATTTCAATTATGTTTTTAAAATTAATTTTATCAAAATAAATTTCACATTTCTTTAGAACAAAAAGACTAATGGTCATCACCGTGAGCATTGAATAAACAGATTTTGACTTACTTTTAACTTCTTACTAATCAGTGTTTTTAGCGTATTAATTAAGAAATTAAAAATACTAATTTATTATTTAAAATTACCATAATAATGTATTTATTATATTTTCAGAAAAAATTACTTTTGATTGTTTTATTATACTTGTAAGACCTTGGTCAGCATTTACCTATTTTAAAACATGGATCATGCACTTGATAGCTGCATGAAAATGACAGATTCTGTCTTCATAGTAGACTAACATTTCATGACACATAAAGACAACTAGACCACAGTAGGATCAAATGCTCCTTCCTCCCAAGATTTATAAAATCTTGAGATTAGTTTGCAAGAACCAAGTGAAACAGCATAACATATGAATAATTAGAATGGCAAAGGCACATATTATGGTTGTACCATACCCAGTACAAGGGCATGTGATTCCTCTAATGGAGCTTTCACTCTTGTTAGCAAAACAAGGTATCAAAATAACTTTTGTAAACACCAAAGAAAACCATGAGAGGATCGTGAATGCATTTGCAAGTGGAAATGATTTATTATCTCAAATTTCTCTTGTATGGATATCTGATGGATTAGAATCCTCAGAGGAAAGGAAAAGGGCAGGGAAATCATCTGAAGCAGTCTTGAATGTTATGCCACAGAAACTTGAGGAGTTAATTGAATGCATCAATGGATCAGAAAGTGAAAAGATTACATGTGTTCTTGCTGATCAAAGCATTGGATGGGTAATTGATATTGCAGAGAAGAAGGGAATTAGAAGGGCAGCATTCTGTCCAGCATCTGCAGCACAGTTGGTGTTAGGATTGAGCATCCCAAAGTTGATTGATGATGGGATCATTGACAAAGATGGTGAGTTCATACTTCTCTGATCTCAGTAGCTGCAGCATACAATAGAAAATTTGTTTAATTTATTTCTGCTTTCTTTCACATTGCAATACAGAATTGGACTCCTGGTCAAACACCCTTCTATTCCTACAAACCTAACCACTTCAACTGAGATTGGAGCATTGAATGTTTGTTTTCGAATGTACAAAATTGGCTTAACAAGTTTTTGATACATAATAGATTTTATTGCTTCTTTTTGTTCCTTTAGTTTGATCTGTGTACAATTTTGGTTCTCTTAATTTTTTTTCAAGTCAATTAAGTCTTTAAACTTATAAGATTAAGCAGATTTAGTCCCTGCATTGATTTTGTGAGTTATTAGTTTTGGTCCAAATAATTGGGAGAAAGACTAGAGATCAGGATTTGAAGGAAAATTTTTAATTTTTATTTTGGCTGAAATTTTTTATTTTGATTCGTAAGTTTTAAGTAAAATAAAGAATAAAATAATTTAATTGTTTCAATTTATAAAGATTTTGAGTTAAAAATGAGAATTTGAAGGTTTTTAGTAGAAAAAAATTGACAAATTGAATCAAATTTGCTTAATTGTAAAAGTAGAAAGACTTGATTAGCTTTAAGAAGAATAAAACAAAAATATCACATAACTTTAACTACAAGATACAGAAGTGTAATTAACTCGGCAACATAAGACTTTGATGAGCAAACAAGTAGTAAATCCAAGAACTACAAAACCTGTGGTGACATTTTTAAAATATATCATTCTACTTGAAAAGTAAAAAGATATCCGTATGATTTTCTAGTTCTTTCCTGAGACAATCTTAGACACTTACAAACACATTTGTCAGGTTCAATGCCTCCTTATATTCAGCCATTGCTGCATCAATGCTATAATGTTGGCCACTAATCAATCAATAAAAATCTTAGCATATTAGGTTATTGTACTTATAAACTTCCCAGATTAACGTTATATAAACGACAAATTACCATTCCTTAGCATAAGACTTTTCTCATTACTCCAAAAAAATGGAACTAAAATCAAGATAGGTGTTACTAGTTAGTTATAAGGAATGCTTCCAAGATACTCTTTTAAACATATTATTTTACACACCTTTTATAATTGGTCAATTTTTTCAAACATGATCAATTTACGAAATGCTTTAAACTTTAAAAAAAAACTGACCAATCACGGAGTATGTTGAAAATGTATTCAAAAGTGTATTGCTAACATTTCTTATTAGCTATTTATTTCTTACTCAACATTTAAATGATACAGGAACTCCACTGGAAAAACAGGTCATTCAGCTATCGTCCACAATGCCTAGTGTAAGTACAGAACACCTTGTGTGGGTTTGTGTGGGGAACAAGACTACTCAGAAGCGTATTTTTCAACTTATGATGAAAAACATAAAGTCTATTCAGAAAAATGAGTGGCTATTTTGCAATTCAACTTATGAACTTGAGCCTGCAGCATGTTCTATGGCCCCAGAAATCAAACCTATAGGACCACTTCTATCAAGCAATAAACTTGGCTACTCTTCAGGAAACTTCTGGCTTCAAGACCTCACTTGTTTGAATTGGCTAGATCAACAATCACCAAGTTCAGTAATATATGTCGCATTTGGAAGCTTTACAACTTTCAGTCCTACCCAGTTTCAAGAACTTTGTTTGGGCCTTGAACTTTCAAATAGACCTTTCTTGTGGGTTGTGCAGCCTGAGATCACAGAAGGGTCAAAGAATGCATATCCAAAAGGATTTGTAGAAAGGGTAGCTGAACGTGGTAGAATGGTGGGTTGGGCACCACAACAAAAAATTTTGAGCCATTCTTCAGTTGCTTGCTTCTTAAGTCACTGTGGTTGGAACTCGACAGTGGAAAGTGTCAGCAATGGGATCCCAATATTGTGTTGGCCTTACTTTGCTGATCAGTTCTTAAATAGGAGTTATATCTGTGATGTTTGGAAGGTTGGACTGGGGTTTGAAAGAAACGGGAGTGGCATAGTCACACGTGGTGAAATCAGAAGCAAAATTGAGCAACTTTTGAATGATGAACAATTGAAAGCAAGGGCTAAGGATCTCAAGGAGAAGGTTCAAATTGGCACTGGACAAGGTGGTTTGTCAAACAACAATCTAGACAGTTTCATCAGGTGGATAAAAACATAGATTTTTGAAAGTATTTGCTACATTTTGTTTAACAATACTGTCAGATTCTTTCTTTTTTCCCCTTGTGTGTTTCTGTGGGTATGTTTTCCTTTCTATACTGACTTCCTCTGTTTTCTTTGTTCACTTGTATTATAATAATAAAAATCCCAAACATATCAATCATCATGCAGATGCCATAATTTTTAACCTTGAATTCATCTAGCATATGAGTAAGTCCACTATAGTCTACATCATGACATGTAAGGGATACTCTAACTTATGTTCCAACCACTAGAGCTTCCTGCCACTGCTGAATAGTAATAAGTCTAAAGTGAAAAGCTGTGAAGATAAGAAGCATCTGTATGTGTGTTTATTGCTCTGTCACTTTGCAGCCTTGGCTTTCATATAGTTTCGGCCTTTGCTTTTAGAAGTTTCTCTCTTCTAATATATAATGAGAAAAGGATATAAGCAAAACAGCGTTGCCAAATAGGTCAATCCTAATAACCCATATGGGTTAGGCTTAAAAGCCACAAGACTAAAAGACATAATATAAAAAGTTCATTGGGCCACAAAACTCTCAAGACCAAAACTTGTTAGGGTTAACCCATGGGTTAGCTCACAATTTCTTTTTGTCATGATTAGTTAACTTTTAAAAAACATCAATTTGATGAAATTTTCAAATGGAATAGTCCCATCCCGTCCGCCACCATTAAAAAGAAAATTTCACATATACACAACAATATAAAATTAAAAACCAAAATCACAACCTTCCCTTGCAAATGTGAATTTATATATAGATTTTTTATCATGAGTGTTTAGTTTCTTTTGTTTATTTGTTACACAGTGTTGTAAAATTCTTGTTATGTAGTAAATCTTTTTTATTGTTATTTAGCTTTGTGTTTATGTGATTATTCAGCATTATTGATTGTAAATGTCATTGGATAGTTTAATCTATAATCCTTCAACAAATATCTTATATATACACAAAACATACAAAGGAAGATAAAGAGAACCAATCTTAAAATATTTTCTTCATAAATAATAAAGAATATACAAAAGCATGAATTCAAGTCCTCATATAGATTTTTAAAAAATCACTCAGAGATATAAACACCACTAAATCAACCAAGCTAACACACCCCTGGCCTCTATGAGTAAGTGATTCTCTTTTTCTTGTGAGGAATAAAGGCATTTGGTGCGGGAGGGACCACACAATGTTGGTTACATCCTTGCTTGGTGTTTCTTTTCTACCCAGAGACACTGTGATTTCCATTACAGCATTGTTGGAAGATGATGGATAGAGTGTCCCTGATGATAGTTACTCCACTGCACCACTTGTCTAGTTTATCAGTTAACACCTTAGTGACCACACTCATCTCTCACCACATTCCTGCCCCTCATAATAAGCCATAACAACTTTCCCTCTTGTCTTCATCACTGGACATTCATCATCAACCACTGTGCCCTCCTTTGTTTCATTCTAGTGAAATTATGAATGGAGAGAAACAAGAAAAAATATATATTTTTAATGTTTTGTTCAAGAGGAAAATGGGAAAAAATAATAAAATTGTTCGTACACTTTTCTAATCATTATTATAGTTAAAGAATGTATAATTATTTTTCACTCAATCTGGTAAGAAAAAAAATATTCATTTCTTTTTCTCATTTTAGTCTTCACCTAAATAAGAGAAAATAAATATGTTTCCATTTATTTTCTCTTATTTGTATTTTCTTTTGGCTTCCAAACAAAGAAGCATTCCTTCATCTTCAACACTTTCAACTTTACAGAGGCTACTCTACGAGCTTTTACAATCACCTCTAATGCTTTGGATAGAAATTAATATAGAGTGGCAAAAGATCAATTTTCTAGATTTTCCTGTATATTTTGTTAATGCAATGACAAAAAGGGTGTAGAGTGCATGCATGATTTGAATGTTACTTGTTTGTCCACGAGTCTTTTGTTTTGTAGCAATTTAATCTACCACCTTATTACAAGGACTTGCTGGTGTCGTACGACACCACACAGACAGAGCATGCAGAAAAGTGTTATATCAAACATAACTTGGTTAAATGAAACAAGGTACAGAGCAAAGTATCAGTACAACATATAATGACCACAGGAATAGGTAACACAAGCAAGCTAAAATAAAACATTATGTATCAGAGTAGCATAACAGTAAAAATAAAGATAAATATTAATTAATATTTTAAACATTAATTAAGAAATTCTTAAACTTTTTTTAAAGAGCTTAACCGATACTCTTAAAATGACCCAAAAGTGAAAAAAACCACAAGCAAGAAAATGGAGCCTGAAACGTAAAATGCTGAGTGTAAAGAAGTGAAATCCTAATTCATTCAAGGCAAAACCATTCCCTTGGCTACATCCACTACCATTTTCATCTCCAAGAAAAATATATTATCAATAAATCTTAGTGCCTAAGCGCTCTTCACGATTATTATGTTAGATTTGAATCCTTTTGTTAATTTTAATCTTGTTATAAGGGGGGAGATTTTGAACCATTGTCGCTCAATTGAGATAAAAACTTCTGAATACTTGTTTTTGTTGTTTTGCCATGATTTTAATTCCGTTGTTCTGCTTTTGTTTTATGTTTTCCCTTCGTTTGTTCTCGTTCCTTCAAAATCTAGAGTTCCTTTAATCTTAATAGTATCTAATTAATTTGATTCAATAGTCTAATATACGCTAACATCAATTTTTGTGAGTAATATATTACTTCTCCAAACTAATAAACTTGCTGGTAAAAAATATGTAAATGCAAGAAATTGTTTACAGATAAGTGATTATATTGTTAATTACTACTCATTTGAAGCATTTAATGCAACCCAATAGATACATCAAGGTCCCCATGGCACTACAAAATCCCAATCCCAAGCATTTTATGAAGTGTTGCCTTGCCTTTGGTATACATGACAAAACAAATTTGGAATACTTGTACATGATGACCAAATTGACTCAACATTTAAAAATAAATATTTTTTTTATAAACTTTAAAATAAAATTACTTGCATATTTAAACTTGTGTATGGTAGAATTATGAAACCATATGATTTGGTTAGAATTTTGTTATATTCACATTATATTTTATATTTAATCAGTACTTCCTAATTTGATAATCGTTGGGTTAATTTTATTTATACCCAAAATTATAAATTTTAATTTTTTATTAAATAATAATAAAAAGTTGTCTTGCTGAATAGTATATGTTCTTTCATTCTTAAAAAAAAATCTTATATATAAGTTTTGAACTAGATCTAGTTTAAAATTACCAAAATCCACCTTAATGCACAATTGTAAATCAAAATGTTAAAAACTATGATAACTGTACATCTGATAAATAAAATGTTTAAAAAATTTCATAAAGAAATAGGCATATTTCAATTACTTAAGAATATGGTTTAGGACTTTTTTTTATTTATTTATGATCAGCTGTATTTAAAAGAAAAAAAGAATTCAGAGCATGATAATATAGAGGAAGTTAATTCGGCATAAATCAACTGTTATTCATTCCTAATATTAAAGTATTTATTTTATTTTTTTATTAATTTTTATTCTTTTCAAATATCATCTAATAATCTTAAATTAACCTATAAACTTTTTAACATAAACGTTTGAAGAATTTATCAACGATCACATTCAAGAGTCCGAGTTTCTCTCCATAAATTAATAATGGCAAATAAAAAATCTCACAAGTAGCCAACCCAAAATAAGAAATAGGAAGAAGAAAAAGACACATTCAAGATAAAGTTAATTAAACTTTGCATAAGCTCAAATGTTGATTCTTCAATCTTTTTTAATGCAATTTGTCATTTAGCTTTTGAATTGTAGCGATGCATTCTACATCATTTTCCATCCAAGTCCTCTTCTCCCATCTCACCGCGTTTTTCTCAAGGGTTTATCTGAGAAAAAAATAACAAGTAAAATAAAATTCTTGCCAAAGAGGGATAAAATATAGGACAAAACAACATGTAGTTAAAATTCATTTAATATTGTTTTCCAAATAACAAAACAGCAAATGTGTCAGTGAAAGAAACAACAAAAACTACAAAAGAGAAAACATAGATATATAGGACAAAAGTACATTGTGAAAATAGAAAACCCACATGATGTTTGAAACCTTTTTGGGTTTAATTAGTTGAGGTTTGGGGGCAGAATTGAAAGTGGGCTGGGAAATTACACACACATGGTGATCCCCATACAGAGAAACAACCCTTAAATCTTGGCTTTTGCACATGGCTTCATTGACCCCTTCACTGAACATGTCAAGATCATGACAACCACAGCATGTTCATAATAGCCCAGGAATGAGGGCCTTCCTGTCCATATCACTCAGATATTTATCACCATGCCACCCATTCTTTGCAGTGACTGTCTGTGTCTAACTTGCTTCTGTTCTGTGCATACCTTTCATTTTAGACACCTTCTTTACAATTTCTTTCCACTGTGGTCACATATCACATTATTTTTTCAAACTTGAAAGGGTTTAAGATTAATTTCTGCTTACACTCCATGATTCTCTTAATATAAATTTTTTTTGCACACTATAAGATACAAATTTAGAACTTTCTGAAGATTATAAATTAATTCAGAATAATTATGCATTAGTTTGATCACGTATTAGATTATTTTATAATATTGTCTTATTATAAAATCTTTAAATTTAAATTAAATATTTTTTTTATTTTACATGTTTCTTCATTTTAAAATAGCTAAATAATCTGACTCCTGCTGTGGCATGCACCAGCCCATGCTCTTAAATGAACATCACTGAAGGTAGCCACATAATAGAGTTGCACGGATGGTTGTCTAGAAGTCTCTTTTGTGACAATTGCTTAGCACCTGATGACAAATATGTTAGGATTTAATTCAACTTTGAAAATTCAAATTGATTACCCCATGCTACACTGAAAAAAGTCGATGACCCATATATCTAATTATATAAGTTTTTACAGTTATTAACAAAGTTTACAGTCACTAGCTACCAAGATTAATTTTTATTTTCGCTGATCTCTTTGTAAAATTTATAAAAACAAAAAAGGTGAAAATTTTATAATTCAAAATGAAAAATATAACCTTTTTTTAAAACCAATCCATCCTTTACTTTTCTAGTTATGATTCATGGAAATCGAACAGTGCAAATATCAATGTTACTGGGCTACTAGCTGCTGAAAGAAAGCGAGACTCGTACTTGAATCAATTATTTTTATCAACTATCTGCTTTTCAATAGCGTTTATAAGTTTAAATTTAAAATTTCAATTTAATAAACATTCATTAAAATTATTATATATTTACTAAAACAATTTTTAGTATAAATTTATTAATTTTAAGTAAAAAAATCCATAAAAAATAAACATTTTTTCTATTAAACAAATTAAAAAACATGTACTTAAACTGGGTTTTGTGAAGCGCTTACCAATTTCTCATTTTTTATTTTGGGATGATAGAAGATTGAAGAATGCACCATCCAATGCCAATAGCAATGCTAAGGAAACCAAAACAAATAAAAATGGCTACATGCATTCGATTTTCTTTACAAATTTCCAACCTTTCCTTCTCCATTTCTCCATTCCACTTTCTCTTCTACTCAAATTCCTAACCAAATCTAATAAAAATCATAAAAGGAAAAACAACTACAACAAAGGTCTTCTCTCTTTTTTTCTTCATTAATCAAAGGATAAAACATTTAAAGAAAAAGGAAGCATAAAAGAGACAGAGAGTGAAGTGAAGCTATAACAACACAACATTATCATCCTCAGTGTTGTTCCCATAATACTCTATGAGCTTCTGCAAAACCACGACACGGGTCCTAAGCAAAACGATGTAATCAGCAGTTTCCTTGAACAATTGATCAGGTTTCACTGTGTTTCCATTGTGGGTAGGTATTAGGCTCTTAAGTGCTTGAAGCTTTTGTGAGAGCTTGGACTTGCACTTTCCCTCTATGGGTTTGAAGCTTCTATGAGCCATGAAGCCAAATTTTGATGGGGTAGGAGCGTTTCTTTTTTGTGGTTGATGTTGTTTTCTTCTTCTTCTTGTGGCTCTTCTGACACAGAGTTTGTAACTGTGTTTTGTGTTTGTGCTCATGGCCACCGAACCCAAAGAACCTTAACAGAGTAGAGAGAGGAAGCCAAGTGGGTGGGTTTGATGTTGTTCTGTTTTTGGAGTTGAAGTGTGATACGATAATGGGGGGTTTGTGGCTTTAAGTAATAAGTCATATAGAGATTGCCACTTGATGATTTTGGTTACTACGGAAATGCCACTGCCTTTTTTATATTAAAAAAATTAATTTTTTAATCAAATTGTTGAGATAATATTTACCAAAAGAAAAAGGTATATGGGTAATCATGCGGATATGATTTTGATAAGTATTGAAAAAAAATTCCACTTTTTTAACATCTAATATTTTGAACAATTGGTTTTTCATTTTAATAAGGTGGACATGTGGTATAAAATAAAATAAAAAAATTGTATTCAAATAATATATTTGACATATTTGCTTATATATTAGGTATAAGGTTTTTTTTTTATAATTACATCATTTTATTTAATAATATAATTATATATAACAACGAATTTAATGTACAATTCACTATCAAATCCTTTAAAATTCACTACTTATATTTTTTTAGCATTAAAAACATTAACTTAATAAATGATTAATCATAAGCAGTTAGATTATATTGGAAATTATCAATTTTTTTAAAATTCTTTTGACACAAGACTAATTTAAATTAAGGTATTCAAACTGTGCTTCTCTACAGTGCTTTCTTGTAAGCTTGGGCTTGGGTATTCGGGTTAATTTTACATATGTAAAATGTGAGGAATCTGTATATAAATATTCTTAGAATATTAACATCATGTATCAACATTTCCTAATAATTTTAGCGGAAAGATCAATTCTTAATTTGATATGTTATTCTTGACATTTGTTATCACACCATTTCTAATTGATTCAAAAGAAGTGGGTTCATTGTTGTCATAGACAAAGGACAAATGATTATTTTAAATTATACATTATAGTTAAATGTGTGTCTTAAAATCTTTGCGATTGATAGGCAAACAAGAAATAACTAGATAAATGCAAAAGATGGCAGGAAACATTTAAATGTGTTTTCCAGTAAGATATATTTTTAAAATGTATATAAAAAATAATAATAATATACAATATTAAATTTAATATTAACTTTTAATAACTTGAATAATGAAATTCTTGTCAAATTAGTGTCTCAAAAGACTTACACATTTTTCATTCAAGATACTCTTTTAGAAAATTTTAAGTAAATGAGGTGAAAACTCCAATATTCTAATACAATAAATGACATTATTGTTTTTATTTTTATTTTTTTCTACTACTAACAAAATATAAGGTTCAGTGCAATTAATCCTCATCCATGTGGAGAAGCAAACATTGTAAGTATAAAAATAGTGGGACCAAGGGAACATGAAGAATTGGATGTTTCCATATAAGAAGGGTTATAGTTGTAATTTGACAATATAGTTTCGTATGTGACCCAATTGAAAAAGAGAAAGCGGGAAGAGAGGCACAACTTGCGAGCCAGAGAGGCAGAAAAGCCTGCCCTTCTGTAACGGCACATGTGAAGGTCCCGGGAACTTCACATTCTTAAATTACCATATTGTCCTCCCCTTGTCAAAAGATTTTGGTTTTAACCAATTAATTCCTAACAATCTCATAGTCTTTAATTCAAAATTTTAAAATACAAGTGCCTTGAGATTGGATATCACTTTTTGTATTTTAGTGGTAAACTTTGGTGTGCAAAATATTCATTGTACCCATTTAAAGTATCTTGTCAATTGTCATGTGGTAATAGCTTTTTATTTGTGCTTTCTTCATTATCTTTTTTACAAATAATTTTGTGCAACTTTTGTTTTTCCATTAATTTGAGCATGAAAATCTGCTCTCAAAATTCAAACTAGAAATCATAGTGGCCTTTCTCCATCCAATACCACATTTTTACAAATTGTTGAATATTTTCTCTTTGATAGAACTGCTGCCGTAAATATTATACAGTATTTTAATATTTTAATTTTCGGCAATTTGATATCAATGTTTACTTAACTAAAAAAATACAAAAGACTTACATAGGTTCGTTGTACTATGCACACTTGTATATATAAACACATTATTTATTTAATTTGAAACTAACATGTTTAATAAAAAAGATACGCTGATTTCATTTCTTTGTACAATTCCATGAATCTCCTTTGTTTTTGTCCCCTTTTCAAAGGATTCTCTGTTTTTCTCCTTTTGGGAAGCACATTTATTAAATACTTGAATACTAAAAAGAAAAGGAAAAAAACATGTACAAATTACAGAATAGACTAGTGCATAGTTGTGGTGCATGAATTGTGATATTTGCACATGAACGAAAACATGTAGATTATATGCTCAATCCTATCCTTTATATTAGATTTGAAAAGGTTAACTAAATTAAAAATCGTAAAAGAGTAGTACTTGGGACGATAAAATATTTGATGAATGGTACCTTGTATGCTAATAATTTGGCAGCATAAAAAAGGACAAAATGTTAATAATAATAATAATAAATAAATAAATAAATGATAGGAGACATGCAATAGAAAGGTTCTCTTGCATAGAATGAAAGGGCATTTGGGTAATTGAAGCATAGAAAAGAGGGTAAGGTGGTTGTGTTGGGGGTGTGGCTTCCCCTAAAGAGTGCATGTGAAGGTGATATGGGCCAGCAAGGCTCCGTTACAGGGAGAGAGCACATGGCTAGCACATGAGGAGAGAGGAGTGAGAGGTTTGGAACGCATGGCCTTTGAGAGAGAGAGAGCATGTGACAAAGGGGGGACAGTGAGGCAGCATCAAATGTACAGCATGTTCTGCACATTCCCTGCATGCAACTGATCAAGTGGCAGCTATATAATGTTCCCCCCTTTTTACAATTTCATTGCTCTTAAAAATAAGTTTATCTCATAATTTTCTATTCTTTTTTTAATTTATTAGACTATGATATATATCATCAACTTGTTCAGAGATAAAATTAAGTTTAATCCAAATATAACATAATGCTAACACAATAATCAAATTATATTTGCATTAATAGCATGTTTTAATATTATTAGTTGTATTAGAATTTTGTGTGTGTCTATGGTTGAACAGTAAAGTGTCAAATAAAATCAATTTCATATATTCAATTTATAAACATTTATCTAATCATCCCAAATGCAGTGTATTACAGGGCACATGTACTTGGTTGATTTCAAAACTTTTTTATCCAGCATGTGTGACATGTGTAGGTTCTACATGTGACTCCAAAGGAGTCTTTAGCGATATCCAATTACATTTGGGTTTGGAGCTGCTATAACTACTTTCTCAAGGGAAAAATATAAAATTTAAGGAGATCTTTAGCTTTGAGTAATTTTTTAATTTATTTAAACTCTTTAATGTATATTTTTAAGAAATATTAAATCTAGACACTAAAAGTAAACATCCATAAGTAATAAATACCCATGATCATGTTGTAAAAATAATGAAATTCGTGTGTGAGAGATAAATAATTAAAAACATCTGATGTTAAAATCATTGTATTGAAGAATATGATCAAATCTTATATATCATGTGCCGATGTGTCTATATAGATACATGAAAGGAATAAAATAAACATAAGTTATTGCACAAAATCAATGTATTAATTTGCATAAAAAAGTTCTCTATAAAATGTTAGGAAATAAACTAGATCATGAAAATTTCTTATATAAAATCCAATTAGGGTAAAAGTTTGATTTATTTTAATGGGATTGATTAAGTGAAATGATTTACATTTGACGAGACAAGCCATAGGCGCCTTGTATCCACCTCCTAATTAATTAACATCCTAATTAATTAGAATTAATTTTCAATTAATATCATAAAGATATTATAAAAAGAAGGCAGCATTGAACTATTATTTCTTTCCTTTATGTAATTCAGGAGATGCACCTTAAATTAATAAATGGAAAATCTTATGTATACTGAAAAAACTTCCATGTTAACTAATAAGATATTTATTTCTTCATATTTTAAAAGCTAAACATTAATTCTTAACCTAGCAACACTCATTTTTTATGGTATAAAATAATAGGAAAAAAAAAATAAAAATGAATTAACAAAATCAGCTACTAAAAGATACTTTAAAAATCTTTAAAAATAAGGATAACTTTATTTAAACAAAATTTTTAATAAATATTTATAAAATACATAAACAAATAAGTAAAATGAATTATTTTTTAATAAATAAATATTATTTTTTATTTGTTATTTTAAATTTACTTATTTAACTTTTCTAAAACTTAACACGCATTTGGTAGCTAAATTTTTATATATAAGTATTTATGTATAAATTGACACAAATTACATAATTTTCTAGGACTTACTGGAAGGACAGAGAGAGTGATAAAAACAAGCATGGGCGTGTATTAGGCATGTGTGTTAGTACTTTTGCAGTGCAAGGAGCTTAAGTCACTGTCTATTCAGTGCAAACAGAATGGGTTTTGTATGGACATGAGGAATAAGATGATGAAGGGAATGGGATTGCCCTGAAATGCAAAGAGATGTGATGTAACATCTTTTGGGTTTCATTGATCAGCACCCTTTTAACTTGCTTATATATTATACAGTGTCGTGTGCAGGTTCTTAGCTCACTTGCTTTGTTCCTTGTGTTTTCTGAGAAGAAATTCACTGCCATTGTATCCATGAGGCATGAGGTATTGATGGGTACCTTCACTGATTTTTTGCTTGGAGGCCCATGACCCACACATGCCAACATGTTTTGTCTAACGTGACACACCTTCGCTTTTGCTGTTTTGCTTTACTACCCCTTATGACATTCTAATAACATGGCCTAAACCAGGTTGTTGCTTAGCCCATACTGTGTTAGAGACATGGTAGAGTTTCACTACTCAATCTTTATAAATCTAGAAGAAAATTGTGTCATAAAAGAGTGTAAAATTAGCACATAGAAGAGTTAGTTATTTGATCAACGTACCTTTAGGTTACTCGGAATATTACTGTGTCACTTTCATTCTCAAAAGTTTTTGCTTGCATAATTTATATTTCAAATAAATTATTATTTTTTATAACTTGATGACTTCCCTAGAGTTATGAATTTCTTACGAATTTACCTCTTAAATAAATATATCAACTTGCGTGGAGCAAAATTTTTGTACAAATAACACATTTTAAATATCCAATTAGTTAATAGAAACTTAATCATGATTTGATACCAGAGTTAACTTAAGTATACTAGTGTCTTTTTCACAGTAAAAGAGAAAAAGTGTGAAACTGATGTAAGTAACAAAAAGGTAGGTCAAGTTAATATTTACCTTAAAGGAGTTCAATTTTTTTTCTAATTATAGAGTTTTATTTTAATTTATTTGTGTGAGATATATTAAAGAAAAATGAGTCATTAGGTCGAAGAAGAGCACAAATTAAGAATGAAAGGTGTCACATAAAATACACATCATTGTCACCTAAAAAAAATATTAATACTTAACCATGTTTATTATGAAAATGATTATTTTTAATTAATTTGTATTAAATTCAATTAACTTTGAATATTTTTATTTCATTTTAAAATAGTATATCTGTTTGTTTTGGTCATTTTTGTGCCTTGCATTAAAGGAAGATGATATTAACCAAAAAAAAAAAAACACAACATCGGTTTATTTTAGAAAAAAGTGAAATAAATTTTTCGTGCTTTGCTTCAGTACCATTTGTTGTGCATCGAGGTAGAGGAATGAGTTTATTTTTTATTTTTTTTATCAAGAATATTTTAGATATTTCAACTAATTTTGTGTCATGTATCACAAAATAAAATATAACACAGTACACAATATTTTATATTTAAATTTAAACACAATACACATACGTTATCCACTATATTTATGTCATTTTTTTTATCTCTGTCTTTTTCTTTAGTGTCTAAGAACAAGTAACAACTTTAATTTTAAAAATTTAGAACAAATTTAACAAAAATCGAGTAGAAAGCAAAACTATTGCAGTAAAAACGAGTATAATATACATGCTATCTTCAGTCAATTTTAATTATAAAATATACACAAGACAAATTATTAAAACAAATAGTTTCATTTATATTTTACATTCCTAATAATATGCTATTGTATAATATGAAGGTTGATATAACTCATCCATTTCATACCAATTTTATATTATTCAAACAAATAAATAATTAAATTAGTTTAAGGTAGATGTTGAATTGGCCATATTAGCATGTGAAGATAAAACTTATTTTTATGATATTTAAATGTGTAATTCATTAATTAAATTAATTCTTATATTCATTCATATCAATTAAATACTATATTAGACACACATTATAATAAACATTTTAGCGTTGTGCTATTTAAAGACAAAAGTTATGATTACCTAGTTTAAGAAAAATATGATTTTATTTATAATTAAATTAATTTTTAAAATTTTTGTATTTTAATTAAAATAAACGCATTAAAAGATGAAAACAAAAGTGGATGAGATACTTTCTACTTGTAGGTATTCATTGAAGATGGGTCTAAAATTTTTGGAATTTTGGTGGAAAATGTATCCTGTAGTCTAAATTAACTTACACGAATTTTAAAGATGAATGAGAATTTTGCTTTACTTAAATAAATTTGACAAAAAATAATTTTTATAGAAAAAAATTACTAAAGTTAAAATTATAAAAAAAAAATTTAAACTTCATTTTTTCTTTATAAATTATAGAAACTTTAAAGAATCTTTATTTCTTATTAATATCTACTTAAAGGACCTTTACATATATTATTTCATTAAATATTTTAAATATATTATCTAGTGTTTTATATAACTTTAAAAAATTTATTAAAAAATAGTTCACCATATAATTTTACACAAAATTTCTATAGTTTAAAAATAAAAAAATGAAACTTTGAAATTTTTTATAATTCTGATTTAATAAAAAATAACATTTTCACTAATTTATTTAAGCGAATTTTTTTAATTTAAATGATTCAGTTGCATTATTGAAGATAATATAGATAGTATTATTTTTATTGAAGTTTTAAGTTTTTGAATGGATGAATTCAACAAATATTCATATGGCATGTCTACATTCTCCAATTAATGCAACAACTGGTATATTTATTATTTCAATAATAATTTACATTTTCCTGGAATAGATATACTTAATAAATTTTAAGAATTAATTTTAATTTATTTTCGTCATTGATGTAATTTTAAGATTCCCAAACATACAACATCCACAGAAATATAGTGTATCAAAATTTTATGAATGAATTAAATTAAATTCACAATAGAGTTTTTTAACCAAACATTTAGAAAAAAAAATGTTGAATATCAAAAAATATATCACGTAATAAAAATGCTAATAACTCATAAAAACATTAAACTTAAATAAAAACTCAAATTTAAAATATAAGAATAAATTATTATTTTTAAAAATAAATTAGACTAAAAATAGTAACTTATCAGTCCCTTGAATATATAAACAGGATAAATTATAATTTTCGTGTTTAAGTGAAGTTTTGATTACTTTTTCAATTTCACTTTATTCAATTTGATTTTCTAAATTTAATTTAGATTTTGTTTGCATCCTTTAATAACGAAATCTTCTAACATTTTTTTTTATACTAATTTTTTAATTTTATTTTATCTTTCAGTTTTTAGTTATTCATAGGATACTTTGGTATTTGAACTTTTTTATATGAAAAAAATTACTAAAATAAATTATTTAAAAAATTATAAAAATATGAAAAATTTTCAAATGGATTTTTTTTATCAAGAAACGCCAATAGCATTTTTTGGTGTTTTAACTTTTTAAATCAATTTTTTAAAATCTTTACTGAAAATTTTGAAAATTTTTTGTACTTTATTTTTGGTTGTTTTATCTTGAAATTCATGTGCTTGCACTAAAATTATTATTAAAAATTTTCAATTTTATATTTTCATATTTTTCTCTAAAATATCATATTTAGTATATATTATTTTTAAATATTACACATAAAAAAGTATTAAATATTTAATATATATGTGATTTTATAATAAAAATAATTTAAAATAAAAATTATATATATATATATATATATATGAGATTTTATTAATAGTGATAAATTGTTATGGTAATTATATATTTATAATATAAAAAATATAAATAAATAATAATTAAAAAATGATTTTCAGTGAATTAAAGATGTTTCTTATGATGATTTAAAAATTCTAATTGTTGCTCTAACAGTGAAATCTATAAAAAAAATTTATTGTCCAAAATAATATTATTTTAAAATAATTAGTTGAATTAAAAATATAACAGAGTTAAAGTATTAGATATTTAAGATTAAATTTAAAGACTAACTCAAGTATACACTGTTTGATATTTTTTATAAAATATAAAATTAATCAATCTGTTAATTTAAAGATTTTAATACAAAATAATTTTATAAAAATTTATAAAAAAATAAAATTAATAATTATTTTAACGAGTAATATATAAAATATATAAATTTCAATATATATAATATACAATAATTTAAAAATGAAATTAGTTAACCTACAAGGATTTATTAAGTGAAAGTGAGTAACTTAAAATATTTAAATATATCTCTCTAAAAACTTTGTTTCGCCACCCCGAATTCCTTCTTCACAGTTTGGGTGTACCCTTTATGGCTTACAGTCTTGGCACAAACGATAGGAGCATTTAGGTAATTTCACACTTCGACTCTGTTCATTTTTCTCACACACATCAAAACCAAATCCACTTGAAACCCCCACTCCATAATCATTCCCAAAATAATTTTCACAAACACACCTTTTCCCCGCCATTCACTTCCCGTTTATCTTCCAAATCTATCCCTCTAGGGCTCACACTCCATTCCATTTTTATCTTCCAATTTCTTTCCTACGAACCCTAATTCCTCCCAATTAGCCCCCAGATTTCCACGATTTTACTCCTCATGCCCTTCCCGTAATCAATCCATGACTTTTCCACCACCTTCCGGCGCCACCGCCGCGGCGGCGGCCTCCTCCGGCCACCGTGGCATCGGCTTGTCCAACACCGTCCACTCCGAACTCGCCTCGTGCTTGCCGCTGCCGTCGCTTCCGGTCTTCTGCGGCGCCTCCGATCAGGACCTCCGCCTCTTTGACTCGCCGATGCTGTTGAACCGCGTCGACGTGCTCGCTCAGTCCAGCAAGATCGCCGAACTACTCCGCCACACCGACGTGTCGTACCTGTGAGCTTCTCCTTTCGTTTTTGTTCGACATTTTCCGCACGCGTCGAGGTTCTAGTCACTAGGATGTTGAATCAGTAGGGAAATGCTAAATTAGGCTTGAAATTCGCCGTTAATTATTATTAGTTATTTTGTGCAACTAAAATTCGCGGTTATGAGATGAAGTTGCATGCATTCGAATTTCCATGTGATTTACTGTAGCCGTATGAGATGAGACGTTACTTTTGGTTCTCGTATGAATTTTGCGGTAGAGTTCGCTGTTTTTTTTTTTTTAATTTTAAATTAATTGATTAATTTTTAAATTACGTTACCTGTTCATGCCGAAGTTTGCATGCTTAGGTCACAGGCCGATTAGTGTTGGACTTGTAAATGAATATTGGATGCTGTTATAAAAGGTGCATTAAGTTTAATTCTATGGTTTGTGAGAACTGTTACTTGACTACTTTGTTTTTATACTTTTTTAATTTGTTTTTTAGTCTTCATGGGAGAGGTTTTAGTTGAGAAGAGGTAAATACTTTATGAACACCGTTTGCATCAGCCAACGTGGAGTTTTATTTGCTGTGTTGAGTTACTATAAATGAAATGACATTTGTTCGAGCAGCCACGTGTCCAAATTTTTCTTGTTTTGTTAAAATTTGACATGTTATCATTGTCAATGTTGTTTGTTGTCATTACTATTATTACTGTTAGTCTGTTACTAACAAACTTTTGAGTTTATTTTAAAGTTTAATACTGTTATTTGTATATATTGTCTTCTATAGGAATTTAAGAGATGATGCCAAAGGCATTCCATATATATATGTTGAGCCGTTAGAACTCCATGATGAAGTTCTCAGGTGCAATCCTGAAGCATTTGAATACAGCTCTGCAGGTAAATAGAGTACTTGGTTTCTGCTCTGAATATTGCTGTTGTGGATTTTGTTTCAAATTTGACAGGGAGGTTGTCTTTGGTCAGTGGTCTATAATGATGGCAGAGATAAGGGTCTAATAGTTTTGTACTTGGGAAGTTTGGCCAGAATGAGATTTATCATTACGAAAAGTTGTCATAATCAAGTCTGATTTCATGCTGACAAATTGCTGTCAATTATAACTTTCAAGGGTCTTAGAGTAATTTGCATGTTTGATGAAGCTTGAACTTGGTTTTTTGATGTCAAACTTATAACTCTGTTAACCTTTTCCACCTAAAGCTTATGTTTTCCTTAGGTCTTATTTCTTTCTGTTAAATAATTTAATGGTGCTCTGCTTATTGTTTATTGTATTGGTCAAGTTTCTCAGGTCCTGTCAAGGAGCAGATCTCTAATAGTGCATTACCTGAAAAGAGGCTATCTGAATCAAGTTTTCCTGTCCCAAGTCAGACTCAAAAAGACTATAATGCAACCCATAGTCGCCAGCTTGATAATTTTTCAACAAATGTATAGTTATATTTGATATTTGCTGCAGCTGTTTGGTTCTTTTTCTTTTGCTAACTTTTAATAATGATTTGGCAGGATATTTCTACATTATCTTCAAAAAAGTCAAAAGTAAAAAAGAAAGTTGGTGATGTAATATCTATAGCACAGGATCCTGGTGAGCTTCAAGGTTGGTCTATTCCTGGTTCCTAAAATCCTACCTTTTTAACATTGTTGTTTGTTCTCTATCTGTATGTATGTGCATTATGCCTGTGTGCACTCATCATGCACATGCTATTTTTATGTGTAATCAACTGGAATTTTTAATCTTCGTAGATGCCAACATTGGAAGGTTTCGTGAGTTTTTGGAGGACTTATGCAACAAGTCTGAATTTAATAGTGATGATCGAGACGAAGCTGAATGGCTGCCATTGCCTCTTTCAGATCTTAGATTACTTGTTAGTGAAATAGCATCTATACGTGAAAAAAAAATTCTGCATTTGGTTCCTGTAGAAGCCCTTGTTAGACTGTTAAAAGTTCTAGATCATCAGATTCATAGAGCAGAAGGCCTGTCAATCGAAGAATGTGATAATGTAAGTTCACTTTTTATTTCTTTTGTATTAGTCTGTACTGAATTTTTAGGCTTGTTTGGTTTGGATTTAGTTGATTTGAATGACCTCAATTTTACTAATGAAATCTATTAAAATCTAACTTGTATTGGGTAGTAAACAGAAATTTAATATTCAAATAGCTTTAACACATAAATCAAGTTTGGCAAGTTTGCATGGTGAAAATTGTCTTTAGAGTATGTATGTCAATTTTTGTGAGGTCCCACCATACATGAATTTGGGTTTGGTAGGTGAGGATTGATCTTTTCAATGCTCAACAGTCATGGTAAATCTGATTATGGTAGCATGGTTTCTCATCTACAAGTGTCTACATTTCCTTGTGATATATTGTTCCCATTCAAGAACAAACTATATATTTAATCTCAGAATCTTTATACATTAATATCAATTATTTTATTCTCTTTTAATACCATGTATCTCTTCAAACCTCCTTAATTTGAAACTGTACATTATTACTGATTATAATTGAAAATTGTTACATTGTTGTGTGTGTGTATAGAAATGAATTGTTTTTAGAAAGGGAAAGAACAAGTAGAAGGAGGCTAGAATATCCTCCATCATAACAACAAAAAGCTTATTCTAATAGATTTGGTCAACTATACGAATCACATGATGTCATTAAAGCTCAAATGACACTGTTAGAAAAGACTTTACAAAAGATGGATTTATTTTAAATTTGGCTTTTGATAGAGCCCAACAGCATTGTTAGGTTCATTTAGTTACCCATGCCGTACCCGCTAGTTGCATAGTGAATTCATACTATTGTTTTTTTTCTTGGGGTTCTTGTTGTAACTGTTATTGTTCTCTGTTTCAGTCAGATTCAGAGCTAGTTTCATCTGTTTTAATTGCATTGGAGTCCATTCATGCTGCACTAGCAGTCATGGCTCATACTGATATGCCAAAGCAACTTTATAATGAAGAGGTGGGTTCTTTATGCTAATTCCAAACAAATATTATTTTTATGAATGACAATATTTTTATTAGATCTGTCTTAGGCAAAGAAAGTATACATTAGAGAATGCTCCTTCAACAGGAAAAAAGTTCTTTCATGACTTGTGCAGATTGCTATCCTTTGAAACTATAATCTGTAATGCCTGAAAGTAATTTACCCATGTCAGATCATTGAGAGAATTCTGGAATTTTCCCGGCATCAGATAATGGATGTAATGTGTGCAAGTGATCCGTCATACCGTGCATTACATAGACCTGGTGAAAACACTGCATTTGAAGGTTAGCCCTTTTAGTTCTTTTGCTGAATAGAACATAATTTTTTTCGTTTCACATTTTAGAGGAAGGAAAGGCCACTGGAAAGTCAGGATTTTCTTTTTAAATTGTATATCTACTGTAATTTGTTTGTAGTTAATGATGCATTATGAATTTATAGTTTTTTTGAGAGCAACTTGGAAATAGAGAGAGAATGGAAAGAGATTATTTCCTCAATGTGGTTTCAAACTGCTAATCTTTACGTGTTTTCCAGTTGATGATTGTGAAGAATATGATGCTGAATTTGGTTCAGCAAGCAAGAAAAGGCGTACTAGCAAGACTTCAAAATTGAAGAAATCAGCATCAAGCAGGTCTGAATCAGAAGTTGTCCTTTAATCTGGTTTTCTTATGCATCTTAAGTTAGATTTGTTATCACATACATTTCTTATTATTTTCTGGTTGGTCATTGCTTTATTAGGGTCTCAACTGCTGTGAATACTATTATTCAGAAGTTGTGCACTGTTCTTGGACTACTCAAGGATTTGTTGTTAATTGAGAAGTTATCAGACAGTTGCATTCTACAACTTGTAAAAACAAGCATTACGACATTTTTGGTTGATAATATCCAGCTTTTGCAATTGAAGGCAATTAGTTTAGTCAGCGCGGTACTGATATCTTCCATTGCTTTGTGTGTTATCTATCATACTCGTATAGGTAGTTAACTTATAATTATTGTTTTTCCAATATGTTGGTACAGATATTCTATTTATACACGCAACATCGCACTTATGTGATAGATGAAATGGTTCAGCTTCTTTGGAAATTGCCGTGTTCAAAGCGAGCTTTAAGATCTTATCATGTACGTGACGAAGAGCAAAGGCAGATCCAAATGGTTACCGCTTTGCTTATTCAGTTGATTCATTGTAGTGCTAACCTTCCTGATGCTTTAAGAAAAGCATCTTGCGGTAATGCTGTACTAGAAGTCTCGGTTGATGCTAGTTATCCATCTAAATGCCATGAGGCAGCAACAGAAGCCTGCTGTCTATTCTGGAGCCGTGTACTTCAGCGGTTTGCGAGTGTGAAGACTCAGGATGCTTCTGAGCTGAAGTCCATAATGGAGAATCTTGTTACAGATTTACTGACAACTCTAAATTTACCTGAATATCCTGCTTCCGCACCTATTCTAGAGGTAGATAGGTTGTGTTTGTTTTTATGCAGGGATCTGCATATCTCCGTGTACATTTTAATATTCGTAAATGCATCAGAATGGTCATATTTGCTTACTGCTGAGAGTTGTTTCAGGTTCTCTGTGTATTGCTACTTCAGAATGCCGGGCTGAAATCTAAGGATGTCTCTGCACGTTCCATGGCTATTGATATTCTTGGTACAATTGCTGCAAGGTTGAAGCGTGATGCTGTAATTTGTGGCCGAGAAAAGTTCTGGATACTTCAGGATTTACTTAGTCAGGATGCTGATACTCAACACCATCCAAAAGATACATGTTGTGTCTGTTTGAGGGGAAAGGTAGAAAACTTGTTCATATGTCATGGCTGCCAGAGGCTTTTTCATGCTGATTGCCTAGGCATTAAAGATCATGAAGCTTCTAGTCGAAACTGGTTCTGCCACATATGCATCTGTCAGAAGCAACTGCTTGTATTACAATCATATTGCAATTCCCAGCGGAAGGATGATGTGAAAAAGAATCACAACACGTCAAAAGATTCTGAAGTTTCTGAGCATGAGATTATTCAACAGTTGCTTTTGAATTACCTACAAGATGTCACCTCTGCTGATGACCTGCATCTTTTTGTTTGCTGGTTTGTACTCAACATATCTTGTAATTGACAATTTAGTGTTATATATACAAAGGTTATACATGTGTATTATGTGCAGGTTTTATCTCTGCCTGTGGTACAAAGATGATTCGAATTGTCAGCAGAAGTCCATTTACTACCTTGCTAGAATGAAGTCAAGAATCATAGTACGAGATTCTGGTACTGTGTCTTCTATGTTAACTAGGGATTCAAGCAAGAAGATTACTTTAGCTTTGGGACAAAAAAGTTCATTTTGCCGAGGGTTTGATAAGATTCTTCACATGCTTCTGGTCAGTTGATATTCATCCTTTCTCTAATTTGTCAAAAAAAAAAAGTACTTTACTAGTTTTACTTATGATGTGTGCAGGCAAGTTTGAGGGAGAATTCTCCGGTTATTAGGGCTAAGGCCTTGCGAGCAGTAAGTTCAAAATATTTTTTGAAGTTTCCTGCTTTCCATTGAAAATGGGATACTTATAAGTGCTACTTTGCAGCAAATTAATCTCTTCTATCATTTAATGTATTGAGCAGGTTAGTATCATTGTAGAGGCTGATCCAGAGGTATTGGGTGATAAGCGAGTACAATCAGCTGTTGAAGGAAGGTTTTGTGATTCTGCTATATCTGTTAGAGAAGCAGCATTGGAACTTGTTGGTAGGCATATTGCTTCCCATCCAGATGTGGGTTTTAAGGTATGTGTCAAAGAATCTTTCCTTAGTGGTCATTAACACAACTGTTCCTATAATTCTTAGTTATGGATACACTTCATGTTTAGGGTTGATGTATTGTTAAAACAAATTTCTCAAATGTGTATGTAGTATTTTGAGAAGATTGCAGAGAGAATCAAAGATACTGGAGTAAGTGTTCGAAAGCGAGCTATAAAAATCATTCGAGATATGTGCAGTTCAAATGCCAACTTCTCTGGGTTTACGAGAGCTTGCACAGAGATAATTTCACGTGTTAGTGATGATGAAGCAAGTATCCAGGTATTTTAAAATTATTGCTTGAATTTTAAATACTTTGTTCCTAGATTTTGACAATTATAGTTTATGCTACATCATATAACAGGATGTGTTTGAAGATTAACATGGTCTTATTTTATATCATCTGTGATGATGATTTGTAATATTTACGCTTTTCATTTGTATTCCCTAAATAGGTAGTTCCATTGTGCTGTAAATTATTAGTTGTGAGATGTTAATTTGATGTTAAGACCTGTGATATATTCTTTAATTTATTTATTGATGCTCTCATCCGCTTCAACTGTTAATTGTGTTCTCCCTGTTCTGCTTTGGTTTTCCAGGACCTTGTTTGCAAAACTTTTTATGAGTTCTGGTTTGAGGAGCCTCCTTCACAAACTCAGGTCTTTGGAGATGGCAGTACTGTTCCACTTGAGATAGCTAAGAAAACAGAGCAGATTGTTGAAATGCTGAGAAGAATGCCCAATAATCAACTTCTTGTAACTGTAATAAAGCGCAACTTGTCACTTGATTTTTTGCCACAATCTGCAAAAGCCATTGGGGTCAATCCAGTGTCCCTTGCAACAGTCCGTAAGCGTTGTGAGTTGATGTGCAAATGCTTGCTAGAGAAGATATTGCAGGTACATTAGTGTTTTGTTTATGCAACTGACTATTATGGTCAGCTGCATTAATATGAAAATGACAATTTTTTATCATAATCAGGTTGAGGAAACGAACAGTGATGAAGTGGAGGTACGTGCACTTCCATATGTGTTAGTCTTGCATGCATTTTGTCTTGTGGACCCAACACTCTGCGCACCAACTTCAAACCCTTCCCATTTTGTTGTTACTTTGCAGCCATATCTGAAGACTCAGGTTATCACTTTCTTCTTAAGTCATATATTGGCTTACTCTAGTGTTTTTTATGAATTATGTGTGTGTGTGTGTGAAGTCAATGTTTCTCCTTTGTTGCTTTAATTAGTGCCATACATGTCCTGGATGCCAATTTTTAACATTGCTGTGTCCTGCCCATGTTGAGGTGGTTGTTTCAAACTTTGTTTGAGCTGTGAGGATGAGATGTATATTTCATTTCCGATAACCTGTTCTGGTTATGCATATATGCTATTTATTTATACATCTTATAATCTTTCTTCAAATAATAAAAAGTCACCTATGCCACTGAAATTTCAATGATAATTTTCATGCTTTCTTTATAGCTTTTTATTTATTTATTTTGTGATTATTTTGTATACTGATAATATAGTTCTAAATTAGTTTTCTCATATATTTACTTATTTTGTCGCATTCTTTTTATTGTGAAATTTTATTTTAAGACAAGCATTTATTACAATAACATTAAGAAAAGGAAACAAGATTCAGAGGAAACTGTGGCCATAAATTCCTGGATGTTATCTCAAGTTTGGCAACTTCATTCCTTTGATATATTTTATATTATTATATACTGTGTCTGATAGCTCAAGGTTGGAATAATAGGAAAGTCTAGCTTTTTGTTATGTATGAAGTGGTAATAGTAATGCAACTTTGCATCAAGGTAAACCCAAAAAAAAAAAAAAAAGAAACAATAACTTAATTGGCTCTCTGTTTACTAGTCTTAAAATGAACATCAAGGACCAAGATCCTATGTTGTGTAGTAAGATTCTCTAAAAAAAGATTTATAATATAACAAAAATTAGCTCAAAATTTGATTTGCAATTCAAGATATGGCAAAAAGAGTAAACATAGGTTAGTTGGCTTAAATTTGAAAATAACTCATTTTTATCACTTAAGCCCAATTAAGCTCACCTTAATAAATGCAGCCAAGTAAGACTAATTAAACACTCATATCATGTAATTAGGTCACATTAAGGCTTAATAAATGTAATTAAAATATGATTCATCAATGACAATTCCATTTTGTTAATATGAACTAGTTTGGCTTAAAAACCAATTTATAGTTTTTGGCTCTTTTAAAAATGTTTGGTTTGGAACTTTGGATTATGGTTTAGTTTGGTGTAAATGGATTTTATGCACAACACTAGGGTTGAACATAAAAAAGAAGTTTGCTAAAATATAAATAGAAATCCATTGTGCATGACACAATGTAATGGAGTCTAAACGTGTAGCTAATAGCAATATTAAGCATTTTTTACATTAACCAAAATCTAAATGCTAACACCAAGAAGCTTGTGGTTAATGACTGTCCTCATATTATATTATGATTGATATCCAGATTTTTAGTATTATCTTTGTTGTATATATGTAAAATATAAACTAATTTTATAAGTTTATAACTGATTCAGGCTTTTGCAAAATTCTATTTGGCACTTTGTTTCTGCTCTGGTCTTGATCTATTTGTTATTAGTCGTGTAGTTTATGGTCTCTTAAGATTTTATTAGATATCTCTTATGGATTTTTATTTTTTTTTACTTTGAAAGAATAATCTGAAAATGACAAAATGACAAAAGTGTGCTGTGTCTAATTGTTGCTTTTTTTCAGGTTGACAATCGCATGGTTGCACAACTACTTGAGAGTATAATTTTTATAATTGATGCTGTGTTGCCCCTGCTCCGAAAGTTACCTTCAAGTATTGTTGAGGAACTTGAGCAAGATTTGAAACAGATGATTGTCCGGCATTCTTTCTTGACAGTTGTCCATGCATGTATCAAGTACTTACACTTACCATTATTTTCTTCTCTTGTGTTGTTTTGCTTTTTCTGTTCTGATTCATCCTGGAATAAACCAGCTGATAGATTTATGTGATGTGCCATTCTCTAATTTTTCCTGATGGATAATGGAGTTTACAATTGCTAAATAAATTTTTTTAAAGTAACATATGAGAATATTTAAATAATTATCTTATGTAATACATTAATACCAGTGCAAAAATATGTATGTCTTTGAACAAAATTTGTGGACTGTTATGTGAAATATTTATGAAAACCTTGAATTGGATGTTGGTTGGGTTTATTGATTAAGATTACTAGAAAAATTGTTTTTCCCTACTTACAGGTCTTATTATATTTTTTGGATCAGGTGCCTCTGCTCTGTGAGTAAGATGGCAGGAAAAGGGGCTGCTGTAGTTGAACACCTTATTCAGGTCTTCTTCAGATGTTTGGATATCCAGGCAGATAACAAGCAGGTTTATTGCTAGATTCATGTTAATTTTTGTCTTTGATATAGTACAATTGTTACTGGGTTTTTTAATCAGCACCTTGGGAGATACATACCACAAAAGCTAGTCGTTGTACTGAGAGAGCTCAAGGCCTTATAAATCCCACACTAGAATCCCATACTTCCAACATGCGACTCAAGTCCGTACCTTGCAATTCATATAAATATCTTGACTCATTGGAAACTTAAGCTTGCACTCAATTTATCAAGAAAGGTTGTACTCTAGAAATCATACAGTAGGTTTTTTTTTTTTTTCACTTGTTAAGCTGCCCTACATTAGCTAGGAATAGGTCCAAAGTTCTCCTTTTAGGAGAGCAATCCCTCCCTCCCCCTACTAAGCTAACTGTTGCGGCTGAGTTAGGCTTAATCCATTTATAATTTGGGATCAGGGTTATTCCGTCTTGGTGTTTGTTGGGTCATGTGCAGACCTCTACTCCTGCAAACCTTGTGCTACAGATGTCTTGTCTTATGCTTGTGGAAGTGTGTTAAAATGTCTCACTTCAGCTAGGATAAAAAAACTACTTATACAACTTGGACAATCCTCTTCCCTAAGCTAGTTTTTGTGGTTGAGTTCCATTTTGAATATTCCCTTTAGGTAGTATTTGTAGGGGCTAGGTATTTGATTTCAGTACTCAATTATTGTTCCTTAAAAATCTGTGGTATTTTGTTAAACCCTGCATGAAGTAGTTTATATATGATGAATTCTTCTTGCTAAGTGGATCATATTTCTTGTAAGTGGTAACTAAATTAGTGTCAAGGAAAGTTCCTGATTTTTTTTTGTGGATAGAGCTCTTCAAGGGAATTATGGTCTTGAATATCAAGCTTGGACACTAGATTATATCATTATAATATTTTTGTGTTGTACAGTGTTTATATTTGTCTTTTAATTTGCTTGATGGTGAATATTGTTTTAATTTTATGTGCGATGCAAAATAAAAATTGGCTGTCTCCTGCTATTTACAGCAGGTTGGGCGATCTCTCTTCTGTCTTGGGTCGCTCATTCGGTATGGCAATCGTCTATTAGCAAGCTCCAGTAATAGGCTTATTGATGTCAGAAGGAGTCTCAGTTTGTTTACAAGGTATCTTTCTGCGGATGATTTTGTCGTCAAGGTTAGATCGTTGCAGGTAAGACTTATTCATCTACTTAGTTCTTACCAGTTACTGTGGTTTAATCTTAAAAGTTCATTAATGTTTGTTTGCAACTATTGTAGGCACTTGGATTTGTTCTAATTGCTAGGCCTGAATACATGTTGGAAAATGATATTGGAAGAATACTGGAGGGAACATTATCCTCAACTGCTGACACTCGCCTTAAGGTAATATATTTTGTATGCATATATATATATATATATATATTTGTTTATTTATTCATTACTTCTTTGTGGATACTAAATCCTTCTGGTAATCAGATTCAAGCATTGCAAAACATGTTTGAGTATCTTTTAGATGCTGAAGCCCAAATGGGAATGGATAAAGCTGATGAAAATGTTGCTGATTGCTCAATTGGGGCTGGGCAAACAGTACCTGTTGCTGCTGGTGCTGGGGATACAAACATATGCGGGGGTATAGTTCAATTGTATTGGGATAATATTTTGGGCAGATGTTTGGATTTCAGTGAACAAGTTCGTCAATCAGCCCTGAAGGTCAGAATAGCTTCTATTTTGGATCAGATTTAACACTTGTAAGACAAATGCTAAAAGACAATGAAAATCTTTTTTTTGAACCAAAACAGTTTATAAGCATATGGGTGGGTGTGTTTTGGGGGGGGGGGTGTTGTCCTTGTTTGTTTCTATTTTCTCCAAGTCTGTTGGATGAATGGGGTGAGAGCATAAGGTGAAGGGGACAAGAAATTAGGTAGATGCTTTGCAAAGGAGTTTAAAGGTAAATCTTGCAGTTGCAAGTTATCAGCAGTCTCTTGAATGTGGTTTAAGTCATCTATCTTTTTGTCTCACTTATTTTCACTGGAAGATTAAGCATTTCAGTGAAAATAGTTTAGTTCTTCTTTTGATCTTGCATATTTAGAAAGAGATTTGTTAATAATGCAGATTGTTGAAGTTGTACTGCGCCAAGGTCTTGTTCATCCAATCACCTGCGTTCCATACCTCATAGCACTTGAAACAGATCCTCTGGAGTCAAATTCAAAGTTGGCTCATCATCTTCTGATGAATATGAATGAAAAGTAAATATCCTATATATAGTTTTGATGATGTAATACATGTCAACTTGCTTGCATTAGATAATTAAAACATCTTTTCAGGTACCCTGCATTTTTTGAAAGCCGCTTGGGTGATGGACTTCAAATGTCGTTTATGTTTATACAATCTATTTCCAGTAATTCAGAAAATGTTGACCATAAGATCCAATGTAAGACCCCTGTTTCTGGAAAAGGGAAACCTGAGGCTGGCTCACTTGCTCAAGCAAGACTTGGGGTTTCTCGAATATACAAGCTCATCAGAGGGAACCGGATATCAAGGAACAAATTTATGTCCTCGATTGTGCGGAAATTTGATAATCCATGCTGGACTAAATTAGTAATAGCTTTCTTGACGTAAGTACTATCTGTTACTATTCTTTGTTTCTTGTACGAGTTTTTAAATGACCTTTACTTGGTTTCTTTGGACAGATACTGCACAGAAGTCCTTGCATTGCTGCCATTCATTTCACCTGATGAGCCCCTCTATTTAATCTTTGCTATCAATCGAATAGTTCAAGTGAGGGCTGGTCCACTAGAAGCAAACTTCAAAGCCTGGACTTCAAAAATTTTAAGAAGTGAGGGTCATTGTGCACCTTACAGCAACGGAATGTGCCAACAGGGGCTAGATGAACCTACTCATACAACCCAAGTGATGTCAATGGACTTGAATGGGACATTTCGGCAAAATTTAGATGCTCAGCCCAATTTGAGTGACATGGGATCTCTGGATTTAAATGGAACAAATCATCAACAGCCAGAATATCCTTTATCATATAATGGTAGCTCAGAAGCAAAGCTGCATGCTGCAGGATTCACAAATTCTTTGTCCTTCTCCAACGATGATCTGGAGAAAGTTCAGGTATTTTGGAACCGGCAATCATTATTTTTGTCATTAATTATTTGTTTGAGGCTAAATGATCAAATTTTTTCTAATTAAATGTCTCTCTCTCAAGAAGAAGTTGAAAGGTTAAATGTAGTTTTAGTCCCTGAAATGTTGATAAACCTGGTTTTACTCTTTTTTTTTTTTCTTTTTTTTTTTAATCACAAGTTTTAAAAATTTTAAAATTCTATCACCACTTATTATTGATGATGTGATATGTCACATCGTATGCTACCGCAAAATTGGTCAATGGTGTAACATGGCTTGATGTATGCCTCTACCATTGAGTGGTGACAAGGACCATTTTTAAAATATCAAAGTTTATGATGGCCAAATTACGTTTTTTTGGAGGACTGTAATCAAATTTAGTCATGTTTAATGAGATTAAATGCATATTTAAGCTGAATATAAAATATCAAATGTTCTCATTGCACTCCCTGAACAGCTGAATAATGCACATAGATTAATCGTTTTTTTTTTATTCATATTCTTATGGCCATTTTGTTACCTATGCTTGTGCAGGCTGACTGTTTATCGGCAATTGCATTGCAGCTTCTTTTAAAGCTTAAGAGACACCTAAAAATCATGTATAGTCTCAATGATGCCCGTTGTCAGGTAAAATTATATTATGCATCTTATCATCACTTGGCTACTGTTAAATATCGTGTATCCTTTGACTAGAATATTATCGGATAGGAAGCTAACGGTTCTCTGTTTGGGATGTGCTCCCACTTATTCAGGCTTATTCTCCTAATGAACAACCAAAACCTGGAGAGGTTATCTCCAGACAGAATATTGGTTTTAATATTGGTGAATCACAGTTCAGTTTGCCTACATGTCCGCAAGAATTGATACAAAGATATCAGGTACTGTAGCCTGAGGGAATGTAATTCTCTTTAGTACCCTTAAAAAAGCCTTTTGCACCTAATTCGATTGAGGGTTTATTTAGCCATAATTTCCATTTGTTGCACCAGGAATTTAAGAATGCATTGAGGGAAGACACTGTGGATTATTCACTTTACACTGCAAATATAAAACGAAAACGACCTACAACCAGAAAAGTTCGGAAATCTGGACACATGGCAGGTGGGGATTTAGAGGAGGACGATGATGATGAGGATTGGGCTGGTGGAAGTGCGATGCGCAAGTTGAATAGTAGTGGCCGCAGGGGTAACCTTAGAAGCTCTAGGCAATATTGATTGATGTAAGTACATGATAGATAGGCTAACTTGTACATTAAATAGGCAGAAAAAAAAATACAGAATAGGACGAGAGCCAATAGAATAGGATTTAAGGAAACAGAATGTAGGAAAGCACGGGCCTGGAATTCTCCTTGCCTTCTTAGATGACCATGATTTTTGTCTGTTTCCTTTTGTAATTTGCATCATAATATAGTGGCTGCATTCTTTTGTTTAAAACTGTCTTAGCCATCCAAATATCAAATTTTGTTGTTTTCTTTTTGGCTTTGCTTCCATAGCACCGAACTCGTTGTCTATATAATAAAGCTTGGTTCTTGGAAAATAACCGATTTAATGGCACAAGTGCAAAATCATTACTTCGAGCTATTATGGGTTGTTCCTCTTTGAGATGAGTAGTATCAAGCAGTCATACTGGTATGCAAGCCTTTTTACTGTAGCCCCCTTGAAAGTCTGGACACGGGCTAAATAGTCTTTTGCTCTTTCCAATGCTACCATGTACTATAATATACGATATTATTTTGTTGGAAAAAAGAACATGATTATACTCCCCTTTCCGAGTTATCTTTCAATTCCCTTACTTTCTCCTAAGATGAAAAATTAAGCTCCCTCTCAAATAAGTTTTACGTTATATAAACATTTTTAACTATAAAGTAATTGTAGACAAGGCCCTCTTAAAGACTTTTTTTTTTTTTTTTGGTTTATATGGATTTTAGAACCATTATTAGTTAATTTTAATACCTTGCCAGCTTAAAACTTAAATTCTTCAGTTTTTATCTTTAAGTTTCTAAATTTATATAGTAAGGGGTCCAAAATTAACTATTGATGAAGCTGTTAATCACACTGAAGTTATTTCTAGGAACGCTTGTTTGGATTAAAATGAATTCAGGTGTGACGTGTTCATCACTTGGGGGAGGGAGCATATGACAGGGCAATGTAATATAGTTAGTTATTAGGAAAGGAGTGTTATTTATTCTACTTTTAAAGAAAAAAAAATTAAAAGATAGTTTTGTTTGCCTTTTAAATTTAATCGATTTTTTTTATCAATAAATATAAAAACATTATTTTCATTCTTTTTGTTCTTTTTCAAGATTTTGTAAAGTGATGAAACAACAAATATCGTTTCTCATTTTCTTCATGAAATTTTAAAACTAAGAAACTGAATAAAAATAAAATGTCACAATAAATCATAACACAAAAGTCGAAGATGGCAGAAAAAGAATTCTAATTTATTCTTCAATTACACATTGTTGGTGCACATAACTCAGCAATAATAGAATCTTTATTTTTAATGATACCCTAAAAAAATGAGGCTTAATAAGCCCACTTCTGAGGGTTGATTTTTTATTCTTGAGAATGTTGAAGTAGTTACATGTTTCCATGTGTTTTAAATTTTGAAATATTATTCAGAGCAAGCGTACTCCCAAGTCCCATGCATTTTTTAGCACCACTCTCATCATTTCATAGGAGATGGGAATAATTCATTCCCTGGGAATGTTTGAAGTTTTACTAATTGGGTGATAGATACTAATGAGTAATGGGAGAGAAGAATGTAATTGTATTTAGTTTTAAGGATATTTTCTCCTATCATAAAATATTTCCGAGAATATATTTTTAAACTAAATAAAAACACCACAGGTATAAAATATTTTAATAATATCATCCCAGCGAATCTTATGCAAAGGATTGACTAAAACATGCAACCTAGAATTTCGATGTGTTGGCCACCTTTTAAAGGAATTACCGAAAAAATCTTTGTTAAGTGTAGAAGATATTGCAAATAAATTGAAGCTTGAATATCTAGATTTTTGTTCAAACTTACTTTCTTAGCATTCAAAGTTTTGAGGAGAAAGGGTTCGGTCGAACTAAGGTACAGATATACCACAAACCCAATGCAAATCAACAATGTTTACATGATTAAGGGGAGACTTTGGAATATCAAGTCATTTAATTTGAACAAATTTACCTGACACCATCCAAGACAACAATTTAACGTAGTGAGTGTTTGTAGCAGCGCTACATACAAACAATACGCATGTTTATTACTCCTGACAGCGGTAGATGGACCCGCGTCACACCTTAAAAAACACAATACCAAACAAGCGTAGTAATTAGTCGATATCACCAACGTGATTTGCAACTTATGGGTTAATTCAACAAAAATCCTTAATTCCAATTTATGCTGTCTACCACGCTTCTGAAAAAATGATAAATAATTTCTTTGAAATGAATTCATTTCAGTTCATGAATTGTTCCAAACCCAATGGTGGCATGGAATTTCAATAAAGGAAGGATATTATGAATTCAAATCATCCTTCTTGCTATATGAAGATGCTGATGAATTCAGAAAACATGAACACTGCAAATGTCGAAACTGCTTAGAGCTGTAAAGTCCAATATTCATTCAGTCTGATATTCTGGATCTTTTATGTCCAAATATCTTAATAAATTAAGAGAATGGGGGTGGGGGCTTAAGAAGCCAAGGACTTGTTAAACATTCAAGAAATTTCTGAATAACCGAAAATCTAAATCTTCGAATGTCACTTATCCAACAAAGGAAGATTCCACTAACTTTGAAGTAAGGTCCTTTCTGGTACTCATGGAGCTATTACAAAAAGAGGCTGCATGAGACAGAAGTATATCAGCTAGAGAAATGAAGCATGCAATTTGTAGACAAAAAGAAATGCATGCGCGCGCGCACACACAAAGTAGAGAGAGGGTGTGTGTACCATGTCTACACTAACTGGTTTCCCATCCTCTGCTAATATCTCAGTTATTGTTCCTGACTGATCAGCCTGTCACCAAGTAATTTGAAAGGTAACCAAGAAATAAGAGATTTATGGGTTTTGGTTAATAGAAATTGGTTCAGAACAAAAAAAAAAATAAAATTATCCCACAAGAAAAGTTCAACTGCATGGATTATACTATGCTATTGAACTTGGTCAAAAACTAAATTTTAGTGATATTATTTACTGAGATCCCTTTTAATGATTTCTCCCAAAGTTCTTTTTGGTCTCTCTAAACCCTTTTTCACATGACTAAATGTATACACTCAAAAAGAGAATATTAGTCTCCTAACACAAACTACAGCCCCAGCCCCCTCCTCCCTCAAAGCGTTCCCATGCTCTCCACCACCACAGTTTACTCATATCCTAACCCTTCATACCACTCTCAGTGTCAACTTTGTAATTGGCAGGTTAATGCAGCTGAAACAGATAGCACTGCAGAAACAGTGTTTGAACAGCATAGTAAAGTCTGTGCTTTTTATATTTGTTGTTGTCAGAGAGAGGCTTGAATTACAGATTTATGTAAGGTACTATATTGGGGATAATCTATAATGCGACAAATATCCGGAAGTATATGAGAAAGCAAACAAGATGTAAAGTGAGAAATATAAATGTAATACTACCTATGGTAAACAAACATCTAATTCATTAAAAGTAATTGAAAATGCAGTTATATGTCATAAATACTCTAGTCCAAAAATACCGATAGTATTTAATGATGAAATTCGTGTTTTATATATGAAATGAATGAATGTATCCATTTATATGGGTAACGAGTGAGGGTTTCATTAATACAAATTTTACAATAAATAAAACTATAAAAATAATTGAGCAATTAGTACATCTGAAATGAGTCTTTGTTTCATATAAGTAGTAAAAAAAATATTGCTAGTTATTTTTTATAAATAAAACTTAAGTATTAATATACAAGAACAAATAGGACCAACAAAAAAAAAATACATGTACCTCAATTTCATTCATCAGTTTCATAGCCTCAATAATGCAAACAACCTGGCCTTTCTGCACTTTATCTCCCACCTGAAGCAACAACAAAATAATTAAGGTATTGATTAATTCATTTAGTGAACATGGAAATAATTAGTTTCATTAATTGTCTGTTGCAAATTGACGCCTCAACAGAAAAAGAAGCATTCAATTTAAACCATGTTTGTTTACATACCTTGACAAATGGAGGTTCACCAGGTGCTGGACTCCTGTAGAAGGTTCCTGCCATTGGACATTTCAGCCGGGGATGAGATGATGAGCTTCCTTTTCCAGGGGAAGGTAAGGCAGGTGCTGCTTTTGGAGGTGGAGAGCTTGCAGGAGCAGAAGTTGCTGGTGGCGGCGGCGGCAGAGAAGAAAGTGTGGGATAGTGCATTGGTGCTGATGCTGGGGCTATAACTGGTGGAGGTGGCAGCGCTCCTTTTTTTCTTATCATGAGTTCGCAGTCTGATTGCTTAAGTTGAAATTCTACAATATCTCTCGAATCCACGAGTCTGCCATGGAAATGATAATAAATAAAAACTATGCAAACGATGCATGTCTATAACATAGACAACATAATTAAGAAAAGCAAATGATTGAAAGCAAAATGAAGCTGTTTAATCTTACTTTACAAGGTCTGAAACTTGAGTCATGAATGCAGTAATTGATGATGCATCTGGGATAGTGCTACCAGAGACTTTCCCATTTTTGTTTTCTTTTCCTTTTGATGAAGCATCATTAGGTCCATTGACCAGTACAGGTGCAGAATTAGAAGAATTTTCTACAGAAGCAGCCTATGATGTACAAAACAGTACATATGGGTTAATTTCATTAATCTAATGAAAACATATTTGAACAGCAGAATAAAATTTCCATTCAGAATACAAACTCAGCATTACACTACTCTCTCCCGGCCCCCTCTCCCTCTAAAAAAAATTGAAAAAAAAATAAAGGAAAAACATAAGGACTATATGCAAAATGACAATAACAATGGAATAATTAAATAATCACCAAAAAAGAAAATATAGTTGTGAAGCCTTTGACACACGTTTATTATTTATTCAATGACTCATTTACCATCTACAAACTTTTTTTTTCGGATAAGCTATCTGCAAACAGAAATTGTTTAAAAGGATAAGTTCTCCAATGGCTAAGATTACAAGTTAAACGATTTGAATGCCTTTTAATTGCAGTTGTGCTTCAGAGCCAAGAAATAACAGAGAATATCATGATTTAGTTAGTCCTCAAGTAGGAAAATCAAATATTGAATTATTAATATGAGCATCATCAACAATTAACAGGCATCATAAACCATGAAGGTGATATTTAGTAGGCTTCAAGATATAAACGATTGTATATTACCACAAATATTGTCGTAACTGTTGACAAAAGCATTGATCATCTTCAAGATATTCAACATACTTATTCTTTCATTAACATTCAGAAACCCTAAGGAAAATCAATTGATATAGGTGTCATTCCTTCATTATTACTACTAAAAATAAATCAATTGAACAGAACACTACAGAAGTAATCAGAAAAAAAAAAAGTTCTTTCTATGGATTACATAATGTGTCATCCATGCTTAAAGATTGGATCACGAAAAACAGGAATTCAAAGAACAAAATAATTCTTCATATGGACATTTTTACTTTAAGTCAAAACTCACCCGAATCTTAAATGAAGTTGATTCAGCAGACAAAGATCCAAATGACAGAGAAGGCTTAAAGCTCAACCCAGTTTGAAACCAGAGCTTGTGGGATTTCAACCCCAAAGGAGAAGAATGAGAAGGGCATTTGGGGCATGGGACCGAGAAAGAGGCCATTTTGGAACCAACCCCACAAATCAAAAACCAAACTTTTCTTCTTATCTGGCAAAAAGGGTGCGTGATCTGCAAGGGATGGTGAAAATGGCGAAGTGGGTCGGTGAGAATATAAGCTATGAGGCGTTAAGATCTAAAACGGTGTGTGAGGAATCTGAGAAAGCACAAAAGGGGGTAAAGTGCAAATGTTCAATGAGAGTGGATGGAGAATACAAAGGAAAATTGGAAGACAGTGTAGATTAGATTTTACAACAAATGTAGCTTCGATGATTACGATGTAACCATCAATGTCACAAAGTTTTAAGTTTAACTAACTTGAGACAAACAATAAATCATTTTATGGCTCATAAATCACTGCTTTTGCATTTGTCTCGGAGAAGTGTTTGCTGTTTCCCTCCAATCTCAAGTGTGATACTTCGGAACATTCATCTACAAAATCAACGCTTATAACAGCTTCCAAGTGCACTCATGAAGGCCACTGATTTTGCTATGATTGTGACCTATTTTGTAGGTCTTGCCTTCACTAATGTATTGCATCCTAAAAACATGTCATTCCTGCCTTGATACTTCTAAAATCGATGGAGAAAGTTTGTTTTCTAGAAATGTTATTTCACTGTAGTTAGGAAAAAGGTTGAACTTGAATGTACGGATCTAGGGAGGAACAGACAAAACGAACAGAAAAAAAAAATGGTATGTAAAATGGTGTGATAGGGAAACAAAGATAAAAAAATTTGAAATGAAAGGGTGAAAATACTCTTTAAAGGTGTAAAGAATTAAAACTTCTGCTATTAATATAATGTTACATTAATATATAATTTCTTTGATTTCTTTTATAAAACAGTTTTAACTGGTGAAACTTTAATTTAATTGTTTTTAAAAATAGTATTAGAAAAACCAAGAAGTAAACTTGTAAGAATTAAGATGGTAGAGAGCTTTATTTAAAACTTTACAATTCAAATCCAAATCACATAATTGTTAATTATGTGAGAATCTCAACAAGTTATTATATAATAATTTTTTTGTTCTCTTAAATTTTAGAAATAAAAAAAATTGCAATCATTAAGGAATTATATTTTAGTGACGACATGGTAAATAAATTGCCATGTCATTCATCTCATATAACATATATATAATAAATATGAAACATTGTTATAAGATGGAGTCCTATATTTCATATGTGGAGGGATGGGATTCGAGCAAGCCTAATCCCTAGTTCTTTTACCCATTCAACTTATTTCCTCTTGGTGTTGGGGCTTGTTTGAAGTCACTACACAAGATGGTTGAAAAAAGTGATCCTAATAGATTATTATATGCATATGGACACCAAGGATTAATGGCCTCTTCATGTAGGATGATTTATATTTTCAAATAATTGTTAATTAGAGCTAATTTGATAAATAAATAGAAATTAGGAGGAGGTTCAAGAGATGCAAAATTCGGCAAGTAAATATTCATCTCTTAACTTAGGATCAACTTAACTTACTTTATGCAAAATATTAGTTTTTATAAAATGTTTAATGCATTATAAAGTTGACCAGAAATGAATGAGGTGAGTGATCCATCTCGTGAAAGTTTTCATAGATTTAAAATTGTGCATGTAACTTTAAGATTGAAAATAACAAAGTTACAAAGAAAACCTACTTAAAAAAAAAGCAAAGAGTTTTTTTGTTGTTGATCGTTTTGTTAGAGTTAATAACATTTGTAGTCTTCATGTATTATTGTATTGAAAAATATCATTCCATGATTTAGAGGCTAGCTATTATTTAGTGATTAACTAGTTGTTCTTTGTATTTGGTTTTTTTCTTTAAATAAAATGACGGTTGTGATTAAAGACTCGTGTTAAGAGTTGAATATGAAACCTAAAAAATATCATTATGTTGCAAAATTGATTATACTTTACTATCAAATTAAATTAAATTTTCTAAACTTACTTTTAAAAATATTATTTCTAAGCACTCAGTCTTGTTTAGATAGTGATTTTATATTATATTAATGTGTATGTAAATCATTTAACCTTTTTCTGCTGTGTTTTGATGTATAAATCCTTCATTAATTATAATTATATAAATGTTTTTAATTTATAACAAAAATTTCCAATTAAATATAAAATTTGATCTAATAATCTCATGAATTTCAATGATTAATTTGGAGGTAATCAGTGTCATTCTTGTTTGACAAAATTATAAAAGGACTTACAAATTTTACGTTTTTAATAATAATAATAATAATAATAATAATAATAACAACATTTTTTAGTACGGCGGCAAAAAAAAAAGAGAAACAAAAAGCCTTTTTTTTTTTTTGTGGAAGCCTATTTTGGTCTATTAAACAAGATGAGTTAGCATAGACAAGTGGGAGTGAAGCCCAACACAACCGGGTCGGGGGTAACCCGAAAAGAAGCAAAAACCCTAATTCGAGATTGATTTATATAAACTAGAAAAAGGGGATTGAATTCCTTTCGCCTTACGCAGAGAGAAATTGAGATTTGAGATAAGTATTTTTCTCTTCGATTCATTGCATGGCGACAGCGAGAACCGTCAAGGATGTTTCGCCTCACGATTTCGTGAAGGCTTACGCTTCTCACCTTAAGCGTTCTGGCAAGGTTCGATTTTTCTACATCTCTTATCGTTTTTCCATTCTGGGTGTGTCTAATTTCCTTTGTTTCTTCACTTTCCAATGCTTAAGTTCATCTGGGTTGTTCATCATTTTGTTATTATAGTTTGTGTTATTTATTTATTGTGTGTTTGGGTCACTTGTGCTTCAAATTAATTGTAATGCTATTAATTTATCTTCTGCTTTGTGTTTATGATTTGTAAAAAATGTAGTTGCTACATGGCATTGTGTTTAGTAAATACACTGTTGTGCAAATGTTCTGATGAATATTCTTAATATGTGTAAGTCGATTGTTAACTGATGCTTTGGATATAGTGTTAATCAATGTGAGATTTTTTGTGGTGAGGAAAGTTGGGAGTTGGATTTGTTTTTATATCTGCGGATCATGTAAGAGTGAGAACTGTTTGGTGTATAGCTTTGTGTTTAATGGCTTTGATTTTCACTGCATAGTCCAGAAAAGAGAAACCAAATACGCGGTATGTTTATGGGTATGCGGTTCTTCACTTTTTACATTATTATTACAAAGTTTCTTTTTAAAATAACTAGTTATGCTGTTTGTGCCATGGTGAATTTGATACACGGTACTCAGGGTCATTGAGAGAATTTTGTAACTACTCCAGAATGATGGTTTTTCTTTGTGATACACGGTACTTAATTGAAGTTGAATTATGAAGCTGCTTACTGTGGTGCTCCTGTGAATGTCTATTAATGGCGTATCAAATTGACGTGTTTACTTAAAGAAAGTAACTTAGTGTTAATTCATTGGTATTTGAACCTTGAAAGGTTATCGTTTCTCTTCTGATAGTTGATTTGTGCCTGGTGTTTATAGATGGAGCTTCCTGAGTGGACAGATATTGTAAAAACTGCAAAATTTAAGGAACTGGCTCCTTATGATCCTGACTGGTATTATGTTAGAGCGGGTGAGTTTACACTTCACTCAGTGCAAGTTTGTCACATACATGAATGCGTGCATTCGTGGTTCAGTCAGTGTGTCGGTAAATGTTTTTTTATTATTTTCTGTTTGACTTGAGTTCAACCTTGGTTGCAGCCTCCATGGCAAGAAAGATCTATTTGAGAGGTGGTCTCGGTGTTGGTGCTTTTAGAAGGATCTATGGTGGAAGCAAGAGAAATGGAAGCCGCCCCCCGCACTTCTGCAAGAGCAGCGGAGCTGTTGCCAGACACATTCTGCAACAGTTACAAAACATGAATATTGTTGAGCTTGATACAAAAGGGTAATTCGTGTTTTGCTCTTACATAATTTTTAAATGCTAAATATACTAATTCAACTTCAGGATGAGGTCATACTTGTATTTCATTTGATTGCTGGATCCAAAGTCCTTAATTTGAGATGAAGATTGAGACACATAGCAAATGTTTTTATCCCGTGATTATTTTATTTCAGCGTTTGCATACCACATTTTTGCTTGTTATATAACATTCATGCTTTTTATGCCCCTCTTTTTTAAAATTGCAGAGGTAGGAGAATCACATCTAGTGGTCGAAGGGATCTTGACCAAGTTGCTGGGCGAATTGTGGTTGCTACTTGATCGAACATGATACTGAGAATTGATGATGCATATCCTAGGATTTGTCTTTTCTGATTAGTAGATGGCATCAAGGGAAAATTAAGTATTGTTTGTCAAACATTTTGCAATATGTTTTTCTTATAAACGTTTGACCTTTATTCTAGTTTGGAGTTTTGGTCTTTAAGGTTTTGATTTAAGATTATCAATGCATTATCTTCTCTACATTGTATTGAACGATATAGACTTAAGTGATGCTTGCCCTTCCCATCAAGGAATTTTTTTGGGGTTCTCTGGATTGCACTGCCCTTATATAAAGACAAGCAAGAATGTCTGTGGGTTGAGTTTGGGAGAGGAAGGAGTGTATATTTTATATTTAAATTTAAGCTTTATATTTTTTATTTATGTTAATCTATACCTTTTTTTTTTCATTTAAAAAATTATCAAATTTAAAAGCATTTATTAAAAATGAAAAGTTTGTCCTTGTTTTTTTTTTCTTCTTTCCATCTCTACTACTTCAAACATTCAACATTTAGAAATTAATACACAACTAAAACAGCATGTGGGTACTCACTCCCCATCATGGTCAAAAGTGAATTGTCATTACTTCAGTTATTAAGCTGCTTAGTGATTTTTTATTTATTTAAATCTTAAGTGTTTTTTATGGGAGATTTAAGTTGGATTATATATCATGGTTAAATTATTTTTGGTGAGCAATTTTTTTTCATATTCAATGTTTAATTTTGAGAGACCTTGCTTAAGGTGAATTAAAGATGTACAGTTTAAATTAACCATCAACATGAAATGTGAACTTTGAATCCTCACATGCACTCCTATTTTAGAGGGGAGGGTAAAACAAATATAAACTTAAAAAGAAATTGAAAAGTAAAAGGTTCATGCGGCGAAGGAAACAATCATTCATACAATTTTAATTCTCATTTTACCCCTAAACTTATGCAGGAGATAAAGTAAGGTAGCCCAATTAAGATTAAATATTCTGTCTTAACACTGCATGACTAACACAATCTAATTTGGTAGAGAATGGTTTATGAACACTGTCCTTACTATTTATTATCTCGTTAAGTTCGAATTCAGAGAAAGAAAGCGTCACGAATAAAATTATTATATGATATTTTTATTAATTGCAGGGTACAGCAATAGTCAATAAAGCACCTGGTGCTCCATGTTGGAAATTCAGTTTAAACATCTGTGAACATTATTCTTTTATGATTAATTAACTTAATATTATTATTACTTTGATCATTTTTGTGAACAAATTAATTTTCATTTTTTATAATATCAGAATATTCTATTATTAAGAATTACAAGATTCAATATAATTCAATTATTTTCATTAAAAAATTATACATATATATTTTTATTTTGTACAAAGTTCCACAAGTAGAAAAATCGTAATGATAAATTGATATACTAACTACCAAGAATTTAAACACCTTCGAATTTGCTTGTTCTACAATTGACTTAATAATAAAATCACAACAAAAAATATGAAGTAAATTCATTTCATTTTGATGAAAAGAAGATACCTTCTGCCCATGCCACGCCAAGGTGTCACAGTACAAAGATCATTGCACTATAATCGACCAAGGCAAAGAAGAATTTGCAAACTATATATTGGTTGCCCATGGGGGAAAAATGAATATCCGTTCACTACACATGGGGGAAAAATGAATTGAATATTGTTCAGAGCAAGGGGGGAAATGAAAGGAGCCATTATTCACTACACATCAGCAAATGACCTTTGGAAGCTTAGTTGAGGTAGGAAGAGCAAGGGTTCATGTCATTCCATGACAACAAGCACTTGATCTTCTTATGGTGTGGTAAGTGAAACTTGGGATCTCTAGGTATAGTTGGATGCTTCATTGACCTTGTAAACAGAAAGATTAATAATGACGAGTCAGACATTCTAATGATCATATACCCTTCTTGATAACACAAACCTCCATTTATTATGCAATTATATGAATCAAGGGAGTTTAAAGTAATGTAAGAAAAAAATTGTGAGATTCATGTACCGTCAAAAAAAGGGAAAATATAGATGAAATTTCACTAAATCTCTGGAGGTGAGTGTAATTTGCCAAAAATAAAATAACGGCTTTAAAAGATTGTTGTCATTTATAACGTTCTAACCATTACCTCCGTGGGACAAAAGGTCTATCAAAATAAGGCATTGGTTGTGCTTTTGGAATAAGTTCCTTCCTCAACCTTTTGACCTCTTCCTCTTCTGCCATCTATAAGAGAGTAGAGTACAAGAAATTAGCACTATAACTAATGGAAATATGGTAACTCAGTTCGGGATTCAATGATTAGAGATATAAAGATAGTAGAGAGAGTGTACCTTCTGTTGTCTTTCCCTTTCTGATTTGAGTTGTTCTATCATGTTCAATTTTGCTGCCACCTACACAATTAAACATTCATCAATGAGTTTTCTATGATTATGTATTTTTCCCCAAATGAAAGATTCTAGTAGCTCAGTTGAACACTATATATCATGTGTAAATCTAAGGAAAATAACAAAATAAAAAAAAAAGGAAGAAATAGATAAAAGAGGCACCTGATGGTCGAATTCAGCACGATCAATTGCTCGCACATCACTATGGAGCCTCAGGTCAATAGGCCTTGTGATTTCTTTCACTGGAGGTTTTAGCAAGCACTATAACAGTAACAGCAAAACAATGATTTTAGGCCAAGAAACCCATTAAAATTAGCAAGTACAAACATAAGACTAAATTCGTGTTTAAAATGTGTTTTTGACTACACCACAATCAAATGGACCTCAAACTAGGACTTGCATAAGAAAAAATTGACCCTACCTCAGGTTCATCTGTTGTCCATGGGAGACCCTGTGCAATAGGTATCCTCAGCTTCTCTTCTTCAGCTGTGATCTCTTGTACTTTCTTCATAAATTCTTCCTCTTTCAACTTTCCCCTTTGCTACAGTATCATTGTCATTGCATTACCAACAATGTTACTATCCAAAATCCGAAGTCATTGGAAAATTATAAAAACAAATACTACATAAAAAATGATCATTTCTCATAAATTACCTCTGTCCTTAGCTTAAATGGTTTTTGGCTCGTGACTTTTTGATTCTGCTTCTTCTTCAACCTCCTCCCTCCAAAAGTTCCATTCGAATCCAAACTCTGAAACCAATTCATTAAAATTCATTATCTTGTTAGTGAATCATTAATCGTTCTTCATGTCATATAACAACAACAGCAGCATCTAAAATCTTACATTTCTCCTGCTTCTTCTACCCCCAGAAGTTCTACTAGACGCACTGCAGCAAGAAGAAACACAACAATAGACAAATTAACAAAAACCAACACAACAAGTAGTGACACAATTAAAGAAAAAATTGAGTAGAGAGACATTGATCAAAGGACAACTTACACTCACTCATGTAGTTTAATGAAATTTCATTTAACACTCTCCTTTTTTATTTTACACAAACCTTAATTTATATAAAGGTCTTGCTGCCGGTAGGTACTTGTTAAGGAATCATTATATAATAAATTTTATTAAAAAAACATGGGTTCAATGCATTCTTATTTTTTTCAACAAAATATTTCTATTTTTGATTTCTTTAGCGCAATGGTTAGCATTTTCCTGTATATAATTATGGTATACTGTATACCCTTCTCGATAACATAGACTACCATGCTTTCTCATACAGTTATATGAATCAAAACAGATCAAAATAATGTAAAAAAGGGAGGAATATTGAGTAAAATTTTGTTAAATTTTAGACCTTAATGAAATCAAATAGAACCAGGCAAGTTTATAATTTTGATGGGGATGAAAGTCAAAGTCAAACCTTCCACGGCTACTATCCCAAGAAGAAGAAACTGAAACCCTTTGATCCAAGCCAAGGTTCTGGGCTGTCAAGACCAACTGAGATGCGCAACAAAAAGAAGAACCAAAAGCAGAACCAGAAACAGAAGAAGCATCATCAGTTTCAGATGCCTTAGTAGGAAGTTGTTGCATCATTTGCAACCCTGGCAATCCCCATTTCGTCACATTCTTCTTCTTCTTATCATCATTCTCCTTCTCATGATCATCGTCATCATCAACATGTTGCTTCTCCTCCTCCTCATTCTCTTTCTCTTCCTCATCCTCACCCTTTGAAGAACTCTTTGGTATAGTGAGAAGCTTCTCAAATGCCTTCACCAAATGCATAACCCTCCCAGACCCACTTTCAGGGACACTATTCCTTGCTTCTTCCAACAACCTATCCCTCTCCCTCCTTCGTTTCACCGTTGATCCACCTTCCACGTCACACTCTTCTTCTTCTTCATTTTCCACTGTCTTTCTCACATCAATTTCAATAGCACTTTGAGTCTTCGTTTCTTCTTCTTCTGCTGCTGCTGCATTATCATCAAAAACCTTCTCTTTGATGAAAAACTCTTCCTGGGAAGCCCTCAGAGTTTGGTACGCAACGCAAACACACTTGGCACTGCCGTTGTGTTTGCACTTGCACGAAACGGGGTCGATTTGCTTCTGAGAGTGGTTCTTATTCTTCTTCTTCGCCACCACGAACTTCCTCTGGCGGATCCTGTTCTGAGGCGATTGCACAATTGGGTTGTTGTTATTAGGCTTGGAAGATCGTAAAGCTGAAGACTTTGAAATAGGGCTTCGATGATGATGAGGCAAATTGGGATTCACATTCTCAGGGTTTAGGGTTTTCTTCGAAGGAGTGGATTGTTCCATTTGGAAGAATCACAGAGAAAGAGAAAAATTGTGTTTGAGTGATTGTGATTGTGTTTGTGATGAAGAATGAAACGGAAAGAAGGAAAAATAGCAACTTCTTTTTCCTTCAGCAGAGAGAGAGAGAGAGAGAGAGAGAGACGCTCTTTGTTGTAACGGCTACTTTTTGTTTGATTTGGGATTTTTTATGAATCTGTAAGAAAAATAAATATATAAATTATTTTAAATTCTGTTTCCATTTTGGTTTCGGACCGTTATATTATCGTGGGTCAAGTTGCTGATTAAGTATCATATTCATAGTATGTGCCTAAATAAGAATTTTTTAAGAAGGTAAATAAGAGTGTTTTTGGTTTAAAACTTTAATAGTATTGCTAAATTGAAATTTCAATTGGTCATTTTTTAAATATTGATATTTAATTGGATTAATTTGGTGCAGCTTTTTGTAAAATGAGAAAACGCTTTTTATTATGTTTGATTTTATACAAGGAATGAAATATTTGTTTTAATTAAGAAATTATAAATGTAACTTTTAAGATAATTATTATAAACATTGACGATTATATAGCATACTAATTCCTAATTAAATAATACTAATTTTAGTATATTTTAATTAAAACAAAAATATAAAAATAAAGAATAATAAGAAATGCAATATAAAATAAGTCCAAAGTAGATTTAAATAAGTTTATCTTGTGTTTATACAAAACAAGTTTAAAATAAATGATTAAAATGTATTATATTATTTTTTAAAAATTTAATAAAAGATGGAATAAAATTGTTGTTTTGTCATTAAAACAAGGAATACAATTAAGATGAAGAAGAACAAATGGGTCTAGGATGAAGTGTATGATTAATTTAATTTATTGTGTGGAAATAATGAAAAACCTTAAAAAACAAATAATTATTTTTCAAACAATAAGTCACTTAAAACATAGATTAAGGATATAAGTTTGCTTTTTCGTTTGTAACTTGTCAAACAAAATTTGAGCCACAGTTATTTTTTTTTTTACTTTTGAAAAATTACATTGAAAATCATTTTTTTGGGGTTAATTACGCTAATGCAAACAGGCTTTAAGAAGAATTAACATTGCTATGTTTTAGAGAAAAAAAATGGAGATGACAAGATTTTAGTTTGAGAGAAAAAATCACTTAATTTTTTAATACTTTGTGTTGAGTATTAGCCATTAGGTGATGAGGTTTCAAATCAAATAAACCATAATTTATTTGTCATAAATCAATTTAACCTAATTTAAAATGTGGTTTTGATTTAATTTAAATTTGGCTACACGAAATAACTTAATTAATTGTTTAACTTTAGTTTCCTGAGTTTATTAGGCATGAAAAAATAGCAATCCTAAAAGGCTGCACAAGTTAAACTTAAAAAATAATTCATCGAAATTTACTAACCAATTCCTTAAAAGTGTTGATAAAAAAAATTAATAAATAATACAATTTATTATGCTTTTTAATAAAAAATTAATTTTAATTTCTTAATTAACTACACTAACTGATTACAGAAAAAAAAATGATGGAGAGGTAGAAAAGGATCCAAATTAGAGTATGAGTGTTCATTGAAATATCAATTTTGCATAATGAGATGTATAGCCAAGTAATAGCAGCTCTCAGTCTTGTTCATTAAATTAGAGACATTTTTATAAATCATAAAAAAAACTATGTAAAAGATGTTTATCAATATAGATAATTTCTGTAACATGACAATGCCATTGATTTGTTATTAGATTTTTTTTTTTGGTCACGTGTTACCCTTCTTGTAGAAGGGCAAGAAATAAAAATATATACAAATTTCTTTTATACCATAACTAGCATGTATTCAATCTCTTTTATACTTATGAAATTTTTTTACCTTATAAGTATTTTAAATTTAGTATCCATATTATATATTAAAGCTCTTATATATTCTTCATTTTCAAGTTAATTGTGTTTTTAAAATTACTTTAAATTTAGTTTGTTCATTGATTTTTTTTATTTAAAATTATACATATTATTATTTTTATCTAAACTTTCAAGGGTTTATAATGAAATTGAAACATGAAATAATTTTAAAAGTTGGTAAGTAAGAAGTTTAGTAAAAATTTGATTGAAGGATGTGAAATTTAAGTTTGAAGATAAATAATTAAGATTTTTCATAATTTGGGTGAAATTTGAATTTTTTAGTTGGTGAATTTTAAGTTAAATATTAATTTAAATAATTTAACTTATAGATATTTTAAATTAAAATTTACTTTTAAAAAAATTTATAAGAGACCAAAATTTAAAAATATAAAGACTTAATTGACTAAAAAAAACTAAAATCACTCATAATTTTAATTAAAGTGATATATTCTGTAAAAAATCGTATTTTGACACATTATACTTAAAACACTCGTAATAAGTAGAGGAATTATCCCTCAACCAAGTCAAACACAAACATGACTAAATATTTGCAAAATTATATAAAAATGAGTATAGAAACAAATATTATAATGCTATATTTATTTACACACGTAATACATATAATTTAATAATAAATTAAGATATATTAATGTTAAATGTTAAAATTATATACTTACAATTTTTATTATTTTTTTATAAAATATAAGATTGACCAATTCAATTGTTAAATTATTTTATATTATTTTTTGATTATGTATATTAAATTTTACACAATTTAAAATATTTATGAATATGTTATTTAAAATTTAATATTTATTTATATTTTAAAAATATAATACCCTTTAAAATAAAATAATATGATGAAATACTTATTAATTTTATTTTATATAAAATTTTATAAAATTAATTTATTTGATCATAATTTTTAAATTATCAGTTGAATTAGTTAATTTCATATTTTATAAAAAATTATTAAATAATGTAAATGTTTAAATTTATATTTAGTGTCAACAGACTTTTGCTTTTTAATAATATATATTATATAATATGTACTTTTATATTCAGATTTTTTATCATTTTTTTAAAATTAAATGTGAACGGAACTTAATTTTTCTGAATTTAATATTTCTAGTATATAAATGTCAAGTTTTACACAATGTAGAATAAAAGAAGTAATTTATGTGTGGTAACATTGTGGTATATTGTCAATTATATTGAATACTTTTTTTTTATGTTGAGTATACTATAGAGACTTTAATTTAAAAAACGAGATCAAATAGGATAATTATTTTTAATAATTTGACTTTAAAATATGTAACTATTTATAATTAAAGTATAATTTTTTTTTACCTATATTCAAAAGAGGTAGTATACAAGAGGTTTGTAACATTGACTTGCAACTTGATAAAGCAGCTTTATTTGAATTTGTTTTAATATTTAAGTTTGATTTTAGATAAACTATTATAATATATAATCTTGACCTTAAATCTTGAGGCTAAAACTTTATATTAGATTTATTTTTATAATATTTTTTGTATTTATTAGATAAAATATTATAAAAAAAGCGAATTATATTTTCATTAAGCAACTGATAGATATGGAGATCAAAATTATTATTCAACAGATATAATTATAAGTAATTTTAAAAACATGTGTATGAAAATAAGAACTGTAACATCTCCAATGAAACTCTTTGGTTCAAGTCGTCTTGTTATGTGGCCTTTTATTTTCAGATCTCTAGTTTGCTTAAGGCACTACCAACATATGAAGTTTTGCTTATTTACTTTATATAATAATTTAAATTTTTTAATTTAATTGACAAAATTTTAAATATTATTTTTATAATTGTATTTTAAATAAAAAATAATTATATTATATAAATGGTTATATTTATTTATATTCCAAGAAGCATATAATATGTTACAAAAAAGTTGTTTGATAAAATTATCTAAAACATTTTGCAAAAATTTATATTTATTTTAAATTTTATACAATTTTATCTATTTATTAAAAAATCTTCAACCTATAGTTGGATTAATGAAATTTGTTGTCTACATAAGATTTTAAAAAAAGAGAAACTTTTTTTTATGTGAAAGTAAGAATAAAAAAAATTCATAATTAGATCTTAGCATAATGATTAATATTATAATGCACAAATTGTGTAAATTTTTTAAAAGGTCATATAATTATTATATATATATATATATATATATATAGAGAGAGAGAGAGAGAGAGAGAGAGAGAGAGAGATTGTTTCCTCTTCCTAGCTTCACATTCACTCAAGATTTTCCAACTTTTGAAGCAAAGTTCATCCTTAATTTTGAAGTTTGCACTGTCTACTTCAATCAATGCTCCCAAAATCATATTAATTTGACCTAGATCTACCACATGATAGTCCTGCTCATATAATCCCTATCAATAATTATATGTTGAATATGACCTTTGAGATTATGCATCAATTGCTTTTCAAACAAGATGAACCCATTATTATAGTAAATTACTTTTTGAAGATGAAGTAACTGCTTTGTAATAAGCATAACATAAGCATGATAACAAAATTGGACTCCATATTATAAGAAAAGGTGAATGAAAAAGACCCTTTTAAAGTAATTAAGTAAAAATGGATTTATAATTAACATATCAAATTTTTTAAATAAATATGCTTAAGAAAGATGGTCAAAATATAATATTAATATGAGTAATAAAATTTGTAGATAATAGTAGCTTAATGTAATTGCTATTAAAAAAAGGAATTATGAGATGTGATTGAAAAATAACAGAAAGATGAATTAACCATCTTTGATTAATTCCTCTCCACCTCCACACCATACCCAATTTTAATGTCCATTATTAGTTTTATTGTATATTACTTTACAAAAAATTCACTCTAATTTTTTTTTTATTAATCACATGAAATCTTCATTACCTGTCCTGTCATGTACTCTCAAATCTAAGCACTAATATATTTTTTCTTGCCCATGGACTGCAACCAATAGAATGTGGTCAACATCATAATTTTCAATTTACAACTCAAAACAGCTATATTGACTAAATATTACTTAAAAGAAGAAAAGGAAAAAAGTTAAAAATCTCAAAGTTAGAACTAGAAGAGGTAAAAGAGAAATTAAAAGCAGAAAGCCACACAAAAAAGCATTGATTATATGAAATTTGGATAATAATTTACTATGAATTAGAGAATGTGGGGGATCTTAGGAAGAAGGTGATGGTGACTAGTGACGATGTTCTTGAAGTTGACACACACACTGAGGCACAGAGAAATGCAGGCCAGGTTGCGACTCTTTCTACGAAGATGTTAATGAAAAGAAACTTTTTTTTTTAATAATTAAAATAAAATTTTAACTTTAAGATTAAAATAAACAACTAATAAAAATACTTTAATATAAAAAAATTTCTTATGTTTGTATTGTTGATAAATTAATATATGTTTAAGAATATCTGATATTAAAAAATTATTAGTTAAATAGCATCTTAAATATTTTTTTTTTGTGAATTCTTAAATATGTCTTTTAATTTTTTAATCATGTTTAATAATATAATAATTTATTTGTTAATTTAAAACATTTACATTACATTAAATTTTAACTAAACTCTAGTTATTATTATCAAATATAAGTAGAAATATAGTATTAACATTTTCACGATGAATAATAAAATTATTAAGAGTAATTAAATTTATACACAAGAGAAAAGGAAAAATAAATAAAAAAGATAAGTAATATATACAAAATTACAAAATAAATTTGTAAAAAATATTACAAACACTTATTATATAAATAACATTATTCTAAATTAAGTGAAAGCACCCTCTTTGCGAATTGCAATGAAATTGAAGTTCATTGGCATTTTTGTAGTATGTTCCAACATTGTCCTCACTTTCACTCTAGAAGAATGGCCCACCAGAAAAGAGAAGAAAGCCTCTCAGCACCAAACGCATGGCTCTCACAAAGAAAGCTTGTCCCTTTTGGTAATAACAAAGCTACCAAACATGCATTTTCTTATAGTATATATAACCTTTCTCCCTCTCTTCTTATTCATAAGCTTCTCTTTCTTTCTCTTTGTGCACCTTCCTTCTTCTCTTGGTTTCTTTCTTACTCAAAAGTGATTCATCTCTTCAGGTTAAGACTTGACACCCCATTTCCTGATTTGGTGTTTTTTGTTCAATATTTTGTCAAAATTTGAATCTTGTTTTGCTCTAGTTTGATGTTATGAGCTGAATCATGGTGGGTATATATTTGATCTTTATACATGTATTGGTGTATAGTTGGCTCTTACTGATTGATGGGTTTGATTCTGATTTGTGTAAAAGTGTGTAGATCTTTAGCTACTTTCTCTTGCTTGTATAGTAGGTTGTTCAACTTTATCATGTTGTGTGTATTGTTTTAAAGCTCTTTGGCATTGGATCTACTGTAATCAGCGGTTGATGTGTTACTTAATAGAGATAACAAGCATTTATTTTTCTTGACTGAATGCTAGATCTATTGACAATACTTTCTTAAGATTGGTCTCTGAGTGGTCAACATGTAGTCATATAAAACTTCATCATCATCTCTTGGAATTCATGTGTTAGATCTGGATACTTGTAATCTCTTTTCCGGCCACTTGCTGTATGATTTGAAGAAATGAGTTAATTCCTATTTCATCAATGCCATGTCAATTTCAGATTTCACAAGGAGTTTATTCTAAAATGTGAAATACTTACTTTTTTCATTTCTATCCCGTTTAATTGGTCCTGTTGGCCATTCTTACTGGTGAGGCTGTGCCATTGTTGGCCTGTTGATTCCTCAAAGCCCAAAACAATCGTTGAATGCTTGATATGAATGTCTCAGTGAAGTGAACCTACAATTGATACTTGCGGATAATTTCTATTTTAAATTGCTTAGAATAAGACAATGTAATATTGTATGAAACCTTCAGCTTGCACCTATTTGAGAGTAAGAGTAAGATGTCTGTTTGCTTACAGAAATTTTATGTATTGTATGCTGTTCATCTTGTTCACTAATATATCTGAACTCTTTCTTAAACTTCTATAGACAGAAGCTGCGGTGTCTTGTCTCCTAGATCTCTAATATGAATATAGTCCAATTTGTGTTTTCCCCCTCTTATTATGCAGTATTAGTTGTATAAATCAAATGATCGATATAGACGATATCCAATTGACTTTTGTTGTATTCTTGTATTTACTGATCCATTTGAACCCTTCATTGGATAGGTTGTTTAGAAGAGAAAAATGGTGAAGATCTGCTGCATTGGTGCTGGATATGTGGGGGGTCCTACAATGGCAGTCATTGCACTAAAGTGTCCATCCATTGAAGTGGCTGTTGTTGATATCTCGAAATCACGCATTGCAGCATGGAACAGTGACCAGCTTCCTATCTATGAGCCAGGCCTTGATGGTGTGGTAAAGCAATGCCGTGGCAAGAACCTTTTCTTTAGCACTGATGTTGAAAAACATGTCTATGAGGCTGACATTGTCTTTGTGTCTGTCAACACACCGACGAAAACTCGGGGTCTTGGAGCTGGAAAAGCAGCAGATTTAACATATTGGGAAAGTGCAGCTCGCATGATTGCCGATGTCTCTAAGAGTGACAAAATTGTGGTGGAGAAATCCACTGTTCCTGTCAAAACTGCTGAGGCTATAGAGAAAATTTTGACTCACAATGGCAAGGGTATAAAATTCCAGATTCTATCAAACCCAGAATTCCTTGCTGAGGGAACTGCAATCCAAGATCTTTTCAACCCGGATCGCGTTCTCATTGGAGGCAGGGAGACCCCAGAAGGGCAAATGGCCATTCAAACATTGAAGGATGTTTATTCTCATTGGGTTTCTGAAGACAGAATCCTCACCACAAATCTTTGGTCTGCAGAGTTGTCTAAGCTTGCTGCTAATGCTTTCTTGGCCCAAAGGATTTCTTCTGTCAATGCCATGTCAGCACTTTGTGAGGCTACTGGGGCTAATGTTACACAAGTGTCTTATTCTGTTGGAACAGACTCAAGGATTGGACCCAAGTTCCTGAATGCTAGTGTTGGTTTTGGCGGATCATGCTTCCAAAAAGATATCTTGAATCTTGTTTACATCTGTGAGTGCAATGGCCTTCCAGAGGTGGCAGAGTACTGGAAACAAGTGATCAAGATCAATGATTATCAGAAGAGCCGGTTTGTAAACCGTGTTGTTGCATCAATGTTTAACACAGTTGCAACCAAAAAGATAGCCATTTTGGGATTTGCATTCAAGAAGGACACTGGTGATACAAGGGAGACACCAGCAATTGATGTGTGCAAAGGGCTACTCGGTGACAAAGCGCGCCTTAGCATATATGATCCGCAGGTAACTGAGGACCAAATTCAAAGGGATCTATGGATGAACAAGTTTGATTGGGATCACCCAATTCACCTTCAGCCTACAAGTCCCACAACTGAGAAGAAAGTGAGTGTGGTTTGGGATGCATATGAGGCAACAAAGGATGCAGATGGTGTTTGCATTTTGACTGAGTGGGATGAGTTCAAGACTCTTGATTATCAGAAGATATATGACAACATGAGAAAACCAGCATTTGTTTTCGATGGAAGGAACATTGTGGATGTTAATAAGCTACGTGAGATTGGGTTCATTGTGTACTCAATTGGTAAGCCACTGGATCCATGGCTCAAGGACATGCCAGCTGTGGCATAGAACATCTGTTAAGAACTAAGGCATTCAGTTTGGTTCAATTTAATGTTAATTTTTTTGAACAATTTTTACTTTGCCATTTTTTACTTTCCCATAGTAGTTGTTGGCATAAATGAGTATAAATTATGGGAAAGTAGGAGGCTCTGTGTTTTGCATTTCTTTGTCAGTATTACTGTTTGGCTGTCATGAGTTTACAAGGGATTTTTTATTTGATCAGTATTGTGTTACTATCAGTTTGGTGAATGTTTTGGATATTTCAATATGAGAAAATTTTGGACCTACTTCAACACCTAAAGGGACATTTGAGACAGAAATTTCAGAAAGAAAAAAATGAAGGACATTTTTGTTATTTTATTTTAAATTAAATGACTTACATAATATTTATAACAATGAAATAAATTCAAGATATTTAATTTATGTTAAATTTTATTTAGAAATTAATTTAAAAATATTTATTGAAAATAACCTATTAAAAATAAATTCACTCCAATTTTATTTGAACTGGCGGAAGCATAATTAATTGCAAATAAGTCCTTGGTTAGGTTAGATACATATCTAAATGTGATTAAAGTGTAGTGTGGTAAACCAAAATAGAGAAATTGATACAGAACCGACCTTTGGACGTTGGGTGAGATGGGGTTTTCTTTCCTATAGATGAAATGTATCCCAATGGTTTACAATTTTGATTGATGAACTTCGCTTTTCACAATTAGGTCTAGTGGAAGTTGTGATTAAATCTAAAGTTGTGAAAAGAGAGATACAACTATGGATTTGATTCGTGAGTAATATAATTGATGTATTATGTATGGACTTAATTTAGGCATATAAAGTTGTTATTTTTCATGAATAATGTTACATTTGTATAAGTTATTTTCAGTTTACTTGTCTACATGCATGGCATTATCTGATGTTAATATAGTATTGTTACTGACGGACCGAAGTTCTTAAACAAATAAAAATTTAGTTTTCTTCTAATAAAAAGTGTCCCTATTTGGTACTTAAAACAAAGTAAAAAGTATAAATAATGGGTCATTACTTAGTACTTCAATAGTGGACCTTGGTCAATACGGTTCCAAAATTTATGCCTTCCAACTGTTCGAAATTATTCTGCAACTAGGAAACAGTAGGCATTTGTATAAGTTGTGACAAAGGTGCTTGCAAAGTGGTTACAAACTTCCATGTTTTGTTGGGTAGTGCAAGCATGGTTTATTAGTTGTAATTTGAACTGGTTAGTGTGATTCTTTAAAGAAGATAAAGAAAGCAAAAATAAAAAATAAAAAATAAAAAATAAAAAATAAAAAATAAAAAATAAAAAATAAAATGCAGTACTATTAATAAAGGGGTGCAAAGAAGTTTGGTCATAAAGGTGTTGACGAATAATGTTTTGTTGAAAAGTTGAATTGGTTTTGTTGGTACTGTTTTGAAGAAGGAAGGAAAGAGGGGTTAGTGGAATGGAGCATGTAGAAGATATGCATGATTGTAATCATAGCGGGGGCAATGTTGCAAGACTGATACAATGTGATGAGGGCATACTTACAGTAAACATTTTGATACCAAGTGAGTAAGGATTTTAGCAAAATATTAATATGGGTGACATCACATATCTTGGGGACTTTGCCCAAATTTTAAGTTTGAATTTATATATTTTAGGCATTTTATTTGTTAGCAATACGTTTTTTTAATACATTTTTAATGATTTTTTAAAATTTATTAAAAAATATAGAATTTATGTGTTTTGTTTTTTTATCCTCACATCTTTAAGAATAACAATGTTAACTAAAAGACGATATAAAATACTATTTTAAATTTAGGGGTAAAAAAGCACATTTTTAAACGACTCTCTTGTCTTCTTCTAGCGAAACTATGTTCAAAAGTAAATATAGTTTGAATCGCAGTTGATTGTAGGGGGCAGATAGTCGTCGCACGAAATGAGTTCCCAATCGAGATCAAGGCATATAACAACCTCCATCAACTGGTATCCTCCATCCACTCTCTCAATGCATTTTATTTGAATTTTGTTTCCAATAATATTCTCCAATCTTCTGTACAAATTTTCTATGTTAAATGGCTGGTTACTTGGGTTCAATCCTGAAAGCAAAACAAAATAATAATATTAATGTGATAATCTTTTTTAAAAAAGATTAAATCTAATAACTCAGAAAAAATATAGAAACATACTTCTTCCATTCGTTATTCGATCTATATAAATTTTTCCCTTGGAAACTGATTTTTGAAAATAATCACTGGGGGAAAGATTGCTCAATTTGCCATGTTTATCCCACTGTTTCCTCCAAAAATCTGGATCTGAATTTTTAGGATTTAGATTGGGCCAATAAATGCGCATTTTTTCGAGCAAATCTGGTTTTTCTTTTAGTTGAGCCATGGAAAATGTGGTGGATTGGCTAGGTTCTGCAAAATGCTGTGGCCATACACCATGTATAGTGAGACTTGGGGATGGTTGAGGGTTGACACTTTGCCAAGCACTTGGGCTTTGTAATACCAATTGATGATAGCGTTGGGAAGTTGGAGGAAGCGTATTGTTAGGAGAATAAGGTAGAAAAAGAATGGAAATTATTGCGATCAAAGACCAAAAGAAAACATGATCAGCAAACATGTTTGGTGATGAATATGTGTTTATGTTTTTCTTTTGTTATACTTCAGATTATGCATTGCACTCTCTGCCTTTAAATACTGCGTTTGCAATTTCTTCATGCTCATTGTCATTTGACATCACAGTTCTCTTGGATTCTTCCAATGTGAAGGTCAAAGAAAATTTTCTTCGAATGTGAACTAGAATTAGCCGTGTGGGTGCCATTGTTAGAAGAAACAACCTTTAGTTAGATGCATGCTTAAACAATAGTTGTTGACTATATGTATATATATTAAGTGGGAGAACCACTTGTTAGAGTGGTTGAACATGCAAGTAAAAAAATAGTTATGTCATTTTACACACACTTTTATGATGTTTCTACCGTTCTTCATCCTTTTTTTAGAAAAAGTTAGATATTATCATATTAATGAACTATGATAAGGTCGCAAAAAAATATGCGACGACAGAGTCTTAGTCAAATACTATTTGTATTTTATTGTTTTTACGACGGTTTGTACAGAAGAGGAGAGAGTAGGTAAAAAAAGGAAGAAAAAGAAATATAAAAAGTGGTAATAAAAAATAAATTCCGAAACGATGACCATAAACATGAGAAGAAGACCTAATCAGATTAACGCTCTTATCTAACAAAATTAAATTATTAAGATAAATTGTGAAGATTGACACTAATAATGTGATGTATATTATACTATGTATTGACAATATATATCAATATCTTTTATGATTATAATATTGCTATAATATAGTATATTTTTAATATAAATTCATAATACTTATATTAGTATTTTATTATTATTAGATAAGTATTGTATTAATAGAGGTGAAATCAACCCTAATTTGTTAAAAACTAATAATTTGTTAATACAAATCCACTAGTTTAAATGTCAAGTTTCTTGGGTTCATTCCTTGATGAAAACAAAAAGTTGTGTTTAAAAGAAAAAAGAAACTGATGGATAAGTAAAAAAACAAGATGAGTAAGGATGGAAATGATTACGAGCACATTAATGAAAACATGCTTTGTGATGATGATGCGTTGGTGATGTTTTACTTAAATACATTACATGAACTCATTTAAATATTTGTTATTTCTTTAGGCTCGAGCCCATCATCACAGCATTTCTGTCATTTCCAGTGTGAGAATCAAATTAATATTTTTTGGGGAAGAACTTGTGTGAAAATAAGCATTGTTAACAAGCTAGGGAAACATTGTTTAAAGTGGTCGATTGAAGCCTAGTTATGTGAACTTCCTTCGTTCATTAATCTAATAAAACCAAGTTAAGATCAAAGTAAAATATAGTGCATTATCACTATCCATTTGCAAGTGAAATTAAACTTAAATTTTGGGTTTATAATCATGCTTTGTTAAATTGTATTTTGTTAACGTATTTCGTAACAAGCTCATAGTGTTATGTTTGAGACGATTTTGATTTTATCCTCTCATATCTTTTAATTCAACTTTATTATTAAAGTTTTATTTTCTTTCCACGTTTGGTTTTTTCCATGTTGGTTGTTTCCATATGCTTTGTTACACACAGACTTAAAAGAATATCTTGAAATCAGTAATTTACATTAAACTTAAAATGAGACGGTACACTGTACACGACAGACACACGCCCATAAACTAAACTTATGCCGTTTATGGGAACAAATAGGCCCAAAAATGTCATGTCGTTTCTTCGAGGGTTGACTACAATTAAGTAGGAAACTAAAGCAGATGCTTGTTCCGAAAACAATAGTTCTTTTGGGCACCTAGTTGTTGTGAAGAAAATATTTTCTCTAGTTTACATTTTTAGTTATGGGTTTCAATTTTTATCCTACACACAATGCAACATACAATTTAATATCGATTTCCATTGTGGTATATTTAATTGATGTTTGATTTCCTTTCCGAACTAAATATGAAATTTATTTTTACATATACTATTAAGTAATAATTATAATCGTTTATCATTTATAATTTTGATTTGAACATATTTGATTTTTGTTTTGAAATTACATTACTAAACCATAAATTGAATATTATATTATACTCTTAAATAATTGATTGCACGTGTGGATGTGTTAGATGAATGTTCAAATTGGACAAAGTCCACGGGGATCCATCTCATCCGCACCATCATTTTTATTTCTTTCATTCCATGTGGTTTTCAAATTTTGCACCCCCATTTTTTATTTACTTTCTCATAAAGTAAATACATATTTTCGTCAATCAAATTTATGTGTCAATATTTTAGTTTCTAACTTTATAAAATTTCCATTATAATCCTTACATGTTTATTTGAAATTATAATAAAGTAGTTTAACCCTATCCTTACATGAAAAACCCGAATAATTTTATACGCATATTCGTCACGAATTATTGAACATGTTTATTTGAAATTATTTTAAGAATATAAACACCAGTAGAAAACATCACTTCTTTATTATATAATTCAAAAATTAAATTGACAATTTTTTATAAACTAAATTGATAAATTTACTTATAGTAAAAACTATTTAAAACGCCGTTTTATTAAATTTCACACTTATGCTCTGTTTTGATACAAATAAAAAGGAAAAAAAAAACATGAATAACGATGATTATTTTTTTTGTTCGTTGAAACAAAAGCTTAAGAAAGGATAAGATATAAAATAATATGATATTCATTATTAGACAGGTCTGGTTTATGTGGTACACATAATACATATATATTACAGACTGCAAAGTTTATTTTGGCCAACTGCGCAGCCGAAAAGCCTCTATACAAAATTTATGTTTATTTTTTGGTACGAGAAATTAAGCTAAAGCAGTGATCCTCACAACGTCGTGGCACCAATTCTCTGCTATTCATCGAGTATGTCATTACTCCTCTACGGCAAATTGACTGGTTCAATGTCCCATATATCTCGGGCATATTCATGAATGGTACGGTCACTGCTAAACTTGTACGAGCCTGCTGTATTCAATATTGACATTCTTGTCCACTTCTGCACACACACAGTACAAAAATAGATGCATGAAAGACTTAAAGTGTGGACAATATTTAAATTGTGATACTGTAGTAGAATGAATAATCGTGGACTGCCGAACTATACACCAAATGAACACAATTCATAAATAAGTTGTGACATAATAATAGAAAGACGTGAATGAAAGAAAATGCAGACAATAAAGGCGTATAATAAACATGGAATTGGTGTATGCTTCCAAGAGGCTATCGCGTGATACAAATATTCAATAGTAAATATGAAAAAAGTCCATAAACTCACTTTTTGGTCCCGATAAGCTTCATCAACCTTTTCTTGGCATTCTATGTAGCTGGGGAAGTCCTTGCCCACAAGGAAATAATCTGCTCGACCAAAACCTTCGTCTCCTTCTAAGGATCCCATCAATTCATCATAGTTGTAAGGCCCAAAAATACCACTCCTCACAAATTCTTTAACTTCTTCAAATCGTGGATCAGGGACAAACTGAATTAAAAGACCAACTGGGTCACTATTGTCAGGAATATTATGAATTTCTTTCCACGATTATTAATATATAAAATTTCAACGATGAAATATTTGTTCTTGCTCGTATGGCACAACTAGCAGCATGACATTAACTATATTCCATAGTAATTAAAATGCACCACATGGGTATTAAGACAGACCTTTCCCTCAGCTCTCTCTTTCCTTAGCCCAGCAATTTCATGAGCCTTAGCACCAAAGAGGAAGAAGTTGTCTTCACCAACCTCTTCTCTTATTTCAACATTGGCCCCATCTAAAGTTCCAATCAGTATGCAGCCATTCATTGCAAATTTCATGTTGCTTGTTCCACTTGCTTCCATTCCAGCAGTACTACCGGAAATAAACAGGGAATACAATTAATTGGTAATGCAGCAGTACAATTCACAATGTTGAGGTGTAAGCATTTTCGGGCACCATCAACAGAAACACAATTCTGAGGTGAGAAGTTATTTTCTTGAAATAATTAATAATAATAAATTTGATTCTAACAATCCCCCCCCTCCCCCAACCACTTTGGGGTTGGTAATGCATAATAATGCATAAGCAACTGACACCATGGTCTGCAAATTAATTAAATGAAGTGGAGTTGGAGATGTGAGAATCGAACTGTTGGCTATTAGGTCATAAAGGCTTTTATTACATTTCAAGAACCTTTCACCCTAAAAGCTTAAGCTGCTAGGGGCATGCAATGCAAGTACATAAATGGCTGTATTATATTCGGTAAATTCTTGGCCAAAATTAAAATGTTTACCCATATCTCTATACAGATTTCTATTCACAATTGTATCAAAGTATATCCTCTGCTTTAAGTAATGAAAGAGGATTTGTCCACATCAGCAAATCAGTTCCTTGTTCACAGTAACACTTTCAGAGTTTGCCTCAACAAACAAATCGGTAAATTGAATCTGAATTTATAGGGTTAGTTCAATTTAAAAGACTAACAATTTTAAATGAGTGTTGGTTCTTAATTTTTTATTCTTTTCTCTATTGGAGCACTTGAAACTAAACTCGATTTATACAGGCATACAGGAAATTACAAGTACTTGTTTAGAATGGTCCTATGAAACACCAGTATTTCAAGGGATGTAGTGTTGAATATTGAGATTCTGACATGTCAGGAGCATATATGTCAGGATAAGATTACCAACCCCAGAAACTTGGTATTTTTTAAACAAACCTAGGTTGCATATGTAACATGCTTGGACGCATGCCTTCTACAATTTTTAAGTACTTTTCTTCAAGATAAGTTGTTCAATTTTCCATGCACAAAATAATTAGCAGCAGTTGATCGCATGAGCTGCATCTTGATTTATGTATGACTATTTTCTGTTTACAGCAATTCAGGTAAAATTTTGAGCAGTTGCAATTTGTACAAATGATAATATCATTTTAATTATATATCAGATAAGATTAGTGCATGTAGATCTCACCATTTATGTGAGCATACAATCCAAAGAATAATGCAAGTATATGAAATATAACTACCTGATATGCTGTGACAATTCGCTTGCTGGAATAAGCATCTCAGCAACACTGACATTGTAATCAGGGACAAAAACAACCTGATTAAATATACACAAACAAATAAATAACAACATTTTGCATCATTCATTTGCAAAAAACTGATCTTACTGAAAATATCCAGCAAGTCAACAAACTATCCAAGAATTCCAGAAGTTCTGTCTAGTAAGAAAAGAGAATAATAAATAACAAAGTATTGGACATTAGAAATTTGGTAAACCATTCCTTTTGATTCCTCCCTTCTGAAAAGATTAAATGTTTTTATTAATTAAATGGTAAAAACAGAGCAATTTCATATCTAAATTTAGTATATTAGAAAACTGATTGATAACAACAACAACAATCAAGCTTTATCCAATAGATGAGGTCGGCTACATAGATCTCACACAACATCATTGAACTTGATAAAAAACTATATTATCTAAAATATTATTTATTGCTAGATCTCTGTTATTAATTTCCTTTAAAAGTCTTCCTCCACCCTTTTTCACCAGACTAAACACTGCTATCCACTATCCTCACCAGTGTCCCCAATAGTCTTCTTTGTATTGGATATTAGAAAACTGATGTGATGAGGAATCTTATTTATAAATATAGGGCACAAAATTCAAACAATTCAATGGAATATGGGTATTTGCAGACAAAAGTGGGGTGATCTACATTGCAAGACATATTACAGTAGTTTTATTTTCTTCTATAGGACCAAAATTATCCACTAAGAAAAATTTATCCAAGGATGCCAACAATGATGCAATAGGACCAAACAATGAGCTTTGTTCAGGAAGGAAATTTGGTGATTACAGAACAGTAGTCAACAGAAGTACTCAAATGAATAAATATATATATATATATATATATATATATATATATATATTCTTTTTTTGAAATTTTTCCATGTGTAAACAAAGATTTTATATGTTACCATACTTCAGTTGTTTTTTTCCTTTTCCTCTCTCTGGGTACATATCATATTTTTCTTTTATTTTTGCATAGTAAAATGTCGTACCATATGGACTTACATTTCCAATGTGGAGTTCATGTTATATTACACTAAAAAACATTTTGTATGAAATGGACATTGATTTCAAATTCACAAGCCAAGAGCAACGTGCTTATAGCTCATAAAAGTGAAATATAAAACCCAACAAAGATCCTGCCAAGTACTGGAATAGGAATAACGCTTCACATCTTTATATCTTTATTTTCAACAACAATATACCTAAGAACTATGGGACAAAACAAAGACCAACAAACGAAAAAGAACTCTTGTAAAACATTCATATGTACCTTAAGTAGATCTCCTATTTCTGGATCATGATTTATTGTAGCCCCAACATCTGTAATAAATTTCACTATTCTCTTGGCTTGCACATATGTAGCAAATGCTTTTCCCCCAAATATACAGACCCTGGGAACATAATTTGCTTTCCTTTCTGCAGCACTCATTTCTTTCATCTTCTTGTAGCGGTAAACAATTCCTAATATGTTCAATAGTTGTCGCTTATATTCATGGATTCTCTTCACCTTAACAAAAACAATTAAGCCAACAGTTTACCAAAACTATATAGGGAAAACTAATGGAATGAATAGAAATTGAATTCATTAGTAGCAAAATTGTTAGGAGAAAGGAACACAGCTTCAGATTATAAAATGGGGGTGGGAATAGGCTAGGCGGTCTCTCAATGACCTACAGTCTAACCTACTTTCTGCCTGTGTTGACCTAGCCTATATATCAAACAAGGCAAGCTTAGGCATTTGGAAAGGCCTTTATGTTCATTACTTGCTATACTATTACTTACAAGACTAAGTGTGTGTTTAGATAACTTATTATTTAAAACACTTATTAATTAAACTCCTTATAAACTATGACTTATGCCATAAATTTAACAATGAAAGTTATTAGGACAAGCTGTTATACTGTTTATATGTTCTTCTAAACAGTCCCTAAATCTATGGTTACAAATAATCTACCTTCATAGTCAACTAAATTATAATAATCCCAATAAGAAAAATGTGGGACTGTTACAATATTTTTCAATTTTCATTCTATGTTTAAACTTACAGCCCTATCAAAATTAGTGATAAAAGAAAAAGAAAACAAAAAATCAATTCAAAGGCAACATCTTACCTGGATGTCAAACATAGCGTCAGGAGTGACAGAATACCCTGTTTTCTCTCTGATGAATGCTGCAACTTTAACTTTGTTACTCCTCTTTGCTTCCCTCCACTGCACTTGTAGATCCTCATTGTCTACAAACTAGAAATAAATGATACTAATATGGTCAGCTTTAATTACTCAGGGACTTGAATTTGAAAAATAGGTTGAATATGATCAAGCGATCCATTTGACAAATAATGGAAACAAAACTTAGTCTACAGCATGTTTAATGCTAATATACCTATTTCAGAAAACTTCCATACATTATAATCAACAGATCATATTGATTTCTTTAAGATCAAGAAGCAGGAGCTTACTGAATTTACAATTTCATTTAATTTGTATTCTAAGAAGGAATAATGAAAGTGTGCTAATCCCACAATCCATAGGAATTCAGATTTAAACTTGAAAAACCAGACATTCCATAACTTACCGAATAATACATCACCATACACATTATTCTGCTGAAAAATCATTTGTTGAAGGAGATCAGCAAAGGAAAGATAGTTACATTTTTTAGTTTAAAAGCAATTATAATTCTTGTTCATAGTTGGTTACTTTGGGAAAACTTGTTTTGAGAATTATAAAATTCCAAAATTGGAGATTGTTTGTTCCGAAGTTTCAAGGAGCATATCTAGTAGTATAATTGGTGGAGCAAAACCTGACATTCATACAAAGGAACAAAGATTAAATAATAAGAAGAAAATGTAAATCCATCTTCAATTTTATGAACAAAATATTTAAGACCAGGACAAAACCAACAAATTAAATAATTGTATCTACCTTCCGTAGTTCAGCCAATTTTTCGGTATTTAGGACCCAATCCTCTGTGCCTATCCACTCAGTTATTATTTTACTCAGATCTGGATTACAGAACCTGACCCATCTCCTTGGTGTCACACCATTTGTTTTGTTTTGGAATTTCTCAGGCCACAACTACAGGAAACATGGCATAGAGGTCAATGATATAAACAATTTTCCTTGATCTTGTCATATCTACTAAAGAAAACAGAAAAGGATGAAGCAATATTAAAGGCACATAAACTTCATCCATATAAAAAATGTGAGAACTTTATTTTATTTTTTTTATCTTTTTAATTATAGCATTAATCACATAGAAACAGGAAAAGGGGAAATATCCATATTTTATATGGCTAATATGCCCTTTTGGCAAGAATAAATAGTTTCCTCCCCTTTGTCACAGATAAGAGTTAACTGCCAAGTGCTATTTGGTGGTCTGATCTCTAATTGGGAAAACTATTCATCACAGATATGAATTTAAAAACCTTACTCAATTGAAGCACTATGTCACATTATCCAAGGAAATATTACCTTATAAAATGCATTGAACACTTCATCTTTTACAATTTCACTATGTATCTCTGCAACCCCATTCACTGCATGACCACCCACAACACATAGATTGGCCATACGAACCAATTTTGGTGGATCAGGTACTGGCTCAGGCAACTCTTCTGTCTTATCCTCAATGGAACTTTCATCTGTTCCATTCTTTTTAGCAGTTGCTTCTTCCACTTCATCATTATCTTCTTGTTTTTCCACTTCTTGTTCAGAATTTTGCAGCTCCTCACTAGGAATATCAATGGCCTCTTTGGACTTAACCAGTACATCTGCAAATTCTGCAGGCAATTCAACATTTTCTAGTATTCTCATTTCCTTTAACTTTTTCTCCAGCAAGTCTGAATCTGCTGTGCCATATTCTGTGATTATGGTCTGAATCAGCTGTAAAGCATGAATATCAGCAACAATTCAATTCCTATACACCAAAAGAAAAGAGTTTGCATATATTTCAGTATTACCTCTTCATCAATCATTTCAATAATCTCAATATGGCGTGGAAGCAGTTTCTGCATAAGGTCCAAGCTCCACTTCTCTAATGCCTCAGGAAGAACAGTATGATTTGTATATGCTACAGTTCTAGATCACAGTGGCAGATAATATGCATTCAATCAACAAACTCAGATCATGCATTAAGACAAGATCACCAGACTCTTCTCTCCCCCACAAAAGCAAAAATAAACTTAAAAACTAAATAGTAAAAAAATAAATAAATAAAAAGACTGAATACCTTTGTGTAATATTCCAAGCATCCTTCCAACTTAAACCCTTTACATCTATTAAGATTCTCATCAGCTCTGGGATGCACAAGGTTGGGTGAGTATCATTCATCTGCACTGCAACCTTTTCAGGAAATTCTTCCCAATTTACACTTGCTCCTGATCTTCTCTCAAAACGCGCAACAATGTCTTGAAGAGAAGAAGAACATAAAGTATATTGTTGCTTGAGACGAAGGATCTTGCCCTCCATTGATTCATCCCCAGGATAAAGTATATAGCATATCTGCATTTGACAGAAATACCACATAAAATATCCTATTAACTTGCATTCCAATTGTAACAAAATTAAAATTAACCAGAAAGCCTCCATGTTATCAAAAGTATCTCAGACATTTTCCACAACATTTACATAGGACATAGACTCCAAAATTACATAGGTCATTATAAAAAGACACTCAAGACAAAGTGTGAAAAGATACACCTAAGAACTCAAAAGTCTGGAGAAGATTGATTTTATAATACTAATTTTCTCTAACACTAATTCTAACACCATCACCCAATTGGTCCACTTCTATAAGATTCATAGGATCTTCTACTATTTATAAAGGAGTTTACAATAGCTATATCATCCAAACCTTTTCAGCATTTGCTAGAGCCTCATATGCTTCAGTGTGCCTTCCAGCATTAAAAGCATATAAATCAAATTCTTCTGAAGCAGCTTTTGTAGACCAAAGTCTCAAGTTGATTGTAGTTTTGGTTTTATATCCTGGTATGGGAACATCATGTGCAACAGCTATTATATCTTCTCCTCCAATCCAATGTTTTTTACCATCTGATCCTGACACAACCTTGCCATAGAACTTAATAGGATATGAGACATCATTTCTAATAATCTCCCAGGGATTGCCCATCTGTTACAAGAGGTCACAAGCAAAGAAAGAAACATTAATTGAACTGAAAGACCTAATGCAATCATTATAATTTTAATTTTGTAGCACAAGCCATGAGCACTGGTCAATAAATAATGAAGCATACCTCAAGCCAATCTTCAGCAACTTCCTCCTGCCCATCTTTGGTTATTCGCTGTTTAAATAAGCCATACTTGTATCTCAATCCATAACCCCATGCTGGATAGTTCAACGTTGCCAAAGAGTCCAAGAAACATGAAGCAAGACGCCCAAGACCACCATTTCCAAGTGCAGCATCTGGCTCCTTTTATTGGCCAACCAAAATGAATTACTCAACTCTAAGAGAGAAAGTGCAACCAAATATAAATTTTGATTATATTACACTCCAATTGCTATACATGCTCAGTAAAATAAAAAGTTTGTGAGCTTGGAACATTTTTTAAAAAAATGTAGAAAAAAGAAATTGATAAGAATCTGAAGCACATCACTTGACTCTTCCAATCTAATATATGTCACACACCTGGTATGCCACATTTTCTAATTTATACCCAAGCTCGCTCAAAGCCTCAGCATAGGGACCAGTTAGCTCTAGATTTCCAATTGCATTTAATAATGCTCTGCCCTACAAGATAGAATATTAATCGGAAACATATATTAGATGCAAGAAATGAAGCCACCTATTCAAATAATTATGGTAGCACCCAACCTGTAAAAATTCCATTGAAAGGTAATATGCCTGCTTAACATTCAGCTTCTCATAGTAATCATAAGTAGCATTCCAGTTTATTATCAGAGCATCCCGAACACTCTGTGCAGTTGCAAAGAAAGCCTGCGGTGGCTCAAAATTCTCTGGAGAAAACAATGGAGTGAACTCTGCATGGTACTTTATACTTGAGGCAATAGATGAAGCATCTGGTGTGAAGGACTTGAGAGAGGTTGTAGCTTCTAAAACAAACAATAAACAGAAATGATTAATAAGGTCATAATGAAATTGTTGGACACAAGATAACTGTTTGTAACTTGTAAAAAAGAAAGGACTCAGGAATAATTTCCGTCAAAAGCTCCCTTCCATGTTCCAAATAGAGGATAACAAAATACTAATGATTACCTCTGCTCTGGATAATGTTTTCAAACTATACATTAGGATGAAGAGGAAGAAAATAAGGAGGAACCAAAAATTTTTTTAATTTGAAATTTTCCATCTATTGGTTTAAGCGAAAAGAAAGAGGAAGTAAAAAGGAAAGAAAATTCAAGAAACATGATTATCTTTCCAAGTTTTCCCCTCATTTCAAATTTCAAAATTTTCTCTCCTTCATTTTCTTTCATCACATCCAAACAAAAGGTTAGTGAACTCTCTCTGAACACTAGTATACTACATCTTCAGCAATAACCCATGTATTTCCATGTCAGCATAAAAAAAGGATCCAAATCCATAAATTACTAAATAACACATCATGCTTCAAAGCAGCAATAAACCAGCTTAATAAGATACTTTTCAACCATCAAACTTCTTTCTCAGTAGTTAAATCAAAACAAATTCAATATACCCATTTGATAAGCATTTTGATGGTTGAATTAAGATATTATTGAATAGCATAACTTGTGATGCTTTCCTGACATATTATCAAGAAGATATTGAATCTCAATCCTTTTCCAATGCTAACAAGGTGTCACAAGGAAGGAGTATGCATATACTGTGCATGCACACACACACAAATGCTAGCTATTTTTATTTGAGAGTAAGAAAAATAAATCTTGAATACTAAATCTTACATGATTGATCAATTTTAAAATGAAAAAAAAAATAAAGAAGGAAAAACAAAACCAAAAGTAGTGTGACTTTCTTAAGTGATTGTATAATATTTAAATAACCTTTAATTTTGACTATTCCTATATGATTGTATGGTTAAGATTTGCTCCACTCATCTCAAATAAAAATAGTTCTCTCAGCATATATATGCATTTAGACAGGAAGTATCTAGTAAGATGCCTTTATTTATACAAAAATGATAAATCTAGACCATACACTTGTGTAATCTTGACCCTTTATGAGATGATCGAACGGTTAAAATTTGTCCTTGTATTCTCACATTAAAAGAGTATTCTTATTTAATATATTTTCTATGTGTGTGTATAAATCAGAATCAAATGATATTAAGTGACAAACTTAGTGAAATAATCCATCCAATAATTTTTATTAAACGTGAATTTTATCAATCTAACTATTGATTCTTATAATGAAAATCCTACATATAATATTTTTCTCGATTTAAACATTTGTAGATTTTTAATTCAACAATAATTATTTACTTGTATTTTAAATAATATACCATACATTAAAATAAAATGGTAAAATGGAATATTAATAAATATTTAAATTATGTAGACTTGATACTACTTTATAAGAACTTTAAATTAAATAATTGGATCGATAAAATTCACGTTTGATAAAAAGTTATTAGTTATATTTTCACTATGGTTGATCCCTAGTTATAAGTTATAAGTTGCTAAAATATTTGGGTGTATTTTAATAAATTCAAGTTTTAAGTTGCTAAAATAATTCATTCTAGGAAAAAAAAAAAAAAGTAGTGTGTATTAGCACCTATGAGTGTTAATTTACTACTTGTTTTCTCGAAAGAGTATTTTAGCAAGCTATGGAGTGTTTTATCAAATTCAAAGTTATAAATTACTACCCCACACACACACAAAGAAAGAGGACCCTGCTCCGCTAAAGGCTTGTTTTAGAATATAAAGTGTGGAGTTATAAATCAGTCAGCAGGTTTTAATATTCACTTTTTTAACTTGCGTTTAAGGACACGTAATAGAAATTTATGTATAATAATTTTTTCATTAAAAATTACAAGATATTAAAAAATCTAATGTATTAATAACATTAAATGCTACAATTTCAATAAAAACTTCTATTGTTTGTTTTTTCTTCTTGTGTGCCTTAACGGACGTTAGAAAAACTGTTCAATTATTTGACGCATAGTTTATCACAATTCACAATCCAGTTTTTCGATCATCCGTTAACACTCTCCAATTGATCTCTAATGTGCATTTTACAGGAGCGAAATACATCCGGTTTACACTTCTAAAAAGTTCATAGAACTAAGGTTCGTTCCTAAAGTCCTAATTAAAGGTCGCTAATGAAGTGAGAAGCCCTGAAACCAAACCAGAAAATCAAAACCAAAGCATGATAATGATGATAACGAAAAGGCAGAGAGAGAGAGAGAACGAAAAACTTCAGACCTTGTTGAGGCACAGGATCTTGCAGCTTCTGCTTAGCCTCACTACCAGAGACGCACGTCAAGGAGAAACAACTCCTCCTGAGGTTCAAGTTCACGTTCCTTCTGACGAAAAGAAACTTCGATTTGGATGAAGATCTCGAAGCGACACCGATGAATCCGGAGATGGAATTGCAGCGAGGAAACGCCTCGGTTCTGGTAGAATCCGCAGAGAACCGCATTGCTGAAGCCATTGTCGCTACAAATTGCAATCTCTCTCTTCCCTCGAAATCAACCAATGAGAGAGAGAGTTTTCTTTTTATCTTGTTCACGAGCTTGGTTGGGTCTTTGTGTTGGTGTTGTGAATTTGTGTGCGTCTTCTCTCTATAATGGAGGTGCTGGTGTACTGTGGGTGTTGAAAAAAGATGTGTTATCGAATCACGAGCTTTTCACTCATTTGCCTTCAAATTTTATTCTCTGTCACCGACCTCACCCTTTACCCTCTGCAACTGCTTCGTTGGCTCTCTCTCTATTTGCCACGTAATCATACGCCTTTGTTTTATTGGTTACCCTGAATAAAAATATTAAGAAATAATAATTGTCAATTATAGGATAACTGTAAAAATGAGTTATATTAAAGGAAATGATGAGATCATTTTTTATAATTTCAAGAAGAGTTTTTTTAAATACGAAAATTAATTTAAATTGATAAAAAATATATTAGGTGAAAAAATTGGCTGTGTACTCGTGTATTCAATTGGGATTTTCATATAATTTTGCAATTAATTGTAGTACTGTATAAGAAAACTGATATCGAAACAGTTACTAAAATTTTCAATTTTAAACTTTATAACATGTTGAAGAACAAAGTGTTACTTGATGAAAGTAACATTGAAGATTATTTATGCACACAAAAGAATAAAAAAAATTTTGTTACAACTATAATTTGGATTCTGCATCCGACCCGATTCATGTCTTCCTTACAACACTAAATTTGTAATATTTTTCATTGACCAAAAAAACTGTGTTATTTTAACATTAAGTTTAAGTAATTAAAAGTAAAAATGTTTTATATGATAAATGTTTGCAATAATTTTTTTAATTTCAATTATTTAAAATTACTGTTAAACGATGAAATTAACAAAAAATTAAATGTTTTTCAGAACCAATTTATTATATAATTACAACTATTTATTCCATTTTAAGCATATTTAGTAATTTCAACATGTGCATAATATTTTGATTTTGAGTTATGAATGGATTTTGTAGAGCCGTTGGAGTCATTTCACAGTGGCACTTTGGCAGTTTCAAGGGCACTATAATAATGAGTAGATATTTTATACTACACAACAAAGGGTAGACATTATTGTTATTATTATTATTTTCTGAAATTTGTTGGAGGCACTTGTCTCCAATCAAATTTGGATCGTCCATTTATAAGCAATCATGCCATCACATACGTATATGGGGTCTCTCCATGAAGAAAGTTTATTTTAACACATCATTATTTTATCGAATCTCAATTTGGGACGTCCATTTGTAACCATATAATATACATCATACTCTGGATTAAGGGGTTTATTTTTTCTTTGTAAGATATAATAATGCTTTTGGATTAAATTTTACATTATTTGAAACTAAATTATTTTTATTTTTTTCTTCTTTCATATAATTTTATTCGTCGATGGTGAGGGGATATATATAATAATGCATTAATCTAAAAGGAAAAAACGTGTGAATATATATTCAATAGCTAATTGATTAAAATTTATAAGTCATCATTTTTAAATTAATTTCACTTAATGAACAATAAATGATCATGAATTTACATTGCTATTCAGATGAGATAGTTACAAATCAAATAAATATAGTTCCTTGTTTTATGTAAGTTCAAATTTGATTTTGAAATAGAAGATATAATTGCATTGTTTCGGTTAAAAATAAATATATATGACAAGATTTTTTCTTAGCTTTTTTTTATATTTATTTAATTAATATATAAAATTATCTCAAATATCAAAATTGCTAATTAAATGAAATTATCTCACCTCTTCCATTTTCTCGCACATCCCTTATTATTAATTTTTTTAATAATGTTCATATTATTAAAATAATGAAAAAAATGCTCACCTAGAATTGAGATATATAATTTATTCAATAAGTATTCAATTCATAATAATAATTTTTTATTTTTATCTAATTTAATTCATATTTGATATGAGTTGTGTACTTAAATGTGGTGATTAAATTTATTATTAGATATTTTTTTAAAACTTTACTTAAACAATATCAAACTGTTTACTACTCGGATCAATTTTCGTTAATAAATGATTATTTTTTATTATCTAAATATTTAAACATTTATATAATTAGATTATTAATATTTTTTTACTTTATCAAATATAATTTTTTATTAATTTATATATCATTCTAACTAATTTGAGTATGGCACCCGTGACGAAAACAATATAAAAATAATTACAAAGTATTATTTTTAGGTATTATGATTTGCATTGAAATTAAAGTTATACAATTCTTTAATAATGAAATTAGTTAGAATGATACATAAATTAATAAAAAATTATATTTAATAAAGTAAAAAAATATTAATAATTTAATTATATAAATGTTTAAATATTTAGATGATAAAAAATAATCGTTTATCAACGAAAGTTGATACGAGTAATAAACAGCTTAATATTGCTTAAGTAAACTTTTTTTTTATCTTTTTTTCTTAATATTAAACATTTAAACAAGAGAGATTTAATCTTTTTTTTCTTGTCTCCTTCAAATCATTTATTTTTCTCTCCCTTCAAACTAAGAAGGAAATTTTATTTTCTTAACAAAACAGGCTTTTATTAAATCAGAAATAAAATTTGTGTTTAGTTGACTTTAATAGTTTAGCTGGCCTTGAGTATGGGTTCTCCTACAGCCCATAGACCAAAAGCCCAAAAGCCTAAGTGAGATATTGGGTAATAACTTTGGTTTGTTCACACAATTGGCTAATTCTCGTTAAAATAATTATCTAACTAGTGTTTTTTTTTTAAAAAAAAATTATTAAAATAGAGTAAATCAGACATGTGGAGTTGACTTACGTATATTTTTATTTTATGCATATAAATTTCTGGAAGTTAGAAATTGCCATAAATTATATTCAAAACTGTGATAGACGATGCATGTTAAAAAATAAAAAAATTAAAGTACGAGTTAAACCAATTTCGAATAATTTTTGAAATTTATACTAATTTTATTGTACAATTACTCTTTCGATGTTTTTATTTTATTTTATTTTATTTTGTAATGTTATGAGTTCTTCGACAATATTACAAATACTCACAATTTATTTTAACTACCAATGTACGACTCTTCACAGATTCTAAAGATGAAACGCTCTTTAATAACGGGTTTTCTTGCAATGAACGTAATGATCAATCAACATGATATAGCATATTAAAAACATAGTAAGATTTGTTCTCCCTATACACATCTTGATTCATGAAGCAAGAGTAACTGAGAAGAAAGGGTTATAATAATGTGCAGACAATGGAAGCTGGTTTACATCCTATCACCCGACAAGTTAGGAAAGCAGTGATAAAGAGAGAGAGGTGTTGATACCAAAGCATCACGGAACCTTCTTGAAAAAAGGTTATTAAAAGACCATCTTTGTTTGAACAAGAAAAGGTCCTCGTGAAATCTACCGTATAAGCCTAAAAGGTACTTGCTAATGTGACTCTAAAATTTTACAACATATTATATATGCTTATAATTGATGAGTGTGATTTTTTTAATATTTTAGATATTAAACAATGTTTATATATTTTTTTAAATAAATTATTAATTTCATTATTTATAAACATAAAATTAATAATTATAATTATTTTATATATAAGAGAGTATAAAATACTCTTTTAATTTATAGATTACCATATAATTTTACAAAAAAAAAATATGTAAAAAGAAAAAAATTCATTAACTTAAACTTAATTAAAAGCTTTTTGTTATATAGATATATATGTTCGTAAAATTTTTAATTAGTTTAAAGTTATTTGATATTTTATTTATGTATGTTAATATTAGTGTAATATGTATTTTTGAAATCTATAAAAGTAAAGATAATTTATTATATTTATATAATTATTTGATTTTGATAAAATTTGACAGATCATAATAATATATAGTTATAATTTAATGAGTTAGATTAAAAAATTGAATTTTATATAAAGTTATTAACCGTGTAAATTATACTAATATGATTTGATATCTCTTTTATATTGTCAAATGCCTAATTTAAAAACTAATTAGTAATTATTTTTTCATTAAACTAACATTTGCTTTTAAGAAAAAATTCTCAAACAATTAATATTTTTTTCCTATTTCAAACAATTAATATTTTTAAAATTAAGTATGTGACAATATAATAAACTGAACACATGGCATAATTGAAGTGCAGCTGCATTTGCCTAATTACCACATGAAAATTAATGGTGGAGACTAAATTTGGACATTCAATGGAAGGAGAGGCTAACATCTTGCATTTAGAAAATAAAGACTTAAAAATCAAATTTAAAAATATTTTTATTTCTTAATATATATATATATATATATATATATATATTCAGAAAATAAATTAAATTAAGAACCATGTGACTTGCACTATTTTTCCCCCTTCAAAGATTATAGACTTATCTCCCTATCCCCCTAAATATCCACGGTTAAGGACTTTTGGTACCAGGATTAAGGATTAACGTTTGATTAGGTGTTTTTTAATCAAGTGTATATATACAAGATAATTACTTTATTAATCATAATAGAATTTAATACTTAATCATTAATATAATCAAGTTATTAAAAACACCAGCAAATATCTTAAAACGCATGATAAAGAAAAAACAAAAAAAGTATTCAATAAAAACAATTTATATTTGAAAAAATGAAATAAATATTTACTTCTTAAAAAAATAAAAGTATTTAATACAATGTACATTAAACATTCGTTAGCTAATTAACTGAGCATACATGTTAGGAAAACCCTTAAGAGCTTGTTACTAATATTTAAGGGGCAGGGCAATAATGTTGCCTGCTAAAGCACTTCTCCCTATAAAAGCAAATGCCATACCTTACCACTCACAAGTTCACAACCTCATACAATTAATTAACAAAACATGAAAAAATTGGAGATGGACTCTACAAAGAGAAAGCCACATGCTTTGTTGATTCCATTTCCAGCTCAAGGCCATATCAACCCAATGTTCAAACTAGCAAAGTTGCTTCACCTAAGAGGCTTTCACATAACCTATGTTCACACTGAGTATAACCACAGACGCTTGCTAAAATCAAGGGGTCCCAACGCCCTTGATGGCCTCTTAGACTTTCAATTTGAGACCATTCCAGATGGCCTTTCTCAAACAGATGCTGATGCTAATGTCACTCAAGACATAGAGTCTTTATGCAAATCAGTTAAAAAGAACTTCCTCTTACCATTTCGTGATCTTCTTGCTAGACTTAATCATTCTTCCACCCCAGTTACTTGCTTGGTTTCTGATGTTGTGATGACTTTTACTACACAAGTTGCCGAAGAACTTGCACTCCCTTTGATCATGCTTTACCCGGCCAGTGCATATTCCTTATTCACTTTTTTGCATGTTCGTGCTTTACTTGATAAAGGTCTCGTACCACTCAAAGGTATTCATTGAGCTCTTTGTTAAGAAATTACGTGTATGTGAGCTATTCTTGCATGTGCACAACATAATTGGGTAGGATTAACAAAAAATTCAATATGCATTAAAATAATTATTAATCGAAGGAAACAAAGTCATTACCAAAAATTATTCTAATGCTATTTTAAATTTTAAGCAAAGCATGTTTTTACTACTTATATATAAATTTAACTTAATGTAATTTTAGTCTGTTAATTTTGTATTGGTTCTGATACAGAATGGTTGTCATGACATGTATATTAAGTAGCAATATTAACTATTTTAAATTTTTTAAAATTTATGAAGACAATACATAAAAGAAAATACTTTGAAAGACCAAAATTAAATAAAATAAAGTTTATAGAGACTAAATATATATATTTAAGTGTTGTAACTTTTATTGGTGCTGGTACCTATTGGTCATATGTGTACTAACTAACATAAAAGTTCATTTTTCTGTGTATTTATGTATGGAGCTCATAGCTATTGGCTTTTGTAATTATGATTGCAGATGAGAGCTACCTAACAAATGGGTATTTGGACACTGAAGTAGATTGGATTTCAGGTATGAAAAACTTTAGACTGAAAGATCTTTCTAGCTTTATAAGGACAACAGATCCAAATAACTTTATGATAGAATTTTTCCTTGAAATGGTGAATAATGCAAAGAGAGCCTCAGCTATTGTTTTTAACACTTTTGATGAACTTGAGAGTGATGTGCTGAATGCTCTCTCCTCTAAGTTCCATTCTCTTTACCCCATTGGCCCATTCCCCTCATTTTTAAATCAAAGTCCAAACAACCATTTGGAATCTTTATGTTCCAATCTATGGAAGGAGGATACGGAGTGTCTTGAATGGCTTGAATCCAAGGAATCAAAATCTGTTATTTATGTGAATTTTGGTAGCATCACAATTATGTCTCCAGAGCAACTCTTAGAGTTTGCTTGGGGTTTGGCCAACAGCAAGAGACCCTTTTTGTGGATCGTTAGGCCTGACCTTGTGATTGGAGGCTCAGTGATTTTGTCATCTAAATTTGTCAATGAAACTTCAAATAGAGGCCGAATAGCAACTTGGTGTCCACAAGAGCAAGTGTTGAACCACCCTTCAATTGGAGGATTCTTGACTCATTGTGGATGGAACTCAACAATTGAAAGTATTTGTGCAGGTGTGCCAATGTTGTGTTGGCCATTTTTCGCTGATCAACCAACAAATTGTAGATGTATTTGCAGTGAGTGGGGAATTGGGTTTGAAATTGACACAAATGTGAAGAGAAAGGAAGTGGAGAAACTGGTCAAGGAATTGATGGTAGGAGAGAAAGGAAAGAAAATGAATAAAAAAGTGTTGGAGTTGAAGAATAAGGCGGAGGAGGACACTAGACCCGGAGGTCGTTCATACATGAACTTGGACAAAGTGATTAACGAGATATTGCTCAAACAAAATTAGATTAGAGTGCTTCTTTTACTGTTAAATATTTATATCATTTCATAAATTATATATGCTTGAAGATGAGCAATTAATGATGAATAAATCACATTAATGATTATAATGGTGTCCATATATTCAATGTTGTTACTACTGCTTATCACCATGACTATCTTGCCTCCATTCACTACTATATTGCTACAAACTTAGAAGACATCGCAGGTTAAACTTCAAAGAAGTATCACTATCACCTCTTATAGTCATCATTGTTTAGAAATCAAATTAATAAATTTTGACAGAATTTATAACTTTAACTAACAAAAGTGTCAAATCAGTTAGCACTTTAATTAACGAAGACAATAATATGTTTTATTGAATTTAAGGACAACTTGATTTGCCCTAAAAATATTGAAAACTAAAATAATAATTTTTTGAAATTTATTGTAAAAATATTGTAACTCAGTTCAAACATGTTTGTAGCAGTACCACATTGACACATGCATACGATTGATTATTACAATCCACGACTTAAATTATTGATTTGGATGGTAAATAGATGACAGATCATAAATTGGGAAGACATTGTAATGAGCTTAACCAAGGCTCAACTGAACTGTGAATACCATGACAACCCATCCCAAAACCTTCCCAAGTTTAGGTGTTAGGAACCTTTCACGCATTAAATAGCCTCTCAATCCACCACCATTAAAGTCAACATTTCCTTCCACCATGTTACTTCTCCAGCAAAAAGAAAAGTAAAGGAGGAAAATCAATCATTATTTGAAATTTAATTTTGACTTATAAAAAGTTACTCAAAATTGATTCATTTAATTAAATAAATAGATCAATTAAAAATTTAATACATTCATTATTTGAATATATAAATATTTATTACCCAAAAAATTAAACATAATTTGTCTAAGACTCATTTTGGCTAAAACTTTAAAGAAGTATTCATACATATAAAAATAATACAGAGGTAAAATAAATAATTATTTTAAAAATTAAAAATAACTTATGCCTTTTAAGTTTTAGAAAAGTTACATGAGAATTTCAATTTATTTTAATTTTTTATATTTGTCTTTGATAAGTACCTATTAAGAAATTAATTTAAATTAGGCCTAACTCGTTTATAATTGATTTTTTCCCTTCATCAAATTTTATCTTAAATTCTTTGTTAAGTTTATTGATTTAATATTTAGCAAAATCTATTTATACTACAAGATGAAATAAAAATATAAATAAAAAATTTTATTCATAAAAAACGCAAGAATTAAAGATATAGTCTTTGAAGGCATGCATATATAGAGGTACTACAGGATAAATATTTTTAATAAATGACTTTTATGTATTCAATATGATAAATATTTTTCAAGCTTCTAAAATTTTCTTAAAAAAAACTATATATATATATATATATATATTGTGTATTCAAATAAAAATATTTAATTACCGTAAAACCCAATCGGTTGAACCGGTTAAATCAGAAAACAAACATATAAGTATATAACTGGTTTGAGTTCATAATTAGATCATCAAATTGGTATAACTTGTTAAAAATTCAATAACTCGATTGTTGTGAAAGTGCACAGCAAATAACTTCTAGAAATGTTATTCTTAATAGCCAATAGGATTGTCCCAAGCAGAACTTCTCATGTGAGTTAAGTTAGTCCAAGGCTCATACCCTTAATCACTGCACTAAACTTTTTTTAAGTAAAATATATATTTGACGTATGATTTATTATATTCCAGTTTAATCAATTAGATTAAGAATGTATTCGAAAGTTTGTTGTAAGCATTTTTCAACTTTAACTTTAATTTGGTCCTGAAAAGCAGAAAGTCCTATGAAAGAAGAAAATATTAAAACTAATCTATAAATGTGTTATCTATCATTCTTTTTAGTAATATACGTATGCACATTCAATGTTTCATACTCATTCACTTTAAGAGATCATGTTAAATAACCATTAAAAAATATATTCTATGGTAATCTTACAAAAATACAAAAAATATTTAAAATAGAACCAGAAGAGAACAAAAATATATTACATTTAAAGCTATAAAGAGAGTTAGAAAAAAAAACTAAAGAAAATAATTTATTTTCTTAATCAACCACATAAATTATATGAAAATATTTTTAAAAAAATATAATCATGATAAAAGAATTATTTTTTGATAATTAGAATTACACAACCAACAAAATTTTTACCTACATAATTTGTTAGTTAACTATCACAGCAATAAAAATATAATACATTAAATGCAATCTAACACGATAATAAAGTATTTATTTCACGTAGACTACACATTTATAAAATAATTTTAATTTTTTTTCTTTAGAAACTCAAATGAATGTTAAATCATGCATGCATGAATTATTTTTTTAATATTTTCTTCTCTCATAAACTAAATTGAATGACTATCTAAGATTAAATTAAAACTATAGTATAAAAACAACTATAGTTGCAACTTGGAACACACTGACAACAACACCTCTCTCACCATCTTTTTTTTTTTATATATATAAATATTTAATACACTTTTATAAATTTAATATTATAAAAATATTCTTTCTTAATTAAAAATTCACTATTTTAGATACTAGTTAAATTCAATTTAAGAAATAAAATTAACAATTTATTTCTCCAAACATTAGTGTTAGAGGTTTGGTTTATATTGATATTAAAATAAATTTCAATTTGAGAACAATATTGAAATTAAACTAATCTAATTGACATTTTGTTGTTTAAATCAGATTAATTTTTCTACCTTTTGCCTTTATTATATTTTTTTATGGAACATTACTTTAATTTTTTTAATTGATAAATAAGTAAAATTATATTAATTAAAAAATTAATAGAGTCTTAAATTAGTTTGATTCAATTCAATTTTAAATATAAAAATCACAATAAAAGGAAAAATGTATTTTTTAATAAATGTTTTTATTAACAATTTTTTTATTGATTTAACTGTTTAAAATGATTTGGATAGATTATTAAAAACCACTATCTCCAATGCAGCCCCAACCCCTTCTTATCTCCTTTCTTTCTTCAAAATTGGTAGTGTGCATTTTTGTGGTACCAGTTTACTTCCAACATAAAATAAAACATTCCATTTCCTCGCACAAAAAAACTAATAAGAGTAAAAATAGTCCTATTTTGAGGATTTTCATTCCATTTCAATTGGTAACTCAGCTGCCCCGTATTTATTATATTGCATTTTTCGTACTTGAAAAAGGGACAGCTGAAACATGTTTTTCTTATTTGATGATCTGTCCTAGGGGTCCATGTTGACATAATAACTGTTCACCTACTTTTTCCTCGTGACACAAAATTTTAATGTCAGTCTTTATTACATATAAATTATTAAAGTAAATTTCTAATTTTAATTGAAAATTAACATTATTGAAAAAATTCTACATTTTCTAATTTTTCCTGCACGCTGGATTGACAGCGAAATAATATTCTGTGATACAAAAGGACGCTTAGAATTTGTTCAAATGTTAACTCCTTTCTTAACATAACTTCTGCATTTGTCTCTGAGCAAAGAAAAACATGGAGATGAGTTTCTATACAAAGAGAAAGCCACATGTTGTGCTGACTCCATTTCCATTCCAAGGCCATATCAACCCATTGTTCAAACTAGCAAAGTTGCTTCACCTAAGAGGCTTCCACATAACCTTTGTTCACACTGAGTACAACCACAAACGCTTGATCAAATCAAGGGGTCCTAATGCACTTGATGGCCTCTCAGACTTTCAATTTGAGACCATCCCAGATGGTCTTTTCCCCATTGATGACATTCATGATGTTACACAACATGTAGTGTCTCTTTGTGAATCAATAAGAGAACACTTCCTCCAACCATTTCGTGATCTTATTGCAAGACTTAACCATTCTGCTACCCCAGTTACTTGCTTGGTGTCGGATTCTACCATGCTCTTTACTATACAAGCTGCTCAAGAACTTGCACTCCCTATTGTTCTATTTCATCCAGCAAGTGCATGTTCGTTGTTGTCTTTTTCGCACTTTTCTACTATGGTTGATAAAGGTCTCATACCACTCAAAGGTATCTATTTTTTAGTTTACTTTTTTTGTTACCAGTTAATTAAATGCTTATTAAACGGGAGCTTATTCCAAGAATTTGTCCATAAAATTTATTGAAATATGTTAAAAAGAGCTTACTTTTATAAACTATGCTAAGAAGTTTATTGAAATAAACTAAAAAAAAAAAAAGTGAAACTATTTTCATAAGATCAAATAATTAGTTTTTTTTTTTTTTGTATATCTATATGTGTGTATTTATATTAGGAGAATGGATGATTGCAGATGAAAGTTATCTGACAAATGGGTATTTGGACACTAAAGTAGATTGGATTCCAGGTATGAAAAAATTTAGACTGAAGGACATGCCTGACTTTGTAAGGACAACAGATCCAAATAACTTTATGGTACAATATCTCATTGAAGTGGCACATAATGTGCACAGAGCCTCTGCTGTTGTTTTTAACACCTTTGATGAACTTGAGAGTGATGCGTTGAATGCTCTCTATTCTATGTTCCCTTCTCTTTACCCCATTGGCCCTTTCCCTTCATTTTTAAATCAAAGTTCAAACACCCACTTGGTATCTTTAGGTTCCAATCTTTGGAAGGAAGATACTGAGTGTTTTGAATGGCTTGAATCCAAGGAACCAAAGTCTGTTGTTTATGTGAATTTTGGCAGCTTGGCAGTTTTGTCCCAAGAGCAACTCTTAGAGTTTGCTTGGGGTTTGGCCAATAGCAAGAGACCCTTTTTGTGGATCATTAGGCCTGATCTTGTCATTGGAGGCTCAGTGATTTTGTCATCTGAGTTTGTCAATGAAACTTCAAATAGAGGCCTAATAGCAAGTTGGTGTCCACAAGAGCAAGTGTTGAACCACTCTTCAATTGGTGGATTCTTGACTCATTGTGGATGGAACTCAACCATTGAAAGCGTTTGTGCAGGAGTGCCAATGCTGTGTTGGCCCATTGCTGCTGATCAGCCAACAAACTGTAGATATATTTGCAATGAATGGGACATTGGTATTGAAATTGATTACAATGTGAAGAGAGAAGAGGTGGAGAAACTAGTCAATGAATTGATGGTGGGAAAGAAAGGAGAGAAGATGAGGCAAAGGATATTGGAGTTGAAGAAGAGGGCAGAAGAGGACACTGGACCCGGTGGTAGTTCATACATGAACTTGGACAAAGTTATTAATGATGTTTTGCTTAAACATTATTAGATTGAAGTGTTTTTCTTTTTGTGTTTCTGCAATAATTCATTGCTATCAATTGCATTGTGTTTCAACCTTCAATATTCAATCCCCTTAACTATCATTGAATTAGTTTAAACATCATAAAATTCAATAAAATAACCCACATGTGGCATTAAAATAAATAATATTGTTATTATTATTTTACATAGAACTTGTTTACTAGCAACTTTTTTTTTCTAGACTTTCCTCCAACCTAGTAAGTGGTCTTGCATTGAATTTGTATTATTTAATTGAATTGGAGTTCTATAAGTATACTCACAAACCGTGGGCAAATTTTTTTAATGACACCGTTAAAATTATAGGGTTAGACAAAGTCTGAATAATATGAGGTTGAAAGGATTTGAAGGGTATAAAATACAAAGTAAAAATATATTTGTACTAATAATTAAGCCTAACAGGATTTTATTATCGTTAAGAATAAATTTATGGAAAATGCTATGAAGGAAAAGGAGAAGGGATAAACTTATATGATCATAATCTATATTCTATATATATAAAGACACCTTCTATCTCTAATTTTCAATTAAATCTCAATTTTGACTTTAATTTTGATTACTATGTTGTTGGCTTTCTCATATTTTTCTCCCTCTTCAATTATAATATATATTATTCAATTATCATACATATATAAATATAAATATATAATGTAATATTACATTATAATTAATTATTAGATAAAAATAATAAAATATTTATATATGATATAATAATTAAATTTTTACCACAGTATAAAAATATTTTATTAAATTAATAATCAATATATTTTATTATATATTTCTTCAAATATAATATAAATTTTTATTTAAAATTTTATTCAAGAAAAAATATATTCCTTTAAATATTTTATATATAGTTAATCTATTTAATATTATAAAATCAATTCTATGACTTTTTTAAGAATTAAAGATTAAATAATTTATGAATATAATTTTGATATAGTATCAATATAATATATATTTTTTACTCCATCAACTAATTAGAATATATATCAAATATAAATTTTTACAACAATTATCATGAAAATTAATTATTTTTATAATACAATAATTTGTAATTAGATAATAATATAAAATATGTTATCTTGTCAGTAATTTTTAAATTAAATTTATGATTTATTAAGTAAAAATATTTTAAAAATAATTAATAATATTTATAATTTTATAATTAATTATTACAAATAAAATTAATATTATCAATTCATGCATAGCACGGAAATTAAATCTAGTATCTTTTATAAGACTTAGACAATTATCTTTTTTAAGCTAGCTTGTGAGAGTAAGCAAAACTCTATAAGTGTGTCTATTGTCATAGTCTGTCTATCACTACTCCCTGTTCTGTCTAATATATGTTTTTTTTCTTATAACTTATCAATAGTTAGAATGTTTTATATAATTTTTTCAAATTAAAAGTATAAATATGACAATAGGCATTCGTTTTAATATAATATCAAAGTCTATTATTAGTAAAATTGAGTGTTAAAATATTTATAGTATTTAGTAAGTTCTTCTCTCTCCAGATAATTTTTATAAATAAGTTAAGCCTTTCTAATTTTATCATATGAGAAGCACCCAAGTATAATATAGAAGCTAAGAACCATTTTTTTAAAGATTTGCTCTAAAGTTAAGCTAGTAGAGTTTTTCAAATGTTAGAGGAACCTATCATCTCATCACTGTTCATGGCTCACAGTATAACTTGGGCCTCATGACAGGAACAAATCTCCAAGATGGTCCTCATTGCATGTTTCCTTGCACACTCGCTCCAAGACCCTGGCCCCAAAAAAACTAGTTTAGAAAGCCCCATTATTAGTTAAAGAGTATGCATTTTTGTGGGAAAAAATGCTTTTATTTTATGACCACCAATTTACATTTTAAAAGCTTTTCTTTGTTTTCAATTTATTTAGTTTGGTTTTGGCGATTTTTTATTGTATTTGATTGCTTTATAAATGCTTTTATTTTATGATGTCCAATTTACATTTTACAAGTAGAAAACTTGACAAAAGTAAGATTTGGAAATTTCTCCACATTGTACATGGGTTTTGAGGTAAAAATTGAGTCAGATTGGATAAATTTACAGAGAAATATTTATAGGAGAAAATAATCAATATGAAAATAAATAATTTTTTTAGTAAATTAAAAATGCTTATGTTTCATTTTTTTTTATTTTGTCATTTAATTTTTCTAAAATTTGAAAAAATAAGTTATTTTCAACTTATGAGATAAAATTTAATTTAATTTTTATACTAATTATATTTTTTTATAAAAATTTCTTTAAAAATTGACCTAAACTGAGTTTATATAGTTTATTTAAATTAGGTCCAAGGTGCACCCCATTAGTCCTTTAAACTAATGGCCAGAAGAAGTTGGTTTAACATGTTTATAAGCTTACTGAAATATAAGTTGTCACACAAGAGCATGTTCATAAGCTTAATTGTACTTATCGAAATGTGCAAGGTTATTGGTTTGACTCTTATGGTGTCATAGTTCATTTTTGCTGGTGGATCAATTGTGTACATGGCTACCACTCTCTCATAATTTTATAACTTTTAATAATTTTTAGTCAATAGTAAATAGTACGTTAAAAACAGTGAATTATTAGGGGTTCCTTTTTAGATAATACTGCAGTAATGTGAAAGTGAAAAAGACAAGTATAAAAAAAAATATATACCTCAATAAAACAAAAACTTTGTCAAAACATAAAGTACAAAGTGATAAATTATCCATTTAAACCCTAATTTTACATTTAGTGTCCTTGATCTTCTCCACCATCTTTTCTTCCTTACCAATGATGAAGCTAGTGTACACTTCATCCACTACTAATATTAAAGGACCTTTTTACAATAAAAATAAAAAGTATAATAAAAATAAATATTGAATAAAGTAGAGCTACCTTATTGGTTCATCTCTAAGGACATTAGATACCCTCTCAAATGTCTAGCCACTAGAGCAAACACTTTTCTTATATTACTCTTATTTTTCTATAATATTGGGTGGAAAAAAAGAGAAAAAAGTTGAGATAATCTATTCAATACTTACTTCAATGTGTTTTTTCATTTGCCTATCAAGTGACTGAAAAGCACATACCTATTAAGTGAACGATTATGACAATTCTTAATAATATTATTATTAGTATATTTTAAACATGTTCAAAAATCGTATTAAGATAAAAAGTTATAATTAACAGTGTTAAAATAAACATAAATTTGTTACCAATCAAATGTAAATCTAAACATCCACTAATAAATTTACAGCAATTTCAGAATTACACATATTTAAAAATTATGCAATTCATAATATGCAATGCATAAGTTAAAATATAAGTTCATCAAACATAAATTTAAGCATGCACTTATAGGATTGCTCCCTGTTTTTCCTATTTTAATCTACTCAAGAAAAGATGCTTATATTTGGTACAGACGTGGCCTGTGCAGCTACACTAATTTATTTATTAGATATATATATATATATATATATATATATATATATTACATTTTTAGTAAAAAAAAAGCAATATTCCACCTTTTTTAAACCAAATGTATAATTTGATAGGTTTATATTATCTGCTGCTCCATTTTATATCTGCTGATACAAGAAAAGACACCTAAATTTGGTACAGATGTGGTCTATGCAGCTACGCCATTTTATGTTTTATTGGATGCACTAAAATTTTAGTTAAAAAATCTCACTCCATAATGTTACCATACCCCACTTTAATTTTTCATGCCTTAGTTTGACAGTCTTATATAAGCTTCTGCACTATACCTTTGCTCATGCAACAAATTTTGGTCTAAGATGTATCCTTTCCTAGTTCTACTATTATTTGTGGCATGTACAAGAGTGTGTTTAAAATAAATAGCATGCCCTCTAATCAATTAAATTAAATTATCCTATAGTTATTACCTTTTACTCTACTTTTTCCCTCTCACTAACACAAAATATAGACAGATTAATTAACTAACTAAAATTAACATCTCCTCTCTAATAATGCTATCCACATAATCCTTTAAGACTTGCCCATAAACATAGGACTAACCTAAAATTAACTGCAAAAAAAACTAAAACTATGTCCTTAGTCCCTAAACTCAAGGTCAAACACTTACCCTAAATTTCTCTCTCTCTCTCTCTCTCCCCCCCCCCCCCCAGTCTCTCTCTAACCCAACACGGTTTTGACTCAAAAGGTTTTCATATTTTTCTTTCTTTTTTTTCCCTCACAATTTTCCGGAAATAGAAAACATATTTTTCTTTCTCTCTCTCTCTGTTCTTGATCCGTGGAAGAGGAAATTGAGCGAAACCCAGAAGAAAGTTTATTCCTTTGGGCGAGAATCGGATACCCAATTGGCTGAAAATTGAAAATCCAATGCGGTGTGGGAGAAGGGGTGAGAGAGATTTGAAGGGGTGTGGATCTGATGGTGAAGGAATGGGTGATGGTGATGGTTTCAGGGGTGATGAAAACTACTGGTGCTAGGGTTGTTGTGCGTGGCAACGACCCGGTGGTGCTGCAGCAGCATAGACGACGATGCAGCTTCACTTCTCGCCTAGCATGAGAAGCATCACGATATCAAGCCACAATGGCTTTATTGACTTGATGAAGATCAAGGTCGCAGCTTGCCACATTTCCTATCGAACCCTCTTCCACACCATTCTCATCCTCGCTTTCTTGTTGCCCTTTGTCTTCATTCTCACTGCTGTTGTTACCCTTGAAGGTGTCAACAAGTGCTCTTCCTTTGGTACTCTACTCTTTTTTCATTTCTTCATTTATTTATTTCTTTTATTTATTTGTTTGTTTGGATTTTGTATGAATTGGATTGGCATGTGTTTTTTATTTATTTGTTTGTTTTATAAGAGAGATCTTGATTTGATTTTAATGTTTGGTCAACAAATTTGTCCATGTGTTAATTGCAGTTATTAATTGTTTCCCTTATGATTGTCAAAGTTTTCTAGCTAGCATTTGCATTCATTTCAGGATCTTAAGTGTGATTGGGCAATTTAAGCATTTAATGATCGTTTGAATAGGTTCATTGTTTTCCTGGCATGCATTGCTGAAATTTGTGCCCTGTTGTGTTGATTCTTTCATGTGACAAATTATTATATGCTTTGCATTTTTAGCACTGGAAACTTATCGCATCATTGTAAATAAATAAAAACCTTGCGAATATTTGTGTTCTTTTGAGCTCCCTGTCTTTACAAAGCCAGTTGTTGATAGAAGTTTTGATAGATCTTTTTCTATCGTTTTGAAACATCATCTTGTGTGTTTATATCTTTCTTTCATTATGTTACCCATAGTAGGTTCTGAAAGTTTGTTATTTTGTGCATTTAATGTCTCACCTTTTGTTCATTTTTTTTAATCTTGATTGGTTCTTTGGTTTTTTGCTCCAGATTGTTTAGGTAGACGGTTGGGACCAAAGCTTCTTGGTAGGGTTGATGATCCTGCGGTAAATAATGTTACTTCAAATAGATATCAGAATTCATTATCATATCTACTAAATTTTTGGTTAAAAAACTATTATCTGAACCCTTCTTGTGATGATTGTAATGGTGCAGCAGAGAGTAGTTAGAGATTTTTACAAGATACTTAACGACGTGAAGACTCGGGAAATTCCACCTGCTCTAAAGTTGCCCGATTCATTTGATCAACTGGTTTCTGATATGAAGAACAATCAATATGATGCAAAAACATTTGCATTTATGTTAAGGGGAATGGTAAGTTGCTCGTTATGGTTACATAAAACATCATATGTTTCTTGATTAATTGGTTATTAAGTAGAAAAAGGGCTGTTGAAATTGAATTCCGTTGATGTTTTCAAATTTAGGTTATAACACGTGACTTAAATTGAGAGCACACATTTTAGGCACCTATTATTTCTGAAATTTGAACATCAAGAGGTTAAGGTTGGGATAACTGATGTGGCATTTATGATTGGCAGCTAAAATTTGTTTACAATAAAAAACACACATTGTCTGCTGATACAATGATTCAGCTTATGACACCTCAATATTTTCTTCCTTTTTGTATATCTATTGGAACCTACAGTCAGAACCGTTGATTAGAAAATCAGTGGTTGAGATTTTAGTAATGTCATAGTTTGTTATACATATGCATGTATTTTTATTATATTTCAACTGTTGATTAGATTATAACTGCTTTCTATCCACTAAAATGTGTCCCCTCACTTTAGAGAAGTCAAACCTCTGGTTCTGTAAATCAGATGAAAGTCACAACTAAGCTTGATATTGTGTTTTAGTTGCATTTGAACTGACTGTTTTGCAATATTTGACCTTTTGCTTGTATTGTTATTATTCTGCTTAGGGTTTAAACTGTAATTTTTTCGTTTAACTACAAATTATGACATGGAAAAGAAAGATGCTTAGGCACAAGCATATCAATCCTGGATAGCGGCACTTAGCAGCCAACCCCCAAAACACCATTTTAATTTTTTTATATAAATATTTAATCTGTAAATAAGCACATAATTATATATAATGCTCAAAAAGTACTCATAAATGCATAATTCATAGCATATGTGTAACTATCAACGATAAAAGTAAAGTGTAATAAAAGAGAAAGATGGAAAAGAGAAGTGAAAGGTGTTGGAGAAGAGAACTTAGATTAGAAGATGCAGAGGGAGCATTTGGATAAGAGAAAGAGAAAACAAAGAAAGGAAATGTAGCTAGAAAACAGTCCACTGCACTCACAAGTGCTGGAAAACAGCCGGAGATGATGTTGTCTCTGGTGAAAATGGGTGGGCAGGAGCAGGGAGAGAGCTGTTGGAAAAGAGAAAGAGAAAACAGAGAATAGGTCAGCTCAGCATGTTGTGTAGGTGTCTGAAACGGGAAAAATTAGGGCTTTTTTATTTTATGCAAAGACCAAAATGTCATTTTCTTTCCTTATAAAAAACCCCCCCATATGATGCAGTAGCATGGGCAACAGCAGGTTGACAAAACCCACCCACATTGTGTAACCATCCAACGCCACAGAGACGCAATCTGGGCTGCAATTTGGCCACACCAACTGTTCCGATGAAAACCCTCTGTGACAGCGTCCCTGTAGTGGCCAGCCACCGTGACTGTGCTATAGCCTACTATTATGGCCACAAGGTCATTTACGTGTATTGAATTGAAGATTTAAAAATAGATTTTGCAATTGTTTAGCCTCTATGCTTAGTTACATGCCTTATTTACATGGTACATGAAAGAAAGATTAAACTTTGCTGCTTGTTATGATCATGCAATCTCATGATGAAGTCAATCAAGAATAGTCTCATCTTGTGTGAAATTCAATTCATAATCCATTATACAGAGTATTGTATTTGTGCTTACTTTCAATCTTCCATTCTGGAGATAGTTTTCTTATATGCCTTATTACAATTTACAAGTAGTATTGTTTTATTCTGGAAGTGTGTTGTTTATTATGTACTTTTTTTGAAGCGTTGCCCAAATAATCATAAATCATTATACAAATAAGACAATAAGAAGAGTAAGTATTGGATGATTTTGCCAAATGCTTCTTCCTGGTAGTGATTTTTGGAAGTGATTAAAAAGGTGCAAATTTCATTGCATTGCCAAACAGGCACGGAACATGGGGGTTGCACTTATCTGAAATTTCAGGTTTTTATACAATTCAGGAAGTCTAAAGAAATCTTTTATTCTCTTTAATAAAAATCCTAATGAATGTTATGAAGTTGATGGATGATATTCATAAATTTGCAGCAATTAGAAATGCCATTTTCTTTCCTCAAACTGCTCATATTTTGGTTATCTCTGGATCCATCTTTTAGATTTTATTTGCTTACCTCTACCTGATACTTACATAGAATAATGACACCATGTGATTTGGATCAAGGCTTATCTTGTAATAATAGTACATTATCATTTTACTTTTTGGTTTGTTTGTCACAAGCCTGATAAAGATCTTTCTTGTATCTTATTCTTACCCTTGAAAGTTCTCAGTTTTATGTTTTTATTATCTTTTTCCTTTCGTTGTTTAAACATTCTTTTCATTTCAATTGTGTAGGAGTGCAGCTATTGAATTTATAATGTCTATTTCTCTGCAGCTATTGATTTTTTTAAGGTTTTTGTACTCATCATATATGCATTGTGTGTAGTACTTTGTATCATTATTGTCATCATCTTGATTTTGGCTTACAACCCTAATTATTCATGAAAGTTAGTCATTGCTTTATGCTAGCCGGTTGAGAAATTATTGTGTATATGCAAAACTATTGTCTATAACTTAGCATAAACATGTTCATATCTTTAGTTTATCATTATTATCCAATAGTGTAGTCTCATTTATTATAATAGATATTTCAGTTTTTGTGTTAATAGGGGTGACAGATGGTAATTATATTGATCTTTGTTACATTGCAACGTTTCTTTGAACAGATGGAGAAATTTGAGAGAGAAATCAGAGAATCTAAATTTTCAGAATTGATGAATAAACACTTCGCAGCAAGTTCAATCCCTAAAGGGATTCATTGTCTGTCTTTGCGTTTGACTGATGAATATTCATCAAATGCCCATGCACGCAAACAACTGCCTCCTCCGGAATTACTACCTATGCTGTCTGACAACTCTTACCACCATTTTATTGTTTCAACTGATAACATTTTGGCTGCTTCAGTAGTTGTTACTTCTACTGTGCAGTCATCTCAGAAACCTGAGAATATAGTCTTCCATGTCATCACTGACAAAAAAACTTATGCGGGTATGCACTCATGGTTTGCACTAAATCCTGCCTCTCCTGCCATAGTTGAAGTTAAAGGCATTCACCAGTTTGACTGGTTGACTAGAGAAAATGTTCCAGTACTTGAAGCTGTAGAAAATCAGAATGGGATCAGGAATTACTACCATGGGAATCATATTGCTGGAGCCAATCTCAGTGATACTAATCCACATAAATTTGCATCAAAATTGCAGGCTAGAAGTCCAAAGTACATATCTTTACTCAACCATCTCCGCATATACCTACCTGAGGTAAGTTGGATTCTACAATTATCACCCTTTCTGTCTATTCTCTATCTCTCTCTGAATATTGTTGAAATTTTTCAGATCATAATTCACATAAAATACTGCAAATAGTGCATTTTGTTAGATTTGGTGAACAATATTATATTCTATGTTTTTTTTTTTTTTTTGATAGTTTTATAGTGATTGAATGAAACTTGAAATGAATGATTGACCCTGTAAACCCTGTGTTCTAAGCTCACAAAAGCTTCTTAACTGAATTTGTAGTGGCAATAGTAGCTTATGAGTACCGAATATCTCTGAATTCTCATGAATAATAATAATGGAAAAGAACATAAACTCCATGTGTTAAAAGATGCGGAATTTTATGGAATTATTCCACGTAAATTGCTTGAGCAAACTTCCAAATTGGTTCATAAGTGGGGTCAATTTCTTAAAGGAACATAAATCGTGAAATGAATGGAGGGATGCACACCTCTCCCCATGCGCACATGCGAATGACTGGTACTGCTGCTTCTGTGAGTAGATAATTGTAATTTGTGGCACATTTATATTGCTTCCATTATTGTTCAGCGCTTCTGTTCCCATTATATATGAGCCGATTTTAACATGTGAACATTTTATGTTGGCAGCTTTTCCCAAACCTTGACAAAGTAGTTTTTTTGGATGATGATATTGTGGTTCAACATGACTTGTCTCCACTTTGGGAAATTGATCTAAATGGAAAAGTCAATGGAGCAGTGGAAACCTGTAGAGGTGAAGATGAGTGGGTAATGTCTAAGCATTTTAGGAACTACTTCAATTTTTCCCATCCTCTCATTGTAAAGCATTTGGATCCTGATGACTGTGCTTGGGCATATGGGATGAATATCTTTGATCTGCGTGCATGGAGAACGACAAATATTAGAGAGACTTATCACACCTGGCTGAAAGAGGTAAAGTGCATATATACTCCAACTAATACAATTCAGTTATTAAAAATTCTTTTCTTTTTGTACTTTGTCAATGATTTAGAGTTCTAGCAAATTCTGATTTTTAGATTAATGCTGTACTGTTTAAATGGTGTTTGTATAGGGCATTATTTAGGTGAGAACACTTGATTATTGTGAGAAATAAAAACAACAAATATAAACCATCAGATCTTATTTGAATAGTCAAGATTAAAATAACTACATGACTTTGTTAAGTGGTTAAATGATTACCAAGTTTTAATCACCTTCCATGTATGGTTGCATGGTCCAAATTTATTGTCTCACATCATAACATAAGAATTGTTTGTGTTACATATATATACACATATATGGTGTGAGAGCACACATGACCTTTAGTTTCCTATGTTCTATTCTGTATAGCAGAATCTGAAGTCAAACCTGACGATGTGGAAGCTTGGAACCCTACCTCCTGCTTTGATTGCATTTAGAGGTCATGTTCACCCAATTGACCCCTTTTGGCACATGCTTGGTTTGGGTTATCAGAATAAAACGGATGTTGAGAGCGTGAACAAGGCTGCTGTTATTCATTACAATGGCCAGTCAAAACCGTGGTTGCAAATTGGCTTTGAACATCTTAGGCCATTTTGGACAAAGTATGTCAATTATTCAAATGATTTTGTTAGGAACTGTCATATCTTGGAATCATAGTCTGCCATCAGAAGCACTATGGTTGGAAACCAAAGTGCATACTAAAAAAGGGAAGAGTAAATACAGGTTTCGTCTAAATTTTTGCGGCTTGGGATTTTCTTACAGATGAATTTGAGAAGGCAAATAGTAAATTGATTGAGAGGGCAAAGTGATCAGGACTTGGTGGGTGGATTTGCTGCCATCCCCTACATTTTTGCGCACACACTTGCCATCCATCCTGGCATGGCCTTGAGAATCAAGAATTTTGTGACATAGAAACTCGTCCTATATTTTTGGTTGGTGAAAAAAGATACTATTATTGATCTTTAGTGGGGCTACTTTATCAAAATTTCCTTAGTGAATGTTGGAGAATAAATAGAATGCTGAAGATAAAAAAGGGTCACTCTCCTGTGGTATCAATCTGTTTGGTTTTGAGAACACAGGTGCTAGGACAGTTAATTTGTGAGGTTCCCCCACTAGTGCAGCATTGCCCATCATTTTTTAGTTTGTTAATTTTTGTTAGCACCAATTTTTACATTCACCCTATTTATTTTGATACCATGATGGTGAATTCTAGGAGTAGTTCATGATATTGCTTTGTTACAGGTCCATTGAATTGGGTAACTTGCTGTAGGATATATATATATTTATATTGTTATTCGTTGTGTACAATTTACCAGTCATTGGAAATGTGCAGATAATTCTTTTTCCTCTTCTCCATTCTTGTAATTCCTTATAGTGATTGTGTTCTTGACATTTGCACCTCGTGCATTCACAAGGTTGATACTGCTCAAAATGTGAAATACCAATTATATGGTAACAAAAACTCTTATTTTATTAGTATTGATGTTAAGGAAATAAAAGTGAATTTTTTTATTGCGAAAAAATAATTTATTATATTAAAAATGCATAGGTTTTTTTTTTTTTTTCTTTTTTTCAATAAAATCTTTCTACAATTATTTCCAGTGATATTGGGGGTGGCCCATGCCCATGATTCCATGAGCTTAATTATGTATATGTAGGTTTTGTGACTTTGGTGGATGCTTATCTGGACTTTTGTGCTTACACAATTAATCTCATGTAGCAACCCATTTATGACTACATGTATATTTAGTTGTGATGTTTTACACTCAAATTTTTAACTAAATTTTCGTGAGGGTTTTAATCACATTTTCTAATCATTGATACATCATCCGTATTTTCTAATCACTGAAGTGACAACTAGGTTAATCCATTCCCTTGTTCACGTGAAAAAGTGTAGAAGTATCAATTGTAATGAGCTTTATGTTGTGTTTGAATACATGGTTTAATTAAACATTTATTTAATAATTTTTTTGAAGTATATCTTAAATTTAATTATGAAATTTATTATTAGAATAAGTAAAAAATAATTTATTTTAATAAATTTTACCAAAAATTTTATTAAAATGAAGTCCAAAGAATTTATGAATGTTATATGAAGTCTTTCAAACATATTTTTAAATATTAACATGCATTTAATATTAACAATATATATAAAGAAGGATTTTGCAAAGTTGGTGATGACGTGAATTCCATGTACAAGTATTCCACCTCAATGATCCTTTCAAAGTGCGTGGAGGATCTTTTCTTTTCTAAAGATGTTTAAAATAAAAGTATATAAAGACCTACCATTTCATTTTAACCCTTTTTCACATTTTCTTTACTCGTGTTAGTTGACAAGTAATTTGGTTCAATGGTTAAATTTTATCAAGTGTTAATTAGTTGTGTAGCTATATTGAAGAGTTTTTAATCTTCTGAATATTATAAATAATCTTCAAACACCCATTTCAGAAGAATGGCTGAACATGCCAAAACTGAAATGAAGAATCCTACAAAATTATTAGTATCTCTGTAACTATCTTCTAAGTTAAGGTCCCACATATATGGTTGTTCATAATTTATATTATCAGCCATCATCAAATTAGAGACTATTCCTTAGATGGGTTTGTTAGCACATCAAGTTTAATTAATTTGAAATTTGAACAACACTTCCATCACAATAGATAGACAATAATACTGCCTACTAAGACTGTTGATGTGTCGCTTTTGTACCCATTTTAATACACATGGTAGTAGTAACGTTCTTATATTTAAAAAACTTGATTACCTTCCTATAGATAATCATTTTTTTGGTTAAATTAGTGTACTCTATGGAGATCAAATCATAAAAGTAATTAGAGTTCTTTTGTTGTTTTATTGAAAGGAGGCATACACGTAAACATAATCATGCAACTATATGTCACTATATGAGAAATAATCTTTCAAATTAATATCATAACATTATTGCTTTAACTTTTAATGGCCACGAGGAGTTGTGGTTTAGCTTTTCTCTTTCATATATGTAATACTAAACGACAAGTATGTGGCAAATTGATTACTAGATTGTTTGAAAGAGTTATATGCAATTTATTTTCACTTATAAAAATAATTTATAATTTTTTTAATAATTTTTCTAGCAAGTTTATAAAGATAAGATTTTATTTATTTATGTATTAAGTTTTATATTTAAAATTATAACATAGACTCTTATGTAATAAAAATATATTAAATAAGCACTTAAATAAGTTGCTCATTCAGAAATATTTATATATATTTTATAGGAATAAATCTTTATTTTTATCACTTAAATTATTTGTGTCAATTATTTTAATTCTTGACTTTACAAATTTTTTATGTCCGTCACCAATTTGCAAAACGTCAGTCACTTCAATCATTTTTGTTATGAAACGGCAAGAGAAAATAAACCAAAATAAATGACTTAATTTAGAAAGTTGAAAACTAATGTGATGAGTTTGAAAAAAACAAAATTAAAGTAACTAATGGTTACAATATCAATAACTAGAATGAGAAAATTATTTTATTTTATAGACTTGTATATAAGTCCTTGAAAATATTATTTTTATTTTAACCCTATAAAAATTTTATTCATTTTTAGTTCTTCCCTAGGGATAAAAAATGAATCATTTTTAGTAAATGTAGTAAGTAATAACGTCATATTTTTAACACTAAAAACGTACTCATACACATTTTCCAAGGGAAATTTTTATATAAATCTGTGTAGATATTTGAAGAATTAAACTTCACACACTCTAAAAAAATTAAGAGAAATTATATAGGGAGTTAAGGACTGAGGATATAATTAATCTTTTATAATAATATTATCGTATTGGTTGAGATTGGAAAAAATGATTTGTTTTTTCTTTTGTGCCTATAACAGTAAAAAATTTATTGAACTTATTTTATATTTTAATTTTTATTATTAAAAATCATTAAAAAAAATTAAAGCATAATTTTACGACAGAATAAAAAAAGTCAAGCATGTAATGAATATTTTCTAAACAGTAAAGAAACAAAAAAAAACTCAAACAACAGTGATAAAGAAGATTGATACATGTCAAACCAAGAAGGAATAAAATAAAGAAAATTAACTTAAATATAAATTCAAATCGAGGTAAATTGTGAAACGTTTCACTGGTATGATATAAACGAATCTTATATTTCAACAATTAATCTCTCAACTTTACCAATAAAAATTATTACTCAAAGACAGAAAAAAAAAGTCTTTATATATTTTATATACTTATATGTTAGTCATTGTTAATATTTTGGTCTTATGTCGCTGTTCCTTTTAATTTATATTTTTATATAAATAATTTAAAGTATTTCAAAAAAACATTTGTTTAACTTATACGACATTAATCTCTAATGTGCTCAACAACACACAATAAAAAATCAATAAATAATAATTTTTAATTAAAAATTATAATATTTAATGTTATGAGAAGAAAAACCGATATAAGAAATGCTAGTTTTGTCTTAACGTTACATTGTTGCATTGACCTGGTAACAGAAGAAACGGTAGGATGGTAAGTTTGCAGATGTTAAGAATGTGCGAGAGACATACAAATGTTGTCTGATTGACGCTTTTGAACAGTTTCTGACACCGAAATTCAGCCAAAAGTTGACCCTTTTGGATGAATGAGAATAACTTATGCCATTTACACAGCCTTAGCAAATTAGAATACTATGATGGCAACAATGGAGCCATTGACCACAGATTTTGAGACACTTTGAAAACACCAAACACCCTCTTCTCTTCTCTTGCAACCCCTTGTCATGATGATGGTTTCTTTGACTTTGAAAACAACACTCACTTTCTCTTCTTCCTTCTCACTTTTCATGATATAAGTTCTCTGATTTACGCAAGTGCCACCCAGATCAGTGATTGACCCAATTCAGAAAAAGTGTGAAAGTTCTCGTTTAGGAATCCTTGCTGATTTTGTTGGTGGCTCAGTTGGGAATTCAAGATTGTTCTTTGATTTAATGAATACCCATTTGAGTATTGATTTGGTTTTATTTGGTTGTAGCTGTAAGTGTGTAAGATGCCTTTTGTCAGTGTGTTGAATTCTGTTTAAGCATTAGTTGTTTGTTGGATTTCAATAATTTTTTTCTTCTGTTTGATTATTTATTTGGACAGACTCAGTTCATTTATTTAATCTATACATTTCTCACCTCTTCATAGTTTCATTAATTATCTAGTTTACCATTTCACTATTTCAGGTTTAGTATGCTACTTGGATATTGAGTGTCACTGAGAGGACTCATTACTCAACCTTTTTCTTTTTTATCAAGTTTTTGCTGAATACTCCAGTGAGCTATTTTGATTTAATTCCTACATGATTGAAACTCAAGTGAAGTGATTCACTGGACAATTTCTTCCACTCAGTTTGTGGTCTAACTGAAGCTGTTTGATTTGTGAACTTCACGAGTTCCTTAATCTGAGTATGGCTGGGAGCCAAGATCAATTAGAGATCAAGTTTCGGTTGAGTGATGGTTCGGATATTGGCCCCAAAAGTTTTGCTGCTGCTACAAGTATTGCAACACTGAAAGAAAATATTCTAGCTCAATGGCCAAAAGGTTAGTTGTGGTGTCTTCTCTCTTTTTTTGAATCTCTTTTCTTGTCCTCCAATTAATGCTAAGATGTCAGTGTCAGAAAGTGTTATACTGTTCCTGTTTGTTATAATGAACTCTATTGCATATTAAGGAAGACAGGTTGGAAGGGCCATTGATGTGGATGTATGATTTATGTAAGGGATATACTGAGGTAGAAGAAGTCATGATTCGTTTATGTAAATAGTTATTACTTTTGAAATTTGGGTGCAGATCATGTTTGTGATGATGCACTATGGATGCAGTTCATGCTTGGGATGAGAATTGAGAACAAAAACTGAACTATATGTTGGCTTATCAACGATAGCAAGTTTCCATTTAATGGAATCTTGTGCTTTGTGTTGAGCATGTCTTTGTGTTGTGACATGCTTTAGTTATCTCCTCTCTCTCCTTCAGAAATTAAGGAGGTTTATCATTAATAGCAAGACAATTACTTAATATTGAGGCACTCTTTAGCTAAAAATAGATTTTAGATTCTGTATTTTATCCTTAAACCATAAAGTGGAAAATAATCATCATATGTCCCTCAGTTATTACTTTCTTCAACTTAATTTTTTTCTCTTAACCCATATTGTGTGCCTGTTCCTGCTTGAGTGGTTCAAGTTAGGTGCCTTACGAATGTTAGTGCACTTGACATTTTTTTTGTCTTGGTATTTTATCAAAACCAAAAGCTGAATTTTGAATCCTTGATAACTTTTCAAGAGTATGTTTGAAGCTAAGTGTCCATGCAATATGGGTTTCATGGATCCCATTTGATATGTATTCACATATTACTAAGTACTAACAACTAAACTTACTAGTGCCATGTTCTCTGCAACTTGCTAGTATATAAGATATGAAGAAAATAACATGCATTTAAATGCTTATCTTATTACTTAATTTGATTTAACATCATGTGGTCTCACTCTACCTTTTGCCTTGCTTTTCTAGTGATATATGAAATCTGTAAGTTTGTGTTTCTGTTTTGAAGATGTGGAGTCCGGCCCAAGAACTGTAAAAGATGTGAAGTTAATTAGTGGTGGAAAAATATTGGAGAACAACAGAACAGTGGGGGAATGTCAGAGCCCATTGTTTGATCTCCCTGGTGGAGTTACAACAATGCATGTGGTTGTGCAACCACCTACTATGGAGAAAGGTCTAGTATTTATTTTAAAGGCTGATCAAAAGTTACTATTATCAATAGCTGTCTGTTTTACTTGTTCAAAAAGCTTCAGTATAAAATATAAAAAGCTTTATTTTAAAGTATGATTGGAGTCAAGTTCTTTTCATGGCCAATAGCTAAATTGTTTTGATTACTTTTATTTCTAACTTGTAGAGAGTATTTTCTATATATCATACTTTTAATGTGTTTTCTATCACTCTTGAACCACCTAAATATGACTGTTTTAACAGATCAATATTTGTTGAGTGATAAGATACCGTACATTGAAAACTGCTGGTTCTGACTATGCTAAATATACTTTTACACACAATTTACGTTTTAAGAGTGCACTTTTAATGTTAAGGCTTGTCATTAATGGAATGATTAAAATTATTATTTGTTTTTATTCTATGAGCCTTTATTTGTTTTGACCTTTAACAGTTATAATATTCTAATTTACTTTTATAGAGTGCAAAGTGAGAATTGAACAGCTATGATCTCTTTCAAAGTATTATTTATTGAAGGCCAATTATGAAATCCTTTTTTGGTTCAGATCAGAAGAAGAACTATATATGGGAATGAGTATTACTTTTTGTACCATCTTTTCTTTTTGTATCATTTCTAGAAATTTAATTTTGTAAGAGCTTTTAATACATTCTGAAAAAGGGTTCTAAGAGAGTTTAGAACCCTTTCAAAATTAATTCTGGAAGTGATGCAAAAAGGATGGTAAAAAGGCAAATTCCCTTAAGATTTATGCCAGGTCGTAGTCTAAAATTTTGACTTTCTGTTTATAAAACCTTTTATTTGTTTTTAACCCTTCAATGTGGAACCACACCATCCACTTCCTGTAAATACACAAATAAATAATCAAAACTATTTCTATTGTGTCCCAAATTATGGAGATTGTTTGATTTTGGTACATTCCTTAATGGACTCTCTCTTTCTTTGATAAAGAGAAGAAAGCCGAAAGATTAAATTGTGAGTAGGGATCTAATAATTAGATGGAAACACACTATTTGTAACACTAATAGTAGTGCACCTTACTTCAAGTTCAAAATGCTCTTTTGATAAGTAAAAACTAACTGCTTGAATCTAAATATAAAAGTTCTGCTTCTCTATTTGAACATTTTTAACTTCATTTGATTTTGGTGTTTTATCTGATCCTTATTGACATGCTGGTCTTTTTCTCCTGAAACAGATAAGAAAGTTGCAAGTGAAGCAAAGCAGAGCAAATGTTTTTGTGTTATATTATAAGATCGGATTGAACAGAGGATGTCATCTTTATAGATGGTTACAAGTTACAATTGTATTAATTTTTAACATAATCTATGGCTTTCAAAGATTTCCTAATACACAAACTCATTGGTTGCATGTCATGATTTGTGAAGATTGTGAATCAGCTTTTTCTTTATTTCTCTTTTCGTTTGAGATCTTTTTTTTCTTCTGCTCTCAGCATTTGTTTGTTGCCTCATTGTCCAATTGGTATTATTGTTGATTGAAATCAACTTTAATAGTTTAACTGCATAGTGCATACATCTCATAAAATTTTATTAATTTGTGTTTACAATTTTATATAATTTAAACATATGTAAATATATAATCAAATAAAAATTATGTACTTATATTTTTAAATTAAAATGAAGCGATAAAATATTAATTAAATTTTTCATTGTGTGAAATTTTATAAACTTCAAATATAATAATTAGATTTCTAAAATTATTGACCAACCACTTTTTTTGAAGAGGAAAATAATTATTTTTCATCAATCTGATTTTAACTATTGCAAGATTTTCCTTTACAAGTTTTAATTTATTATAACTTAATTTATACAAATTTAATTTATAACATGGAATGCTAAACAAATTTACAGAGACTTTGAAACTTTGTTTTAATCCTAACTCCTAAGATTGTCGACATTAAATAAGAAAACAGATTATTAATAAAAATTACATTTAATTATGAAGATTATAATCAAATTAAATAATGATTAACAATATAAAAATATTGAATGAACATGACATAATATGATAAATATATTTATTATGTTATTTAAGTACAAAAGATTGTGCCTATGAATCATCAATACTGTCCAAACTATATTAAGAAACAATGAATCAAGAGAAATTAACATCTATTAAGGGAAAAACTAGCAAATCACAATCAAATAAATAATTATAAAATTATGAAAATATAATTATGAAATAATTAAATCAAATAAAAATATATAAGTATTAAGTCGTTATGATATAACGTATTAAACATATTTTGTTATGTAGTTTAGATACCAAAAAAATATACCTATATATAACCTATAATTATTCACATTAAGGAAATAAAAAAAAACCAATCAATTAAAGAATTAAAGGACAATATAAAAATAAAAAATATTACTAAAAAAAATCTTACTGCTTAATATTTTTAAGATACTGTTTAAGAAATTAATAAATAATATTTTTTTGGTTAAAAATATATTAAAATCACAAAAATAAATATCTTTTATATTTTGTTGATAAAAAATGTTTTTAATTCTTTATTAAATGCCTAAAGACACCCATAAGCATTTTCTTAACAAAAATACGAAAATACAACATTTTAAATATTAATAATCAAAACATAAAAATATGATATAGTCATATCTAAACCGTGCCACGTGTGTGAACCTGGTTAAAGGTAGCGCACTGCGCACCCGGTGTATCCAACAACATGGCCACGTATAATAATCTTACGAATTCGCTTGTTTTCGTTCTCACACAACCTTCACCACCACACCAACAACGTCGCCGGAGTGTTTCTCGGCGTTTCCAGTCTCCGGCAATGGCCTCGATGACGTCGTTTTCGGGCCTCACCCTTTGTCATTACGTTCCAATATGCAGCCACAGAAATAACCCTCAATTTGCTCAGTTTCAACTCTCCTTCAGCTTTTCCGCGAAACCCACTTCCCTGAAAACTTCAAATTCGCTCTCATTAAAGAAAAGAGAAGCTTTCTCAAATGGGTATCGCTTAACTCGAAGAAACCTCTCACGGTTCTGTGTCCGCTGCACAGCTTCAAGTGGAAAGGTTACATGGGAATTAGGACAAGACACAGCATGTGCTTTATTATTCACAATGTTTTTAAGTTGCTTTTAGGGTTTGAGATTGGTGTTAGTCTTTTAGGGAAGGAAGCTATGTAATTCAAAATAATAGTTGTCTTATCCAAAAGTTTCAAATATATATATATATATATATATATATATATATATATATATATATATATATATAAATATAATCAATTGTATCATTTAGTATGTTTCATTTCTAAAACATTTATACACATAAATATTTTGTTTATTTTTGGTCTTACTTTCTTACTAAACTTTTAAGTAAGCAAATGAAAGATAATGATACATTTTATTGTGTTAAAATATGAGTTTGGGTCACAAGTTTAATAGAGTTTAATTAAGATAAGGCTCAATGTTAGTTCATGCAAGCCAGACCTGATTTGGCTCATCAACTTAGGCTTGTTATAAGTAAAGATACAAATTCATTTGTCAGTGGGGCAATTTGAATTGTTTGTGATTTTGGGGACAATTGTGAGTTGTGATGCTAATTGGGTCTAGTTGGAATTTCAGAGGTGTAGTAGTTGATATTGGGTTTTGATGCAATGGCAGATTACGCAGCAGGAATTCACAGAAATGGCGTGGCAAGCAATTGTCTCATCGCCTGAAGTGGCAAAGGAGAACAAGCACCAGATTGTGGAGACTGAGCACTTGATGAAAGCTTTGTTAGAGCAAAAGAATGGTCTTGCTCGTCGGATCTTTTCTAAGGTTGGGGTAGATAATACTCGGCTTCTAGAGGCTACTGATAAGCACATTCAACGACAACCTAAGGTGATTGACCAAGCCAAATAGTTTGAAATCCTCTATATATGCTTTGGTGCTTGTAGTTATGTCTTTAGCTTGTTATAGTAGTCTGACTTCTTTCTTTGTTGGCATTCATTTTAGGTATGGGATTTTATTGGTTTTAAACACATTCTCTCGCAACGTTGTTTATGGGCATACTTGTTCATCTTAAGAATTTAGACCCAAATAGAAATTGTATAAGTTTTCAACTTGATGATATAAGTCAAGTTGGAAGGAAAAGCTTGACCACAGAAGCTTGGAAGGGAAGTAATAGCCACATAATTTTGTTCTTCAAATGACTTAGGTACAATATGAAATTGACATGATACCATCACAAAAATGACTATGATCTGACCTATCTGCAATGTTTATGAAGCCTCATTGTCATCTGAAAACAAATATTGTGGAGTACAGGAGTAAAATGCAAAACTAATTTTGATCCCATATGCAATTTGAACCATTACACTTTTCCTTTATACAAATTTGTACTGTGTGTTGGTGAAAGCTCTCATCCATATTGACCTATAACTGCTGAGATTTTCAATACTGCTTCTCTGCTATAAAAGACTTATTTATTGTATTGATGTTGGTAATATGCTGACTTACGGCTGTTGGCTGCAGCTCAGATTCTTTGTGATGGTTCTTTTACATTAGTAGCCTCTGATAATATGACTTGAATTCCTGAATTCACTATTAGATGTCAATCTATGGCTTTGAGCAGATGCCCTATGCAAATGATATGGAGCAAACACATGGGTACTCATTGTATATTTTTAGATGCCTACAAATATAGCGCTTGTATTTTGTTAGCTGGTTGATTAAACTACTAAGCATCTCTGTAGCCCAAGAACCTGATTGTTGAACTCTTGTCCAATTATGTTAGGTTCTTGGGGAATCAGCTGGTTCAATGTTGGGGCGTGATTTGGAGGCATTGATTCAGAGAGCCAGGGATTTCAAGAAAGAATATAGGGACTCATTTGTGTCAGTTGAACACTTGGTTCTTGGTTTTGCCCAAGATCAACGATTTGGGAAAATATTGTTTAGGGATTTTCAAATATCTCAACAAGCCTTAAAATCTGCCATTGAGTCCATAAGGGGACGCCAGGCAGTCATTGACCAAGGTTATTTAATATTTGTGCACTTTTTTTAAATTATAGTGTATGATGTATAATATATTGATGTGTCTAATGTCATTGTAAACATCTTGTAGTTCTTAAGCATCTATTTAAATTTGTTATAGATCCTGAAGGGAAGTATGAAGCCTTGGAAAAATATGGGAAAGATTTGACAGCAATGGCTAAATCAGGAAAACTTGACCCAGTCATAGGAAGAGATGATGAAATACGCAGGTGCATTCAGATTCTCTCCAGGAGAACAAAGAACAATCCTGTGCTAATTGGTGAGCCAGGTGTGGGAAAGACTGCAATTTCTGAAGGGTAGGTGCTTAGTTCTTCCTCCAAACTGTTACCTGTGCTTGTATTACAAATCCTGTTCTAATTGCTTAGTACTACTGTGGACTCTTTTGGTAGTTTTCATTGAAGATTGACCAGTGCTGCCTTTGAAACAGACTTGCTCAGAGAATTGTTCAAGGAGATGTTCCTCAAGCTTTGATGAATCGAAGGGTATGTTCTTTATTCAATATTTAGGCTATTCTAAGCTTACTAAATTGTTTCGATAAAGCTGAAAATGGAAGAAAAAGGGGAAAGAATGGGAATTTGGAATTACAATAACTGGCTTTTCAAGTTTTTATCCCATTTTCTCTATATTTATCTCTATCATACCCTCTACAAATCTTACCCTTAATTCTGTTGATTTGTTTTATAAAAATGTAATATTTATCTTATTTTGTTTTCCATTTTGAACTGTGTGTCTTCACCAGGAGTTGTAAAATTGATCTGATACATGTGTCACTTTTCAGCTTATATCCCTTGATATGGGTGCACTAATTGCTGGAGCAAAGTATCGGGGAGAATTTGAGGATAGGCTGAAAGCTGTTCTCAAAGAAGTAACAGAATCTGATGGTCAGACTATCCTTTTCATTGATGAAATCCATACAGTTGTTGGGGCAGGTAATGGGCTTCAAAGTTTGCTACTTTTAAGACAGCTGATCTTTTGTATTGTAAAATTTGTTTGCAGGTCTCAGACAACTGTCCTTAATTTCTTTCAACTTTTGTTTTTCTTTATCTCTGACACGTGAAAACCCTTCAGATCAATGGATGTTAATATCATAGAATATGATACATTTCAACTCATATCTTCTTCCCAAAATGTTGCATTTGTTTGTAGCTGATGCCCAAAATAGTGATTTGAAATTAATATGTGGATGTTGGATGTGATTGCAATTTTAATTTATGATATGCTAGGTGCTACAAATGGTGCTATGGATGCTGGTAATCTCTTAAAGCCTATGCTTGGTCGGGGAGAGCTGCGATGTATTGGTGCAACAACATTAGATGAGTATCGGAAGTATATTGAGAAGGACCCAGCACTTGAGCGTCGATTCCAGCAAGTTTATGTTGATCAACCTTCAGTTGAAGACACCATTTCAATACTAAGGGGACTGCGGGAAAGGTATGAGCTGCATCATGGAGTTCGCATTTCTGACAGTGCACTTGTGGATGCTGCAATTCTCTCAGATCGATACATAAGTGGGAGGTTTTTACCTGACAAAGGTATTAATTACTAGCCAAAGACTCCTTGTGGGTCATATTGCACAAAGATTGAGAAATTTCATTAGCTTTTGTCTTTTTCTAGTAAATAATTACTATTAATACATAACTTGTTTTATAATAGCCAGGTTTGGATTCTAGAATAGTACATCTTCTGACTGATTGAAGCATGTTGTACAAAAATTCAGTTGAGAATTTATGGAAAATTTATAATTTTTTGTTAAAGCCAAATTCTTTTGTTGTTGCCCTGAAACCATGGAAATCCCAATGCCAATAGAATAGCATATTTTGTTTAAAGAATGAATGATATAAAGTGTTAATTGATATTGTTTTGTTTAGATATTTGAAGCTATATAGCACTTCCCTAATGTTGGGAGCATTTATGTGACTGGAGTCTAACTTGCATTCTAATTGCATTTGACTGATTAATATATAGGACTTCCTTTCTTTTTTCTTTTTATTGTTTTTGAATTTACTTTGTTAAAAGTTATAAGAGTATGTAGAAAGTATCTCATAATATTATTATTGCATTTTAGAATATCTTTTAAGTTCCTGGGATGATCTCTTAGGAGAGGTTCCTATATTTCATTATATGTCCTGATTGATTTCCCTATTTTATGAGTATACTACCAGTATAAATAAGGTTAACACTGCTCTTTCTTTTGCATCATGTCAAGGGTATGTTTGGATAACTGCTTATTTAAGCACATGTTCAATAAGCTCTTTGTAAACAATAACTTATATAATAAATTTAGCAATGAAACTTATTAGGATAAGTTGAAAGCAGTTTATTTTGATAAGCTATACTAAAGTAGCTTATTGAAATAAGTTGAAAATAATTTATGAGTCTTAAGCTGTTTTACATAAGTTTTTCATAAGCTCTTTCAAACAGACTCCAAATCAATATAAGTTTCTGATTATTCATTAGCATAAGCTCTCTTTTCCTCTTTTTTCTATAAAGAAATCCCTATAATTTCAACTAAAATGTTCAACTGTTACTGTTTTACATCTTATTATGAACTGGCATCAGTGATGCTCAAAAAGCACTAATTGCTAGCTACTTCTAAATTGCAGCTATTGATCTGGTTGATGAAGCAGCGGCTAAACTGAAAATGGAAATTACTTCTAAACCTACTGCACTTGATGAGATTAATCGATCAGTCTTGAAATTAGAGATGGAGAGACTCTCTCTCATGAATGACACTGACAAGGCTTCTAAAGATAGGTTAAATCGTCTTGAGACAGAGCTCTCTCTCTTAAAAGAGAAACAGGATGAACTGACAGAGCAATGGGAGCATGAAAAGTCAGTAATGACTCGTCTTCAGTCTATTAAAGAGGAGGTGTGTTAGCAGATTTTTGTTGTTTTTGCTATAGGTGCTCTTCTCTTTTTGTTTAAATAAGTAAACTTTTTGAAGATAGCTTTTTGTTGAGTTTCATCACATTGTTCTACTATATTGCAAGTGTACGTGTTGATTTAGTGATTATACATTGACATTAGAAATTTACTTGCACAAAAACATGATTTTGTATTAACTGGAAGATTAAAGTCTGATTGATCATTTCCATGTTTATATATGCAGATAGACAGGGTAAATCTTGAGATTCAACAGGCTGAGCGGGAGTATGATCTTAATCGCGCTGCTGAATTGAAGTATGGCAGTCTAAACTCCTTACAAAGACAACTTGAAAGTGCAGAGAAGGAGTTACATGAATACATGAACTCTGGTAAGTCTATGTTGAGAGAGGAAGTTACTGGTAATGATATTGCTGAAATCGTAAGCAAGTGGACTGGTATCCCCATATCAAAACTTCAACAATCTGAGAGAGAGAAGTTGTTGTATTTAGAGGAAGAACTCCATAAACGTGTTGTAGGTCAAGATCCTGCTGTTAAGGCTGTAGCTGAGGCTATCCAACGTTCAAGAGCAGGTCTTTCAGATCCCCATCGACCAATTGCTAGCTTCATGTTTATGGGACCCACAGGTGTAGGAAAGACAGAGCTAGCCAAGGCCCTTGCTTCATATTTGTTCAATACAGAAGAAGCACTTGTACGGATTGATATGAGCGAGTACATGGAAAAGCATACAGTTTCAAGGTTGATTGGTGCTCCACCTGGATATGTTGGGTATGAAGAGGGAGGGCAACTAACAGAGACGGTTCGCCGCAGACCATATGCTGTTATTTTGTTTGATGAGATTGAGAAGGCACACTCAGATGTTTTCAATGTATTCCTTCAAATTTTGGATGATGGAAGAGTAACTGATTCACAGGGGCGGACCGTAAGTTTTACCAACACTGTTATCATCATGACCTCAAATGTCGGATCACAGTATATTCTCAACACAGATGATGACACTGTGCCCAAGGAGCTAGCATATGAAACCATAAAGCAGCGAGTAATGGATGCTGCAAGATCCATCTTTCGCCCTGAGTTCATGAATAGAGTTGACGAGTATATTGTTTTCCGGCCTCTAGACCGTGACCAAATAAGTAGCATTGTCCGGTTACAGGTAATTTTGTCCTCAGCTATCTATACTTCCATGATAAGAGTCCAACACCCCAAAAAAAACACACACACAAGAAAAAAAAATGTTATGTATGTCCTCACTTGTAGATAATTCTGGTTAGAATGATTAGGAGTTTCTGAATTTAGGATGCATGGTTCAAATTCTGTCATGTGCTTGTTTTATATGTATGCTTTCTCTGTACATTGGTCCATTAGAAAGTAGTGACATCTTTGCTGTCACATATCTGATGTCTTTGTTGTTCTGGTATGTGAAGTTGCTTGGTGAAGAAATCTGATAACTTTGTTCAAGTTTTCTTACAAGATTTGCTGGGAGTTCTTACATGGTTTTTCACATCATTAGACTCACTTCTTTCGTTTATTACAGTTGGAGCGCGTGCAGATGAGAATTGCGGATCGCAAGATGAAAATCAAAGTAACAGAAGCTGCTATCCAACTACTTGGAAGTTTGGGGTATGATCCAAATTATGGTGCTAGGCCAGTCAAGCGAGTGATTCAGCAAAATGTTGAAAATGAACTTGCAAAGGGAATTCTTAGAGGAGAGTTTAAGGATGAGGATACAATTTTAGTAGACACAGAAGTGACAGCATTTGCCAATGGTCAACTTCCCCAGCAAAAGCTAGTTTTTAGGAGGGTTAAAGCTGATTCAGAATCCACTGTTAAAGACACCCGAGAAGGCTTTCCACAGATTCTGTGAATGCATGTCACTGCTCTTCTATTTCTCCATATGATATGTTTCATACAAATTTTGAGTATAGGCCATTTTATTATACTAATGGAACTTTGATTCTGTTAATAATTTGATATAATTTGTAGTTCTTCATATCATAATTTTTTTTGGTCAATACAAATTTCATACTTAAGAAGTGTTTGTTTTTATGAAATATTTTGTAGTGTAAAGGAGGAGCAGTGGTTCAGTTTTCCAATTAATAAATCTGGTTTTTAGGTGCATCCATGAATCAAGTCTGAGAAAGTGTTGATAAATAAATTTAAACAAAGGGCTTGATTGATCTGCTCTCATAATCAATTCAATATATCATTGCTTATGTTGTAATATTAAATTTATGATTAAATCATTAAAATTAATTTGAACATACATTTAACAATTTAAATTAATTTTATTAAAATTAGTTTTCACAAGGTCCAAAATAAATATTAAGAGGTAAACAAAAACAGCAAGAATTTTGCTAAAATGGTCCTCAATGTGATTTAACCACTCTACACCAACAAATTTATTTCTCCACACTACTTCGAAATTTAAAAACATATTAAGTTCAAATATGGTATCCACAAATAAATGCAATGATATATTTCTGCAATATAAAAAATTGCTTAAAATGATTTCATTATTACCCTTTAACATTCTAGTTCTTAACATTCTAGTTCTTTCTTATTTTTTCACTGTTTGTTCTCTTTTCACATACCTTTTTTTTTTTCCATTTTAATGAATATGTTAATATGTATAATGTATTAATTTTTTTCTTTGGATGGTTAATGAATATGTTAATATGTATAATGTATACTATAAATTTTTAGTCATTAAAATTTTTTATTTTGTAAAATTACGTTAGACAAAATAGAGTTTAATCGTTAGTCTCCGTAACAAATTAAATTTCAGTTTGTAAGCATGAAAGAAACAAAATAACAAGAATAATTTTAAATATTTTTATCTTCTACTTTTACAAATATTTTTAATTATGAAACGAAAGATATTAATTTCTTGTTTTCAGAATAATAAATATATGTTATTTTTCATCTAATAAAACTCAACCAATAATCCTTGCAGGAAACATGTGAAGATGACATACTGATTGTATTTTTTGTCTTTTCTTTTTAAAAAGAAATTAAGAACATCTTGACAATGCCTATGGACACGTTATTTTCGTTAAATAATGGAACCATAACTTAGACCAAAATACATCCCCGCTACAAACATTTCATTCTTCTAATTAACAAAATGCACAAAACTTAACTACAGATCGATTTCTAAGTAATTTTAATATTATTTTCCAATTAAAATTATAATTTTTATAATCTGTAAAAGTATTAAATGTTTACATTTTATGGAAATAAAACTACCATTTTAATTTAAAAATAATACTAAAATTATTTTAAAAAAGGCATTTTTGTAGCTTCTTTCTTCTATCATGTGGAATGAGGACCATAAAATTGACTCTCTTGTGCGGATGCGTCATACATTACATCACTCGATTCATGTATGTATAAATAGCCATTTATTTTGCATCACCATCATCACACCCTCACCACCATTTTCAACCTTGAAGTCTCATGTCTTAATCCACTTACCCTCTTATTCCTTTAATTTACTTTGATTCATGGCAAGCATTCCATCTCACATCTAAGCTTGGGTCTACTCTCAATATGGGAATATAGAAGAGGTTCTCAAGTTTGATCCTAATGTACCAACACCACACCTCAAGGAAGACCAAGTGCTCATCAAGGTTGTGGCTGCAGCCCTTAATCCTGTAGATTTTAAGAGGGCTCTTGGCCATTTCAAGGATATTGATTCTCCTTTACCCGTAAGATTTTCATCACTTTTATATTACTAGTTAATTAAGATGTTCTATGTCAACTAGAAATAGTGACAATACTCTTTGTAAGAAATATTAAAATATTTTGTTGAAGCATATTAACAAACTGAGTCTATTCAAATCTTATACAGATTATCTTCTCCGTATTTGTAGCCAATGTGAGATATTTTAATGTTAATTTCTACCAAAGTTTTAAACATCATGTTCTATCTGAGCATATAATACATGCACACTGGCCTAACACAAAAATAATTTATTTACTTTTTTGGATTTTTTGATCTCATATTACTAATTTATTGCTCCATTTTTTGAGCGGTGGTGAGAAGACTGCACCAGTGTATGATGTTGCTGGTGTAGTGGTCAAAGTGGGAAATCAAGTGAAGAAATTTAAGGTGGGGGATGAAGTTTATGGTGATGTTAATGAGATTACTTTGGACAATCCAAAGACTATAGGTTCTTTGGCTGAGTACACTGCTGCTGAAGAAAAAGTATTGGCTCATAAACCCTACAATTTGAGTTTTGTTGAAGCTGCTAGCCTCCCTTTAGCAATCATTACTGCTTATCAAGGACTTGATACAATTGGGTTTTCTGCTGGCAAATCTTTACTTGTTCTTGGAGGTGCTGGAGGAGTTGGAACCTTCGTTATTCAGGTTTGATTTCTTCCATCAAAACATTGTCTAGTAATAGCAAAAAGCTGCAGTTTCTGGAATACACCCTGATTAATAGCAGGTTTCTTGAGCATAAAGATAATTTAAAAAAATAAAACTGATAAGAGTAAAAATATTATCATTATTAAACAATGATGAAATTGTCTTTAAAAAAATAATATATAGTAAGAGAGATCTGAATTGTGAATAATGAAGATTGTATTTTGTTGGATAGAAATTTAATATTTTTCACTCTCTATTAGAGCTAACGGTTATTTGAATATGCATTTGTTTGTTGAGATAGATTGCCAAGCATGCGTTTGGTGCTTCCAAGATATCAGCTACTGCTAGTACAGGAAAACTAGAATTGTTGAGGAAATTAGGAGCAGACTTGCCTATCGATTACACGAAGGAGAATTTTGAAGAACTGGCAGAGAAGTTTGATGTGGTGTATGATGCAGTAGGTCAGTTATTTGGACTGAATAACCAGCCTATAGTTATATGTTTTGCATGATGAAGCTGTTTATGTGAAAATATAATATATTATTTGCTTAAATAAGATTTTACTGAACTTGTTATTTTTACTTTTAGAATTAATCCTTATAAAAGTAAGTTATTAGTATTTAATCATTAACTTTTTAAAGGAGTCAAAATTACTCCTTGACATGAACTTAAATCTTAACAAAATTTTTCAAATAATAAAAATTATTTTTTTATATTTTAAAACATTGGAAATTAAATACTAATAAGTTTTACATAAAAACTAATTCTAAAATCAATAACTTATATTGTTGAATACTGTCTCAAAACTGTTGATTCTGAACACAGGAGAGAGTGAAAAGGCATTGACGGCCATTAAAGCAGGAGGGAAAGTTGTGACAATACTGCCACCAGGAACTCCGCCAGCTGTACCCTTCTTACTCACTTCAGATGGAGCTTTGTTGGAGAAACTAAGACCTTACTTGGAGAGTGGCAAGGTGAAGCCAATATTGGATCCTAAGAGTCCCTTTCCATTTTCTCAAACTGTGGAAGCATTTTCCTGCCTCAAGACTAACAGAGCCACTGGAAAGTAGTCATACATCCCATCCCATAAGCATATTGAATTTATCATTTCAATTTCTCTGCCCTTAATTTATGCTATTTTAGCTATTTGAGAAAAAGTGTGTGCCCAAAAATATTGTAATAAATCTCTTGGAGATGTGGTTCTTGTTATAATTACCCTCATGGTTTGTGCTATGGCTTCAGAATGTGCAATAATAATTAAATGTTATGTTGTTCAACAGCATATAAATAATATTTGTATTTCTATTTGTATAACATAAAAATAAAAAAGTAAGGCTATTTCAATTTTTTTAAATAATATTTACTGCAAGGAGAAAGAAAGAGAAAAAAAAAGTGTAAGATAAAATAGTTAATGTGATGGAAAAAAATAAAGTAAGAAAGTTTCTAAATAAAACTGAAATACAATGGACAAAGATCTACGAATATTTGTCTCAAGGAAAATTAGATTATGAGAAACCTTAAGAAACACAACAAAAATAAAAGTAAAAACCAACTAACCATTATGAAACAAACTACCTTAGGAACGAGAAACATAATATATATTAGAATGAAATAGGTTAAATTATATTTTTCTTTTTCTAAATTTAATTGAAATTTTGATTTTGTCTAGTCTTCTAAGTTTAATTTAAATTTTATTTTAATCTATTAAATTAAATAAAAATAAAGTTAAAAAAGAGCAAATAAAACTTTACTTAAATTCATATAATGAAAAGTGTAGTTTAGACAAACAATTGTTTTCTTTTAATACGTGGGACCACTAAAATAGAGAGGATAATAGAGTTAAAGCTGCTCTTATATTACCCTAAAAATCAATAAAAACTCAATATTAATTTAAAAAATTCTTAATATTACATACAAAAATAAAAAAGTAATTAATATTTTAATTGTTTTAATAAAATTAATATTTAATAATATTATTAATTACCGATAAATAATTAAGTGACATATATCTAATTTTTTAAAAATAAAATTGTGTATAAATAAAATCTTTATAAAGAAATTAACCCTCATGTTATGAAAATTATTATTTAACATTAAATAGGATTGCCTCCTAATAATGAGGATTATGAAATCTTTATTTTATTTATTAAAAAATTTAAATCCTTAAACAAATACTTTTTCACTGAAAGTAATTCTTCACACTGCAATAGAAAAAACGAAATAACCAAAATTGAGATAAGGAAAAACGACAGGTAGTAAAATGGAAAGGTAAAAAGAAAACAAACGACAACAAAACGACACTCTTCTACAAATTCCCCATTAACGTTTTCATCCTCAGCTGACTTCCTTCTTCTCTCTGCTTTTGTTCCTTTCACAGTCCACAAAATCGAGCTAGTGATCATTCTCTCACACACCCACATGGGTCAGTTTTCTTCTGCGCAATTGTAGCGTTAAAAAACCAAACTTTCGGTGTTTTAATTTGCTTTTCAGTTTTCACATACCCATTTTCATTTTTTATGTTTATATTTTCTTGGGTCAAATTTTGTGGCAGATGAGAGAGAAGAGGGGAAGGTGGTGATGGAAGGAGTAGCATCGATAGCATTGCTGCCTTGTGGGTCTGTCTCAGGACACTTCATCCAACTTCCCCATTCTATTTGCTATGGCCTTTATGGCACTGGTATATGTGATTTCACCATGTTTTTTTTTTTTTTTTTTTTTAACGAATATCTGTTTTCTGCAATATATATGTTTATATCAAATGAAAATGCTCGTTATGTAAGAATGTAATGATTAAAACAACAAAGATTTTTGGCTACAAAAACCAGCTTGCGAGGTAGTTGATATCCTTTTGTGCATCAGTTCGTAGCTTGTTAGTTTATCTGTATGTTGGTTACTTTCCCATTGTTCTATGTGAGCCAATGCTTTTATACAACTTTTTTGATACTCTATTCTGTCCATTTAGTAATTACTTATATATGCTTTTCCTTTTCATCTTTTTGCATGATGAAAGAATTGGCATGTGAAAGGGAATGCAGTAGGGGTGAGGATTATCGCCTCATCAAACTTACAATCACAGATTTCAATGTAGTAATTGTGCCTTTTGTGTTGTGTATCTTTCCCTGTCCCTTGTACACTTTATTCACGTTTGGTTTTGATAAAATAGGCAAAGAAAGAACAAGACACTGTTGTGGAGCGCAAAGGCCATGATGCTGCTCGGTTCCACAGCATTGATCATGCTCATGGGTAAAACATAGTGTTCTAGATATGATATTCATGTATAATTTCTTTTCGAGCACTCACCTGAGCTTTATGATTTTTTAATTATTGTTTTTTATTCTTAATATGTATAATTTTCATGTTAAACAGTGAGAACCATGTTATTATGATGAAACTACATTTCTATAGTCAAGCAACTGCTTAGATATAACTTCTGGACTATGGTGAAGGCAAGAAAGTTAACCATGTCATTGAACTCTACTTGTATTTAACTATAATGATTCAAATAGACAAATAGAGGTTGTTGCTGTCTAGCATGTCAACAGAACACGCCATCTCAAGAGAGCCACATAATTAGATAATCTACTGGTCTGGTCATTATCCAGTTTTCATATGCTCCCTGTGTGCAGTAATTTTTTTTCACAAGAAACTTAATTGGTTTACTTTTGGGTATATTATTTTAGATTGTACAATTAATCACTATAGTCTCACTCAAGTTGGATTTTAGCTATATTTTCCCCTCATTTGGGTTTTAGTCCATATAGTTTGTACTCATTAAGATATTTTCCCTATTTCCTGTGAAGGATTTTTCCTTACAGTTTGCAATTATTAAGGTATTGATCCATGAGAGACCAAAGTCCAAATGAATGATATTTATAGGGACCAATATTTTCAAAAAAAATTTATAAGAATCAAAATTTAAATCTGGCAAACAATAGAGACTAATTATTTATTTTGTGGCATCACATTAGTAATCTTTATCTTTTATAATTGTCTGTGTCAGATTAAATCTTCTCTATCTATGGTTTTGTCTCCAGTTAGCGAGTTTTTACAAATTGGTTTCTCTTTCAGAACATTCTTTTCTTTCTCCTCATAAATTGAAGTTATCAATCATTTACATTTTTCTTCATTTTGATGACCACCATACGAGAATGGCATGTTCAATTTATTGTTTGCATTCACCTTTAACAGTTGGGAAAAGGATGTCACAGGTATGATTGGACAAACGGATGGGAAAAAAAGAATCTTAGTTTCATTTGAGTGCGAGACACTGAAAGCCGAGAAAGCAGCTGAAGACCACATCAGGAAGTTCATGCCAAAATTAGCTGGGCTGGATGCTGTGGGTATGTAAATGTTCTAATTTGTACCTAGTCTTGGATAATACAGTATTACTATCATTACTCTAGACACCAATGGTTGTGAGATGTTTGATCATGTATGGTGCTTTTCTTTGCTATTTCCATGTTACAACTTGTTTCCCTTTTCATGCTTTTTGAATGAAAGAAACAGAGGTGTACCAAGGGAGCAAGGTTTGATCATGCTATGCAAGATGCACCAAATCCTACCGCATTCTTCTTAGAATTACTTTTGCTAAAAGAAACCAACATCATAGTAAAAGTACTTATGAGTAATGACTATTTCTTAGAAAGTTGAACATGTTAGGCTTGAGGTGACAGGTTGTAGATGCAGCTATGTTTGATTATTACGATATTTTGATTGCCATTTTATGGCTTGTGCTTGGATCCAAACACTTCTTTTCACCTGCATGAAGAATCTTGCATTCTTTTGGAGGTATTGACAAGTGCTTTTAGAAAATTTCCTTAGTGCTTCACTCTTAAAGCATCCTAAAAATCTTCAATATAGCAACAACATGATTGGCTTGAGTTCTAGAAGATGTAGGGGAAGAAGCTATTTTCTTTCCCATATGTTATTTGACTGAAGTCCGTGCATGCATGAGCTTAAGCACAGAGATTACAAACAGTTTAATGTGTTCAATGCATTATATTTCCCTAGTTTAATGTCTTATCCCTTGCATACTCAGTCTGTTTTATTTGATGGTTTGAATTGTGCAGTTAACATTGGAAGGATGAGGATTTCTGGTTTGGACTTTGGAGCAGAGGATGTAGAGACAGAATAGAAATTTTGATATTGTAATTAGTTAATATCCATTAAGCTACTGAAAGGAAGACTCAAATGCATGATTTGAGCAAATTCTGCAGAAAAATATTTTGTTGAGAGGTGAGAATCTGTAGTTTTCCCAAACATTCATCCTTAATTTGACAATCCGTGCTTTATGGCCATTCATCGTTTATTGTTTGGTAAGAATAGAATATGTTCATTTGAATATATGGGAAAATAGGAACAGAAAATTTATGATGAAAAACACTGTTTTTAATTGATACAATTACAATTACATTCAAAGTATAAAACAATTTATAATATCTTCTTACCCATATCCATACATAATATAAGATGATCATTATTTTAATTGATTATTATTATTATTATTATCATTAACATGTTTTTCTATTAAAGTTGGGAATTGAGATCCTTAATCGGTAAAAATTTCAGGCATGTAATTGGTAAGATTTAAAATAGAAGTGTAGCCATAACGAAGTTGAGATGTTTCTACCTTTTACACTTTTCTTGGAGAATGGTGAGGACTTACTATCAAAGAGCAAATTTTATACATGTTCATTGTTAAAACATCATATATTAAAATGTAATATTATTATCATAAGCATAGAAATATGATATAATGTTTACAGAAAGGTTATTCAAAATACTTGTACTGCTTATACCCAAGTTTACATCTAGGAAAATGTTGTGCCCAGCAAAATATTGATAACAAAATTTATTTAATTTTAGAAAATATGCTTGAGATGCATGTAAGAAAAAAAGACGTGAAAAAAATTTCAAGATAATTGTATAATGTTGCATAAATTATTAATTATTTGATTTTGAATGATAAAACTATTGCATCTAAATCCAAAAATGTTGAAGTACAAATAGCACAGAAGAGTAACGGCCAAAAAATGATCAATAAAGAACGATTTGCATATGAACGAGCTAAATATCATTTTAGTTCATGAAAGATTTGGCATTAATTTCTTTTTAGGGTTAAATTAATTGGTTTTTACATCTTTTAAGAACAAAAATGATAACTAATATTTTTAATCTCATATCTTTCAAAGACCAAAATTATGTTTTATTCATGTAAGGACCCAATCCTTCATGCACTAAATCCGACATTTTTCCCCTTCAAACCATATTTATTTTTTTCCCAAGTATCTATTTACTCACGTGTGGATTTGGGAGAGTGAAAGCACATAGTGCTCTTCAAATGCAACTATATATATATATATATATATATAACGCTTGAAAGGATACACCTTTAGATGTTGGTGTTTTTTGGGTGTACTTTTAAAATGCTCATACATGAAAGATAAAAATAACAATTTTCAGTGATTCAAATAACGAAATTGAAATCAAAATGGTTCTTAACAAGTATGAGTTATTGCATAACCAAATCTGTTACCCAGGTCAGATATCCACACATCAATATACATAGTAACAAGTTATATCCCATAGTTCACAGTAACAACCTTGTATCTGATTCATTAAAATAAAAAGTTGTTGGTATTATTTATAATCTTTGTGGAAAATGCTGGCACGAATTGAGACAGCAACATCAAGCATAAGGGTACAGTTTTAAAACATAATGGAACATTTCATCTGCTGCTGAGCAGGATTTTACCCATGAGCATACCAGCAGCGTGTTTAACTTTTCCTGTGAGGACTGAAAGCCAATCTGTCCAAGGAAATGTCACATTGTCACAACTTAAGAATCAATTAGGTAATGCATGTATATGCAGCATTTTCTATTCTTAAAATTAATTTTAAACATTTTTTCTCAATATAAATTTTAGAGGAAATAGATGTTTCAAATCTCATAGATAGCTGTGTTCCAACAGTGAACATAGAGAATATCACTAATAGCTCATACTGTATTAAGAGAAGGTGAAGCTAACACTGAACATCTTAATAAACATCTCCATATACAGAATGCATTTTATTGGTTTTGCAGTAAACAGTTAGCATGAAATTATTTGATCAACCATTAATAATAAGCTGATAATATCAGTCAGATCTAGTGTTGCAGGTTACGGGCTTAAATGTAAAAATCTTGTATCCAAATTCTTTATCGTATTTAAAACATTTTAATTTTCTGCAAGCACGGTTGGTAGATTTTAATAAACTAAAACACCTGTAAAAGAGGATAAGCTGATGGGCACTGACACAACTAAAATTTCATGAAAAAGAATTTAGGCTGTGTTTAGTAACATGAACTTATAGTTTATTTAGGATGTTATAGCTGAATTTGTTTAAAAATAAGCTTGCACAGATGTTCGATAACCACAAAATAGAAGGAGCAAAGGTTTTTTAAAGTTAACTTTTAAAATGCTGGTTGAAGTAGCATTCAGCTTATAGGTTATAACTTGCTATAATTTATCTCATTTTTACCCTTATCCTATTAAACAAATTACACAGATACAAAATCTTAAATCTCTCTCTCATCATTTAATTCTAATATTATATTAACATAATATTATGTACCCTTTTTAGTCATTTAATACATCTCAACTAGTTTTACCAAACAATTCTAATTTAATCTGCTACTTATAAAGTTACAATGTTTATAACAAACTTATCAACTATAAGTTATAAGCTATAAACTTTCAACTAATTTTATTAAACATAGCCTTAGTTCTCAATAATGAAAACATTTTGTCACAATTAACAGAAAACATATTTCTGGCCTTAATCTTCACATCATATGGAACTAATTTTAAATAAAAAGAAAAATAATCTTGCTAACCAGTATCTTAAGGAATCAATAAATAGTAAATTTTTATTGGAATCACATTGAAATGCATTGGAAATCATGAGTGAGAGTACATTTTTACATTTTTCAATAAAATATTTGTACTTTTTATTACTTAGCCAGTGCCTTAAGGGAAACCTGTTAGCATTTTCCAAAGAAAAAATGAAAACTAAACAGAACAGGAAGTTATGCCCTTTTTCTCAGACATAGGAAAATACCTGAGATCACTAATATCTTACTCCTTCTCAGATGCATCTTCTGAATCAGACAATGGTAACAAGGTACAAACCCCAAGCAAGTGACCATTAAGGCACACATAATACTCAATACAATCTTCATAGGAACCCAACCTGCAACTAGCACTTTGTGGAATCATATTAGCCTGCAGCAAGCTCCACAGCTTTGCCTTACAATAAGGACAAACCTCTGTTTGATGGAGCTGAGCACCTTTCTTGATAAGCATCCTCCTGACATTTGATGTTGAAAATGACTTGAAAATCCCACGGAAGAATCCTAAATCTCCTTCTTCACCTTCGTCAAGATGCTCACAAGGATCAGACACATATAAAACATCATTTATGCATTGTGGCATAAGAAAGCTTTTTCCTGATGTTCTAGAAAATCGAGTCCGGTGAGCAAAATGCCCAGGACTTGGAACTTTATTGAACAAGCCACCTTTCTTGCATCCTGAACAGAATATAAGCAGCTTCCCTAAGGCCCTCCAGTTCCCATCAATACTGTGGCTTCCACTAGATTGCAGATCAAGCATCATCTTAGGAGCTCTTGTTCGACAAAACTCTTTCCATAGAACTCTCTTGGCAAGATCATCAAACCATTTGCACACACATGAAAGAGTAGCAATTAGCTTGGGGTTCCAATTCAAATGATGAAACACCAAGAATATCACATCTTCACTTAAATGCCCCTTAGTGCATTGACAGCTAGCTGAATGTATGCAACGATATTGCTTTGTGAGAATCATTTTCCTCACCTAACATTTACACAGAAAACGTCTCAGTTTATTGCAATTGTTTTGTTGGCATATATACTTGAGGACATTCATGCATTTGACAAATCCTAATGACCAACATTCTTAATTGGGTACTTCATAGTAATCAGGAAAACCAGGATACAGGACAAGGGGACAACTGATGAAACCAATACTTTGTAAACTATGCAAATAAAAACATCTAAAGTGCATACGATATAATAAGAATTCACCACATCAGGTTTATTTCTAAAATACTCAAAAATTTGTTCAAGAAAATAAATGCTTTTCTTCCCCTTCCTATGCATTGGTATGTGGTGGACTTTCTGTGTTTTCTTACTTCAATTACTTACTAGTCTTATACTCCATAAAACCCTATCTCTATGTTCAAACCAAAAATGAAGGATGCACATTTCTTTGAGGGATAAACCCCAATGACAAAGATAAAACATTGCAGTTCTTTGCGCCTCCCAAGCCAAAGGCCCTAACTCTCACAATTGACAAAATCTCCTCTCTCTCAACCCGTTTTCTTATTTATACTTGTGATACCCTTCACTAATTGTAACTAATTAACAACTAGTTGTAACTAATTAACTGCTAACTGTAACTAACTAATTATTGAGTATCTATCTCAAAAGCACTGCAACCAAGACCAGCCTTAAATTTTCTTCAAAAATTCAAGCATCTATGACTTCAAAACTTTCCCAAATTCACACACCTAAATAAGATAACTAACCAAATGTGGCAGAAAAGGCCAAGAAATCAAATTTTATATTTCCCAAAAACAATAACATAATCTACAGCAGCCACATCACAGAGTAAATTTCAAAGGCATGACACGTGGCACAGTTAGTTAACATAATTCCTAGCTACTTAGACAAATCCAAATATGACCATCAACTAGATTTCACAGAATCCCACTCAAAATTGGAAATTTATGAAAATCCTCCACTCAAATGAAATAACCAATCAAACCCCAAGCCAAAAAAGAGAAGAATGGATCACAGTAACTTCAAATTAGGTCAAAAACAATCCAAGCAAATCAAAACAAAACCCAGATAGTGTCTTAGCTTCTGGAACCAGCTTTGGCCATTAACCCAAACTTTGGTTTACTTAGGGGAATAAAGTTCTTAATGCAATTGAAGGGGGAAAAAGGAAAAAGGGTTTCTAAGAAAACAGCAAACTATAAAACAGACAAAGAGAAAGCCAGCATCTTGCTTGTCAGAGTTGCAATATAACTGTGGGTAATTTTCACCTCTGAACAAGAGCAATTCGGTCCACAAAAAGAACAGAACAACACACACTCAAAGCAGCAAAGTAAAATACAGAAAGAGAGAGAGACCAAGGTTGAAGGAACAACATGAAGGAGATGGAACAGACAAAGACAACTTGCAATAGAAAGTGTATAATACATGTCAAGACATGCATCTTTAACATCCTTGGTGAAAATGGCTGTGTCAAGGACAAAGAATACAGTGACACGTGTTGATGACATCACCTTTATCCAGCTGGCACCGTATAAGTATTACGTGGCATTCTGGCAGGGAAGGGCATTCTCGTAATATGACGGTAGTGGCGCCCCATGTTTTTCCTGTTCCTTAAATTTATCAAAAACTTGTGTTTAAGGTTTTCTTCTTTTTTCCCTTACCTGAAGATGATTCTGTTAGCTACAGTCCACGCCTGCCACGTGTCACGTTATTAATGTTAGTAACATATATTAGTAACATTGTGATAAAAATATATTAGTAACATTTTATAACAAAATTTTTTTGTAAATTTATTAATTAATATCTTAAAAACATTTGTTAGTATTTATTTTATTATTATTTGTACTATTCATTTCTAAATTGGTTTAGTTATCTTTCTATCCAAGACTCTAGTTGCAAGTTGCTACTTTATCATTTTGCTTTTCTGTTTTTTAGCTGAACTAAATCAAGTTGCTGCTTTTTTATTGTTCTTTTTTTCTGAATTATTAAACCCCTTTAATTTTTTTACAAGTAGTGGGGCTCATTTAAGTGACAATTTGCAAATAAGTTATTCAAGAACTTATAAATGTCAAATTTGAGCTGATGTGAAAGAGAAATTAATTTAAATATAAATTTTAAAAATATTATACAACGAAATGAAATATTTTTAAAAATACAAAAATATAAGTTCTCGATAATTTTTTATTTTTAAAAATTAACTAATTTAATTTTTTCATATTTTTATAATTTTTTAAAAAATCTCATATTCCGGTATGTATTGTTTTAAATATTATAAAAAACCTCAGTAAAATAAAATAAAATAAAATAAAACTAAAAATATTCAACTAATTCATAAATAATTTGACCAATTTAGAGCTCAACTTGACAGTGTATGTGCCCACTTAATGGATGAGTGAAACATTTCCAAAAATTAAAAGATTAATATAAGCATTGGTGAATTGATCAATTAAAAACAACCAACCAGACGAATTTGCATAGAAAAGATTCAGAAGCTGGCAAGAGAGTTGGGGCTGGAACAACACATGGTAGAAACTAGAAATCCTTAACAGATTCCCCAATCAGAGAAGATAAGAGGGAATCAAAAAGAAACAAATGAATTGAAGGAGTAGTGGCAGGCAAAGGAAGTATATGGAAACAAATATTTAGAATAAGATATAGCTGAAGGATGCTGACTATAGCAAAGCTTTTCCTATCATGCAAGTGGCAAATGCAAAGCAAGAAGCATAACGATATTATAAGTGTAGACAATACAATGGTTAGTGGCTAGAGGATCTGTGTTAGTTATCTTATGGACATTTAATCACGTTCTAAATGGACTAATTATATTTTACCTATAAAATTTTAAATAAAAAATTGATATAATTTTTAATATAGCATTTTAATTTCATTAGTTCATTTAAGATAAAATTATTAATTATTAACATGTAGATCAACTAGCGCGGAATTGTTTTAGTTTAATGTAAATTGTATTAAATGCTTAGAAAAAGAGCTTTATTATTCATAATGATCTTATCTAGCTTGAAATCAATAGTAATAATTTTATTCAGCTCGAATAAATTGATTTAAAATTTTTTATAAACTGAGGACTAAAAGGTAGAAAGTGGCAGTGGACTTTCTCCTAAAGCTTGCGTAGTTGCACATCATAGGGGTCCTCATACTTACTTTAGAAGTGTGCCTTCTCACGATGGAAACTTTCTTATACATTAAATGTGTTTGTGATTCCATTCCTAGGATGGGTCCCTATGTCATAACTTTGGCTTTAAATTTTGGGCTGCAGAAGGACTTTCATTATTTATTTCCCTTCTCTTTACTGAATTTTCACTTCCAATGTTCCAAACAATGATTCTCCTGTGTAGTACATGATATACTTAATTATGAAGTGATTTTTTCAAAAAACATAGATAATTAAGCAAGACAGCAAACCTGATAGGTGAACTGTATAACTAGATCATATTAGAATTAGTTTTCAATTATAACTACTTTGTTAACAAACAGTTAATCTGTTAAGATTAGTTTACTCAGCTAAAGATAGATTAATCCTTCTTGTATATAAAGTAAAAATTTGTACACTGTTCTAAATCTTCATAGTTTTCAATAAAGAAAAATACATAATATATTCTTTTTCAAACTCTCTTTCCTCTCTCCAAACCCTTGGGCCTGATATCCAATATGGTATCAGAGCTCTCAATCCTTGGACTTTGAGCTCACTACACCTTCCGTACTAACAGCTTCAATGGCTACTTCGCCAAAGACTTTCTCAAATCCGCTAGCCACACGACTAAGTAAGGATAACTACGTCACATAGAGACATCAAGCAATGCTCGCCATCAAAGCACACAAGTTGAAAGACCACCTGAACAAAGACAAGATTCCTCATCAATTTGAGACTCAAGAAGATGAAGATCTAGGCACTGAAACTCAGGCCTACACTGTTTGGGAGCTTCAAGATAACCATTTAGCAGCATGGCTCCTAGCTTCCATGGAGAGCGCTTCACCAATAGGATGATGGGTTGTGAATTTGCACACCAGGTATGGAGCAAGGTTGAAACCTACTTTGCCTCCAAAACTAAAGCGAGAGTGAAGCAACTGAAGTTGCAATTGAAAGCAATCAAGAAGCAGAATGATAGTGCCACTGATTACCTGTTGAAAATCAAGAAGATTGCTGATTTCCTTGCATTGGTAGGTGCTCCCATATCAGTTGAAGAACACATTGAGGTAATTCTTGATGAACTCAATGAAGAATATAGTTCAATGATAACTCTTGTGCTCTCTCGATACGATACCTATTTTGTAGAGGAACTTGAAGTCCTTTTAATGGGTCAAGAAGACTTACTTGAAAGGTTCAAGAAAGATGCAAATATTGTTCAAGCTAATATAGCCCAGGTGCCTCAACATGAGAATAAGAATGGAGGTCAGAGTTTTGGCAGAGGTAGCTACAATAGAAGAGGCAGAGGAGGAGGACATTCACATAGAGGAAGAAGATCCTTTTGGGACAATGCAAACAGATCACAATGCCAACTATGTGGTAAAGTTGGGCATGTTGTTTGGGAATGTTTTCATCGGTTTGATCAAGGGTTTCAGAACACCAACCGAAGAGCTCTTTCCTCTGTTCCATCCTCAGCTGCATTCCATAATCCAAGAGCATATCTTGCTACCACCTCCTCTCCTCAAGACTCAGCTTGGTATCCTGATTCAGGGGCAAGCCATCACTTGACATTTGATCACACAAATATGCTCACAAGCTCAGAATTTGAGCGCCCTGAGCAAGTGCATATTGAAAATGGATCAGGTATTGCTATTAAAAATATTGGCAAATTTGCATTGCATGCATCTAACACTCACAAAACCTTTTTGTCTAAATCAACTATTACATGTTCCTAAAGTCTCTAAAAACCTTTTATTAGTATCTAAGTTTGCAAAGGATAACTGTGCATATTTTGAATTCTGGCCTCATGATTGTTTTGTGAAGTCACAGGTGAACAAGGAAGTGCTACTTCAAGGCACCCTTAAGAATGGTCTATACAGATTTAATGATGTCCATGTTCCAAAAGGAAACTTCACTACTTTTCTTTTTCATTGTAATTCTCCTGTCAATACTCACACCAGAGTGCTATGGCATAGGAGGTTAGGCCACTTGGCACACAAAACACTGCAGCATGTCATGAATCTCTGTAATATACAAGTTGATTCTAATAAAAGTACTGATTTTGATTTTAGTCTTCACTGTGATGCATGTTGTGTTGCAAAGTCTCATCAACAATCCTTTCCTGTCATAAATCATAAATATGATAAATCACTAGAACTTATTATGTTTTATGTGTGGGGACCTGTCACAGTTCCATCTTTCTCTGGATTTCGATACTATGTGTCATTCATTGATGTTTGTACGAAATATACATGCATTTACTTGTTGGAAAATAAGTCACAAGTACTCACAGCTTTTGTCCAATATAAGACATACATAGAAAAATCAAACTAGTCTGAGGATCAAAGCACTACAAACAGATAATGGAGGGGAATATTTATCTTCTTCATTCACCAAATACCTCATAACCCATAGCAACCATCACAGACTTAGTTGCCCCTACACTCACCAACAAAATGGATGTGCTAAAAGAAAACATAGGCACATCAAGGAAATTGGTCTCTCCCTTTTAGCCACTGCTTCTATTCCCCTAAAATTTTGGGATGAAGCTTTTATCTTAGCTACCTACCTTATCAATAGACTGCCATCACCAAACACTCAAAACTAATCCCCTTTTGAACTCCTTTATCACAAACAGCCCACCTACTCACATCTCAAAGTCTTTGGATGTGCCTGCTACCCCCACCTCCCTCATCTTAACAAGCACAAGTTTGATTTTAGGTCTCATCTCTGTGTCTTTATTGGCTATTCACCTAATCATAAAGGCTATAAGTGTTTATCAACCTCAGGTAAAATACATATTATCAAAAGTGTAGTATTCAATGAATATATTTTTTCTTATAATAAACTGTTTCCTATACCCTAATCAAGTTCCTTGCCCAATGCACCTGCACCCCTCCCTCACATTCCACTTGTACCACAAACCAATCCAATCATACATGTGCAGTCTGCCAATATTTCAAATATCACCAATAGATACATTCCTACTATGCCCACTGCAGAACCTGCCACTACTTATATTCCTGCTACTACTAACATAGTTCCTGCTGAAACTGCTATAGATATTCCTGCTTCTGTATCTGTAATAGGTCTTACTGCAACAGAACCACTTCAGCACACTAATTCTGGTTCTGCAAACACTCTGCAGCAACCTATTTCTGTCACTGGCACTCACAAATTGTTCCCTGTGAATGAGCATTAGATGAAGACTAGAGCCAAGGCAAGAGTTGTAAAGCCTAAATCTTACCTGGTTGCTGTCCTAAGTAGCAATCAGAACTTAACTGAAACTGAACTGACCTCAGTGGCACAAGCTATGACCTCACCACATTGGCTGAAAGCTATGCAAGATGAATTTCGAGCATTGCAAGCCAACAATACATGGTCTCTAGTACCTCCACCTACAAATATCAAACCCATTGGCTGCAAATGGGTCTTTAGAGTGAAGAGAAATCCACACAGTTTGGTTCAGAAATACAAGGGATTCCATCAAAGTGAAGGGCTTGATTTCACTGAGATTTTCAGTCCCGTGGTTAAACCATTGACTATAAGATTGGTATTGTCCATAGCCCTCTCAAAAGGATGGAAAATTAGGCAATTCGACTTCAACAATGCCTTCCTAAATGGGGATTTACAAGAGGATGTGTACATGGTTCAACATGAAGGGTTTGAAACAGCTTCTACCACTCAAGTTTGCAAACTCACAAAGGCTCTTTATGGCCTTAAACAAGCTCTAGAAGCTTAGTTTTGCAAGCTCAGCACTACCTTACAACAGCATGGTTTTGCTCCTGCAAAATCTGATTCCTCCCTATTCATCAAGTTCTCTCTAACCTCAATAACCTACATTTTAGTTTATGTGGATGATATCCTTATTACTGGCTCCAATCCTCAAGAAGTATCTCAACTAGTCACCCAACTGAACAACACCTTTGCCTTGAAAGACCTAAGGGAAATGAGCTTTTTCCTAGGAATTCAAGTTCAACACTTACCATTAGGTGCAGTCCAGTTATCTCAGACCAAATATGTGAAGGAACTCCTTTCTAAAGCAGGCATGACCTCTGTCAAGCCAATGCCAACTCTTATGACCTCTAGTCTAAAACTCTCTGCACATGATGGTTCACTATTTCATGATGCCTCTTTGTATAGAACAGTGGTGGGAGGACTTCAATATGCCACAATAACTAGACCAAACATCTAATTTGCTGTCAATAAAGTTAGCCAATTCATGCATAGTCCCTCGAATGCACACTGGAAAGTAATCAAGAGAATACTAAGATACTTAGCAGGAACCTATGATCATGGCCTAGTCTTTCAACCATGCAAGGAGTATAAATTGTTAGCTTTTTGTGACTCAGATTGGGGATCTGATGTGGATTTTCTGTCATCCACATCAGGTTTCTGTGTATACTTGGGCAGCAACTTAATCTCATGGTCTAATAAGAAGCAAATTGTTGTTCCCAGATCTAGCACTGAGGCAGAGTTCAAGAGTCTAGCTACGACTATGGTTGAACTCACATGGCTTCAAACATTACTAACAGAGCTATGTGAGTTCAACAATGTTATGTGACAATGTCTGTGTTGTTCAACTTTCAGCAAACCCAATTCTTCATAATAGAACTAAACATTTTGAAATAGACCTCTACTTTGTCAGAGATAAAGTTATGCAAAGACAATTGTTTGTCTTTCATGTCCCTGCTCAAGATCAGATAGTTGATACCCTCACCAAGTCTCTCTCAGCTCCCTTATTTTCCAAATTTAAGGCCGAACTCAGGGTGCTACCAGCAGCCCCCATAAGTTTGAGGGAGATGATAGGTGAACTGTATAGCTAGATCATATTAGAATTAGTTTTTAATTGTAACTACTTTGTTAACAAACAGTTAATCTGTTAAGATTAGTTTACTCAGCTAAAGATAGACTAATCCCTCTTGTATATAAAGTTAAAACTTGTACACTGTTCTAAATCTTCATATTTTTCAATAAAGAAAAATACATAATACATTCTTTTTCAAACTCTCTTTCCTCTCTCCAAACCCTTGGGTTGATATCCAATAAAACCAACCTTCATTTTGCAAGAAATCATGATTAAATCATGTCACTACAATTAATAATTATCTCTTTTTTATCTTTCAAAAGGTTTCAGCAATTGTCCATTTTATTTTCTAGAGATGAATGCTATCACCCTGCATGGAAATGAAATAAGTTATTTCCTCAAGGATACAACTTAAGATTGTTCTTCTAAATAGGGTGACAAAAATCTTTCTTCTTTTGATTCTGCAACGGTAGCTACTAGACTTGGTAAAATATACTATTAGGAAAAAATTCCATTTAAGAAACTCAGTGAAGTGGCCTATAATTACTTGATTACTCGGATTGATCTTTTATTTCATAAAGCAATCACTCCTGAATGGACTAAATGGTCAAACACTGTTGAAGTTAAGTATTATGTCAAGGTCTTGAAACATGTACGATGTATGGCTTTTTATAGGAAAAATCTACTAAAATTGTCGTTTTATAGAAATAGGGTAGATCCTATCTAAAGAGAAGTAAGTTGTTGCTCTAATGCTAATTTCATTCTTGTCTTAGTTGAGAAACCTCCAATTCCAAAATGAAGAGTGGTTTGGGACTTGAAACTATTCTACTTGTTTCAAAGTAATTGTTAGTGTAGAAATTTTAATGTGTTTATATTATTTATCATTTAAAAATTTATAAAGAAGTTAGTTATGTTTTTTAACTTATATTTGTCTTTTAGTTTCTTTATTAAGTTGAATGAGAGAATATTGATAGAAAGAGAAGATATGTTGAACTAATATTTTCTTTTAAAAATACTTAATAATTTTTAATCCATATACAAATCTTTAAATAAGTAGATTATTTTATAATATAATCTAAGTTGACAAATTATTTATAATGTGCAAGTCAAATATTGGTCCAAAAGAAATATCTTTATCAGGTATTTACAAAATGAGCTTTCTTAATAACTATTACCACAAATTTTGTCCCCAATTTTTTAATTACTATAATTAAGTTCTTTAACGTTTTTTTAATCGATCCAATCTACCCATCTCATTAGTTTCTTTCTATTAAAAACTTTCAAATCCTCAACTTTTTCTCTCAAAATCTTAGTTAGTGGAACCATTTGAATCCTTTTTCTACTCAAAACACATCAATCAAAATATATTGTTCAAAACTATAACTTCACATCTTATAATATCCTTCAAATTTAACCAAACTTCCAACTTCTGAAAATTGTTAATCATTTTCTATTTCATATTCATTCTAAACCTCTAATTATCTGAATTAAAAAAAAAAACTTGAGATTTTATATAAAGATAATATAGTAACAAAAAGATTTTATTATGTCTAGACCCAAAACAAAATTATTTTAATTATTAAAAAATTAAAATACAATGTAAATAAAAAATCATCAAGAGATCAAAATTACATGATTATAATAAAAAGATCAAATAATATAATTAACCAAATTATACGATAATCTGACTAAGTAACTTCTATTAACCCAAACTTATCCTCACGCTAGATAAAAATTTAAGACATTCAAAGATTAAAGAGGATTTGATTTTATTTGAGAGATAATATTATACTAAAACTGAAGTCATTAAGACTAGCTTAGATCACCAAAACCCTGTAATTTCTTTTCAGTTTGTTACTCCTTGGACACCAATCCAATATCTTTTGCAGCTAGTTTGGAGTGAAGCACTATTTCTTGCATTGAAAGACCTATGCCGTCAGTTTTCAATTCGTTAAAAAGATGGAAGTCTGAATACTCCACAAAAATTATAATCTTAAACATAATAAGTGTTCTGACAACACCCCCCCCCCCAAAAAAAAAAAAAAAAAAAAACTTGCAAAACAAAAATTCAATTATTTTTATAATAATTGTACATCATTATATCTTTTATTTTGTAATGCCTTAATATCTATATAAGTTTACACACACCTCTATCATGCATCAAGCTTATACTAAACTTTTTAGTCTAAAAAAATGCTGAACAGAAAATAGCCTAAATTACACAGCTAATTGTAAGGAGGAAAATCAACCACTGTAGCATTGTAAACAAGACTGAACAACAACTCTCCACCCCCAAAACTTAAACCATGATCCGCATGCGTCCGTGTAAACAATTAAAGCATTCATAGATATGGCCAATCCTTAGCCAGTATACAGGCACATTCAGGAAAAAAACAGAAGTTATCAACATCCTTCAACTTCTGCAGATTCGAATCATTGAAGTAAACCAGCTTCTTTGAGAGCAGCTTTATAGTCTTCAACACTTTTTTCTCGCACCTGCATCGCCAGTGACATTAACAAAATAATGCTATGAGATGGATATGTTCCACAAGCACACCAAGTCAAAATCAAAATTTGAAGAATCATTATCGTGCATCATGCTTTTGGAGCATCATGATTCAAGAAGCATCATCAAGTAGCATACCTCAGTTACACGAGTGCCAAAATGGTTCTCAATCTTCGACATGAGCCTTTCATCCCTTTCATCACATATTAGGTTAAATACAGCCCCTGTAGGATCAATAGAAACAAATGGGAAAAAAAAAAAACTTCAATATTTTGTATCTTGCTGAAAAATGAAAATATCATTCATAACTTGATGAAAAATGAAATTATGAGGTGATTGTGAATAAAGAAAATTGCATATGATGTGATTGTTGGCCAAACAAGTACATATTACAGTCACAACGTCAAAATCCATCTGAGCAGGGTTAATAAGCCCAACTAAGGATCAGCCTGATTGAGTGAGTAGTTAGAAGGCAAAAACATATTTAAAGCCTATAACCCCTGATAAACAATCAATTATTACATTCCAATTTTTCATCTAGAGACTTTATTGGAGTCCAAAATAACTTTCACTTTCCACCTACTTAACAGTCAACAGACTTGAAATATTACTAGTCCCATCAGAGCAATAATAGAAGCAATATCAATTTTTGAACCAATTAAATTGAAACATGGTGGCAACAAAATTATTCCTTGGAGGAAATAAGAAGAACCAAATATTTGGGGCTCAAGTTTACCCTTATAATATAATGGAAAGCATGACTAAGAGCTAGCACAGTGAATTGTTAGATAAATAACATCTGGTTTGAACACAGAAATCCAACTTAGCTACACTAGCATAACGACTTAGCTACACTCGTATAAAAAAAAGAGCAACAGGAAACTCACTCATTACAATGATTTCAACAATATTTGACATCTACACAATAAGCAGAGAAATTTAGAAACTTACCCTTGCGCCCAAAACGCCCAGCCCTACCAACCCTGTGCAAATATACTTCATAATCAGGGTCAGGTTCACGGGTATACTCAGCAGTGTGTTTCACTGGAAGATCATAGTTGATAACCAAATTAACCTAAATAAATATGCAATGGAAGGATGTCATCACATTGAAAAGCAAATGAGTACAAATACAGAAAAAGAAAGAGTGGGAAAAAGAGGGAGCATAACCAATTGAGTACCTGTTGCTGATCAAAGCCACGAGCGAGAACATCAGTTGATATAAGAACCTGGGTCAAACCATCTCTGAACTCTTTGACAATCTTGTCTCTCTCCTCATGCTCAAGAGCACCTTGTATAGAAGTAACTTCATAGCCCAAATCCACAAGGGATTTATGTAACATTTTTGCACTGTTTCTTGTGCGCACAAATATAATGGTTTGCCCTACATTCTCTCCTATTTCAAATATGTAATCTTTTATCACTTCAACCTTAGAGAGTTCATCAGGACACCGCACTTTATATTGCTTCACGGCATCTAGAGACAGTTCTTCTTTCTTTACAAAGAGTTTATTATGATCCTTCTTAACTGTTCTTGAAACAAAATTCTTGACAGTTTCGTTAAATGTAGCAGAAAACAGAAGAACCTGGAGACACAGAAAGCAACCAAAGTTCTCTTAGATAAGGAGAAACTGAAAAATTAGCTAAATTGCATAAAAGCAGACACAAACATTTGATTCATGTATATAGCACGCAATTTAAGTGAAAAAATAAAAAATTTATTCAAATGCAGATGCAATGGTTCCGCAGCATATAAAATAAGTAGAAACAGTAATATAATGCCACCCAGCCCCCTCCAAATGCAAATTCAAATTTAGGTATAGCAATCAATTAATATCAACCAAAAGAAGATTTAATCTTTCTATAATATTATTTGAATGAGTATGATATATTATGCATAAGATTCCTTAGACTGTGTTCTCTTCTTATAAGATGAATGGATGGATTTACTTTGTGCTTCATATCTTCCACAAGTTCTAGAAGGGTTCAGGGTAAGTACAGTTTTGCATGAACTTTCAAAGTAGTTGCATGGGTGACCATCAATTACACTTCATCTCTCTGGATGTATCTCAGTATCTGCATGCGGTCTAAAGGATAGATAATTTTACTATGCAAGTTGAGAAGACTAAACCAACCATAAACTAGCACATTGTCGTTTTCAAAGTAGTTGTCTGACACAGATATTCATGCATTTATTTAGGGCCTGTTTGGTTTACTACCAAAATCAATTTCATATACGGCAGTATATGTTTCAAAGTATAACTTGTGACTCAGATTAATTAATTTTGGAAAAACTCAACCATGTTCAACAGTTCAAAATCAATTTTACCAAAATCTATAAAAAGCGTACACTTGATGTAAAATAATGTCAAGTCAGAGAGTGCAGTATTTTAGTCTACACAGGTAGATGAATTGTGCAGACCAAGTCTATGCGAGAATTTCTCGGACAAATAGAAAAGTAATGTATGCAAGCACACCATGCAAGAGGGTTCAACATACCTGACAGTTAGAATTGACTTTTTCTATTTCTTTCATTATCCTCAGGGAATCATCTTTAAATCCATCCTGCAACAGCACAGTTCAAAACAATCAAGGCACAGAATACTTAGCAGCAAAACCTTACCAAAAAACCAGGAAAACGCAATTGCATGAACAATTCAGTAGTCCTTGAACCTAAAACTAGGCCCTAAGCTAAGATCTCTGTCATATACATTATACAAAAGAGTAATTACTTAGAATAGAAACAAGTAAATTTTCAAGACTCAAGACATGTGGTTTACTATTCCTAGTGTCCTCTTCCAATTTAAAGCCTCATAATAGAGTGACAACATACCATACAACACGACTATAACCTACTAATTCCATTGTGAACAACTAGCTAATTCTCCGATAAACAAATGGCACTAACAATAAGTTCAGCAAAGAATAACAAGGTTATTCACTACCCAATAGAATTAAGTACCTCAGCAAGCATTTGATCAGCTTCATCAAACACAAGAATCTTCAACCTCGTGGCCCCAAGTTTCTTAAAGCTCATCCACTTCTTAATGGTGCCAGGGGTCCCAATCACCACCTGAGCCATAATTGGCGCGCGTTTTGCTATCGGAAGGGCATCGCGGCTATCCATTGGCACGGCACATTCGGAGCTAATCCCCGTGTACTTCCCCATCTTGCGCAGAACCTCAGTGTTCTGAATAGCCAACTCTCTGGTGGGGCAAATGCAGAGAGCCTGAGGAGCCTGCATTTTCGGATCCACGCGACTAAGCATCCCAAGCACAAAACAAGTCGTCTTGCCAGAACCGTTGTGCGCTTGCGCAATCAAATCCCTATGCGGAGGACTCAAAATCATTGGTAAACTAATCGCTTGGATTTTACTCGGTTTCTGGAACTTCATCTCAACGTAGAGTCCCTTCAGCAGCTCCGGGGAGAGGTTTAGATCTTCGAACGCCGCCGCCGACGTGTACGGAGTGTCGCCTGAGGTCACCTGCACCGGATTCAAAACCCTAACGGTAAATTCAAAACCCTAACAGAGAGAGAAAAGTGAAATCGGCAATCGCAATCGAAACGCACCGCTTGGATGTTGGAGTCGTCGGGGTCATCCAACAATTTCGGCGGTTTCTTGTTATCTTCGATGGTTAATTCGTCGACGTTGACGGAAGAGGTTTCGGGCTCTGTTGTGGAGGCGTTGGTTTCCTCGTCGGCTTCGTCGGCCCAGCTCTTGGTCGCCGGCGGCGGAGGCGCGGCAGCGGTGTCGGTGGTTGATGATTCTGCCATGGTGAAGAGAGAAGCAGAATAGAAAGTGACGGGGATTTGTTCTTCGGAGTGAGTGTGGATCGATGTTCAATTGACACATCGCGTCGAGTATGCATAAATTATGCGCGGGTTGCGTTGGAATGACGGTGGCCCAGAAACGTAAATGTTTGGGCCTACAGGTTTGAAGATGGGCCCATAATATGGCTTTAAGCTTGGTGGATCAAGAAACACTATACCATATCATTCCCCGAAGGCCATTCTTTTTTTATTGTTTTTGTATTATTGACCAAAAACAAAGTTATTTTTTGTTTCATTCTTTTCTATTGGTTTTATTATTGCCTTTTATATTTTTATATTTAATTTTAAAAATATATTTTACACATTTCGTGGTTAATTCATTTTGTGAGAAAATGAATACACAACCCATGTATGTAGGCACCTGATTAAAGGGTTATGAACACCCTTTAAGATATAATTTTTCCAATGTATGTTCAATAATACATGTTAAGGTCTTAAATACAATATATTAAATATTTTAAATCACTATAAAAAAAGCATGTATTAAATACTTTTTATAATTTTCAGATAATGAATATTTTCATATTCAATGAACATTTTCTATATTTATTTTCTTAATGTGTCATCGGACACATGTATATATTATCTGGAAAATACGAAATGCATTTAATAGTTCTTTATTTAGTAATTGAAGAGATTTGTAAGCATAAAATATAAGAGTATTTCGAATTACTCTTAGAAAAACATTTAAGATAATTCATTTTGTGATTAATAGAATAGAATGAAAGGATAATATAGTAAAATGAATTTCTATTTTTTGAAGTTGACCAAAATAATTTCATGTCCTTGGGCAAATCCAGAGTATGCCTTTGCAATTCTCTCTGTTTGGCAAGTGAGTTTGGGGGGTGAATCAAGGAAGTAACACTAAATATTCAAAAGCTCAAAGTCATTGGCATCATTTTATTATACTTTATTCAAAATCAAAAGATACAAATCAATCACACTAGGTATGGATTTCCAAAACAGAATGAGAAGTATGTCATCCAAAAAGTTTTTGGTGAAAGTTAAGGTAAGTTCCCAACACAAAATCCCCCTTTCAACTCTACAAGCAGAGTTTCAAAAGACAACTCAAGGCAAATCTATCTCTACTTTCTGCAGTACCTTCAGCTTGTTGGCTTCACATCTATCAACCAAAGCTTGGGTTTATTTTCCTACCATTTTCTTTACAAAACAAATGAAAAAGCTAGAAAATTTTTATTCAAACTCCATCAACTGACAGTGTTTGCAGAAGGCTTTTTCTCTTGAAGAGAGATTACAGTTTCAAAGGCACCAACCAATGCTTTAACCTTGCTCTTCCGAGTTTCAGCAAGTTTACTTGCCGTTTCCTCAATTACATTATTTAACAATCCTTGTGCATCTTTCTTGTCCTGCATATCTTGGTGTCTCAAAACAACCTTCTCTGGACCAGTTGTAGCACCATTGCTATCAGCACCTGCTCCATCTCTTCTTTTAAAACTTTTCCTTTGGGCGTTGCCCTTAACATTTGCTTTCTCTGCCGACACTTTTGCTCTCCGAAATTTAAGCCTCCTTGGGCTACTTATTTCAATTTGATTGTCAATCACCTTTCCCCTTCTGAACTTCAATTTAATCATTTGGCTGTCCTCGTCTTCGGAACAAACAACACCATCCTTTTTGGGTTTGTCTTTCTCATTAACTTCCAATGTCTCCTCATTTTCCACATGTTCAATTTCATTGTTTCCTGAAAAAGAATCATGGTCAAATTCACTAGTTGTATATTCAGATTCCTCTTGGTCTTCTTTCGATAAGGATTGAGAAATTGAGGATACTGAAGACTTAGGTGATGACAACTGAGGGAGGTAGGATTCATCATCATAGCTTCCATTTTGAACAGATGGCAAAGTTTTATTTTCACTTTCCATCTTGACGACATACAAGGTCTTCTCCTCCACCTCATTGTTGTTGTGTTCCTCAAGTTCAACCTTTTTGGCAGTCTGCTGATTCTTAAGATGAGATACAATTTTCAGGCTCTTAGGCTTTCTTGAATTTATACTTGCGACTCTTTTAAGGGAAGGTCTGGGGGATGATAAAGTCCTTAAAGGTGTTATCAGTTTTCTTGAAGCTTCTTTGGAGGAGGAGGCCCCCTTTACCATCTTGATCTTACTATTTTTTGGGCCATCAAAGCCTTCTGAGGAATTCGTAGATGATACTTGCTTCCTTCTGACATTGCTTGTATTTAAAGTGGTCACACTTTTTTCAGACAATTTGGTTTCTTTACCTTTTAAAAAAGATAACTGTGATGAAGTTTCCACCAAATTGGAAGTTGGTTTTGATGAAGTTTTGACCTTGGAAGTTGATTTTGATGGATTTGCCACCTTATTGGAAGTTGATTTCAATGGAGTTTCCAACTTATTGAGAGTTGATTTTGATGGAGCTTCCACCTTTCTGGAAGTTGATTTCAATGGAGATCCCACCTTTTTGGAAACTGATTTTGATGGAGATTGGATCTCCTTAATTGAAGTTTCCTGTCTTGTTGGTGGAGATTTATGGGTCTTCAGAAGGAGCGATGGTTTGACCTTGACCAATGATGATTTCTTCCTGTTTACCAGAACTTCATTCCCTATTTCTTTTTGGCTGTCAAATGATTTTGTTGACAGGTCCTGCTTATAGGAGACAGAGGTATCAGAAATCCAGGTCTTGGAATCAACTGATTCTCGGAGTTTGTCCATTGACACCTTCATTGCCTCGGAATCAACCGATGCCCTGAGCCTAGCAACCAATGCTATTGTCCTGCCATTGCTATCGTCAGAACTGTGGTAAAGCTGTTTTCTTGTAGCTCTATTAGGTATAGAACGTCTTTCCTTCGATTCAAATTCATGCTTCCTCCCATATTTACAAAAATCATGACAAGAACCAGTGGAGGCTCTGAGATAATGGGGAACAATTTTTTCATCGCTGTTTCCATAACTAGCTTTGCCATCAGAATGCCCTTTTATTCCAATCCTAGATGACTTAGTTACTTCTGGGGTCACTTGTGATTCAACACTTTCATTGGCCATTAGATGGGAGATGAGATATGCAGATGGAGCCCAACAAGATTAAGAACAACAATCCTGAAACAAGATTAATAACTGATTCAAACCACAAATGAAATACAAAGGCATATTCAATAATTCAAGAGAATTACAGAAATTAGAACAAACCACTAATATCTACAACTTTATGGGGAAAGGAAAGAAGATGTATCACCTGTCCATCCATCTAAGGTTCAAATCATAAGCTGTGTTTGGATACACAGCTTAATTAAACACTTATTCAATTAGCTCTTTTTATATGAGAGCTTATGCCATAAATTTGATCATAAAATTTATTGGAATAAGATGAAAAGAGCTTATTTTGATAATCTATACAAAGAAACTTATTGAAATAAACTAAAAAGAGCTTACGGGAATTTTAAGCTATTTCTATAAGTTGTCCATAAGCACTTCCAAAAGCATATTTAATATTTCAATAGAATTACAGCAATTAAAACAAACCACTAATATCTACAACTTTACGGAGCAAAGGAAAGAAAATGTATCGCTCATTCATCAATGTTTCAAATCATAATCTTTTTCACAAAGAAAGAAAACAATTTCAAAACTAGTCTCAAATTAGGGAAACTCTTTTCAGGCCCTTAGGAACATAAATAATTTTCTGATCTATATTGATTTGAAGCTCAAAATCCATGACTCAAAGGGAATTTACAAAAGCCTTTCTTGCATAAAACGCCTAACTTGTTTGACATCTGAATTTTCTCCAATAAAGAACAAAACACAGTTTTCGGACATTATAAAATAAAATATATGAAAAAATTAATGCAGCAGGAACAAACCAGATAAAGCTGCAATTATAGAAAGGAAAGAAAAACCATCAAACGCCCAAAAAGAAAATCAAGATGCCCCAATCCGCAAACCACTGTTTATCATAAACATACTTCAATAAAAGACATTATCATGTCTTGAAAACATTGGTATTGCAAGATTATGTCTCATAATTGTTAACAGTAAGATTTTGTACATAAAAAAGAAGGCACTTATCAAGCACATTTAACATGCAACCGATCATATAAAAAAATCAATGAAGAAATGTAAAAAAAAAAAATCCATCTAAGAGCTGAGAATTATATTATAAATTATAAGTAATCAAAATCAAGTGCGGCAGAATATTCATCTAAAAACAAAACGTCACTTTATATTGATTATTGATTATTCAGCAAAAGCCAATCCAGCATCACAAAACTCATTGAAAAGCTTATTGGCCAAGAAAACTTTTTTTTCCCTTACACCACCATAGACAATCATTTTGGAAGTATATTCCAATCCAAAAAAAAAAAAAAAAACATTTGAAAAGAACACCTCAAATGAAACCAATTCAATAGAACAGAAAAATGAATCAGGGGAGGTTCTGAAAACCAATCTCAATCCACCAAAATCAAATTTTTCAACAAACCCATTTGCATTTGGAGGAAAATAAGCAAGACCCAGCTGATATTTTGGTTGGGAACGAGTAGAAGCAGCATACCTTGTTGTTTACAGAAGAAGAAAGTTTAAGAGAGTGAATGGTGCGGTTCCGAGAAGAAGAAGAAGAAGAAGAAGGAAAAGGAGAAGGGACCACTGAAAGAGAACGTGCCAGCAAGCAAAGTGTTATTTCTCTCGTGTTGTTTCTGATTCGGTGTGGCGTGTCTCTTCACTGCGTTGGTTTGTTACAGAATCCAGAGAGAGAGAGAGAGAGAGAGAGAGAGAAGCGTTGAATATTTGGAATATTTTATGGTCTTAAATAAAATAAAACAATATGGTATAATAGGAAATTGTAATGAGAAATTTAATAATGCACACAAATGAGAAAGCTTATTAAGGAACTTGGGAATGGTTGGTTGGTTTAGTTGGTGAAAACGTCAAAATGGTTTCCCTCAAATTTGTTCTATAAAAATTTTATTAAAAAAAAAGATAAATGAGGAAATTTAATTTTAAGTTTCAGTTCAAGTTTCCTAAAAATAAATGATACGTGTGATTGTCAACCTATTAAAAATTGTAGAATGAACAATTTTGGACATCAAAATGTTATTAAAAAAATTGTCTTTCAATTTAAAAATCGGTTTCTTGGTGTTTTTCAAATATTTATGAAAAAGAAAAGAGGTATCTTTTGATGTTAGTTTCAAACATTTAATTCCCAGTCGGTGCATTAAAGATTAAAGCTCATCCCCCAATTGCTTCCACATTAGTTTACTATATTCTCGATTTTTTTACTGTAGCATTTAATAACACATTATATATAGTATTTTTTAATTAATAATTAATAATAATAAATATTATACTTTTAATAATAACTTGTTTAATAATTGTTATCTTTTTTTTATATGTCCATATGTATACTTATTAAAAATAATTTTTTTATTCATTTAAACTTTTAGATCCATGGTTTGTTTTGTCCCGATCATTATTCCGTACGTTATATTAGTACATGTAATCATGAAAAATAAAATTTGAAATACATAATTTTTTAAAAATTAAATTTTTTATTAGGTTATAATTTATTATAAATTTTTTATTTAAAATAATATTTTTTAATTCAAAATATGTGCTTTTTTATTAAGATCGACCATATAAATTTTCAATTTTTTGGTAAGGTTATACTTTTAAAAATGTATAAATAATGATTATATTAATACCATTCATTAAATACTTTATTTTATTTTTATTGTAGTTGATTTTTTTATTATCATGTTTAACAATAAGAAATTTTAAATCTTTTAAAAAATATCAATGTTGATCATGAGAAATATAATTTTAACATATTTTTTAAAATGTTATATTCATGAACTAAAAAATATTTATTAGATGAGTCACTTTTTATATTAAGAAAAAATATTATAAAATGAAATATCTTAAATTATGCTAAAATATGTACCAAAAATTTAATTATTTATAATATAATACTTTCAATAAATTTATTATATTAAATGTTATTGTGCAGTGAATGCTACTTATATATAAAATAAATTTATTCTAGATAATAAAAATTAATAAACCTTTTTAGTATATCTTAAATATTAAATTATAATAATTTATTTTTATTTAATAATATTTTTAAAATGAAAAGCGATTCATTTTATAAATATTATTTATAGTCAATGAATATAATATTTAATTATATTTTAAATATTTAATATAATATTTTATGAAATTAATAATATTACATTTAATAAATACTACATTAAATATTAATACACAGACAATTCAAAATGAGTATTTATAATTGACAGAGAAACAAATAACTTGTCAATAACAAATTTTATATTCGAACTTAAATTTTGATTTCTTAAAGAAACTTCTCACAAATAGGAATATGTAAATTAGAAAAAAAATTATTGTAAAAGCTATTGTTTTAATTTTTTGAGAAACTATTTAGATGGTCAAGAAAAATATTTAACAATCCAAGCTATTGTATTAGACAAAATTCCAGACTTTCAATGCATAACAGGTCAATTTTTAATTACAAAATTTTTATGATTGTTTTAAAATTTCAATATTAGTATTTTTATATAAAATTTATTATTTTTAATTACTTAAGCCAGTTATAAAAATATAAGTTTTTAAACTTTAATATTTACATGAGTTAAATGTTAAAATTAATAAACTTTTAGATGTTTTCTAACAAGTGCCTTCAAAGACATCAGTTAAAAAAAATTATTAAAATACATTAGAAATCATAAAAAGTGTAGATTAAAAATAGTTTTAATAAAAAAAATCTTAAAAATTTATTTTTTATTAAAAATATAAAGTGTAATAAATAAATTTTTTAAAAAATATGAATTTTAAATATCTAAACTCAACCTAAAATTTAAGATGAAAAAAATTAATAAATAATTTATGTGAATATTTTTTTCTTAATTATGACCAAATAAAAATTTTTCAGGACATGTACAAGTTTTAACCTACTCAAACCCATTGATGGAATGGTGGGCACTGATTCAGAACACACACCCTGCTTTCTGGGTTGGTCCCATTTTGCTTGACATAATATTTTATGAAGGACTTTTTGTAATGAAATTAAGACTTCTATAAATAAATTAGTACTAAAATTTTCATAAATATAATCTTATGATGTTAAATATTGTACTATTTTAATATTTTATATTTTTAGTAATTATTTTAAATTTATTTTAATTAAAAAATTGTTCATAAAATGTATTCTTTTTCTCTTTTGTCTAGGCTGTTAATAAGATTACCTTACTAATGTTAGGTTATACCATTGTTAACAAATTAAAACAAAGATAATAATTATACTTTTTAATCTATGTATTACATTTTAGTATTAAAAAAAAGTTTTATTAGATACTGTTTACAGACTTAAAAATATTTTAAAAAACAAGTTAATGTTTTAATTAATCACATTAACTCAGTTTTGTCGGTTTTACTCTGCAGTTTTAATTAATACTGCTGTGCCGTAGCCGCAGGATCAGTTAATACATAATTCGTAATTCAATTTTTCTGATCTGATAGTATTGTACATCATAAAAAATTAATAATTAATATATTTTTACTTTAATTTATAATATTTAATAATATTAATTTATTAAATTATATAATACTTGATTAAAATTTATTTTCAGTTATTTTTATAAAAAATGAATAACAATTTATCAAAATTAACAAAAAATAATTACTTATATAATTAATAATAAGTGTTTTATTTATATCTAAATTTTAAAATAAATATTAATATATAAAATTAATAATTAATATATTTAAAAATGACTCTTTATTTTTATAATTAAAATAAAAAATTAATTTAATTAAAAAATACAATATTGTATAAATTAAAAAATGTTTATATTTTATTTTTTAAAATAGGTATTATAAAGTTTTATTAAAATTAATATAAATAATGTTAAATTTTATTAAAATTTTCACATACTAATAATATTAAAATTTATAATTTTTCATAGAAAATATTATGTATTACTTCTCTTTATGTTTATATGAAAAATTAATTATAAATAATACAAATTCGTTTTTAAATATATTAATTGATAAATTTTTTAAGCTATTATTTATCATGAGATTTGTGTTGACAAGTATTTATCTTTTATTTATATAAGTGAACAAGTTCATTTATTTAATGTGTAATCATTATTATAAATATTTTTAAAATAAAATATAAATTTATGATATATAATTATTTTTTTATTAAGTATGAACAAAAGTTATATGTAATAGTGTAGATATTGTTAAGATTATTTTTCGTTTAAAGTTAGAGTTTCACCTCAACCATGTGTAATTTGATTTTTGAGTGTTAATGTGCTTATATTTAAAATGTAAATTTCTATTATATAAATTAGTAAAATAAAACTTTAATTATGCAATACTAATAATACTTATGATAATGTATTTAAATTTAATTAAATATGTGTTTGTTACAAGTATAATATAAGGTAGTATTATTTTTTTTATTTTCAACCTTAAATACATAATAAAAAGCAGTTCATGATTATGGAATCTCATAAATTACTTTAAGATGGAGGCAGCTATGGGAATGTAAAGTCAAAGAATTCTATAATTTATGGAAATAAATGAGATTTGCCCATTACTTGAGTTTTGAACTTTTGCCCACCATTTATCCACATGCTTTAAAGTAAGGTTTTGAAGAAAATTTTTAAATTTTTTAATCACAAAATAAATATAATTACTTTTCATCATACTCCCCCATCCAAATATGAAGGTTAAGAACTAACATTTTTCATATATCACACCATAGCATGTTTGTGCTCTAAAATTATCAACATGTTCTAAATCAATTCACATAGAAAAACTGAAAAAATAAAAAAAGAAAAACACACACACACACATATATATATAAATACATACAAAAAATTCACATTAACATTGTGTATATAAAGAATAATTGTCGTAAAAAATATTTATTAATTGAGTAAATTATAAAGTTAAAAAGAACAATAGTTAAAAGTTTTACTTTTCTTTAAATTCTTAATTTGATTAAAGAATTTTTAAGTATTTTTTTAGTATAATAATTTAAATAAGAAAACGTTAACAACATTCTATAATTAAGATTTATTAAATATTACAAAAGTATAGAAAAAATATTAATTTATAAATAAAAAAAGTAAAATTTACGTAAATTATATATTTTTTAAGTAAAATGTATTGTTAGCATTCTTTATTTATTTAAATGTACACACACTAACATTGTAAACGAGAAAGTTGTTAAAAGAACTAAAAATAGTAATATTTTATTTAAAATATATTTATTATTAATTAAAAAAATTGACCATAACAAAACTTTTCTTTTTTATACGACTTGCTTAGAATCGGTGTATCAACGGCATCTATCGTGCTTCCAAGAAAGGCGATTTCTTTATTAAATATCCAATAAAATTATTTGCCCTTCTTTTTCTTTTAAATACTATAATTATGTAGTCATCATCTTAATTTTATTTCACATCTATGATTTGTAATGGGAGCTTTGTGATGCTTCATCAATCAGCAAAAGTTGAATTCTTCTATAATATTGTTGATTTTTGGGTCAATTCAAACTATTTTCCTGATAACCAGTCAAAAAAATTTCACACTCATTTTGTTTTCTACCCAAAAATGGGTCTTAGGTTGCATTTGGTAAGCAATTTTACTATATATTTATTCAATAAAAAAGTTGACTGTAAAGTTCTGTAAAATAACCTCAAATAAATAATAATTAAAAGGGTTATAAATTATTTTTATAAACTTAAATAAATTCTCTAAAAACTCTTCCAAACACCTTCAATCAACCAGCTCAATAAAAGATAGTGTAATGATTATATTATTTTTACAGAATTACATATGGGGTTACCAAAAGCTTACAAATTGATTGTTATTGACAAATTAGTGTAATAGTCGTCATGGCAATCATTTGGATCATTCAAAATAAAGTCAACTTAATTTTTTATATACTAAGAAATCTTCCTCAGCTAATAATTAAAATTTGATTTCTTTTGCATTGAAAAAAAATCACCAAAACAACACAAACTCTCCTAATAAAATCATGGTTTATACACTTTGTAGTATATGGTGCCTGCTCCACTTCAATGATAGCATGCAGGCAATGAAGAAGTGACTCTTAGGACCCATTCAACCATTTTCTGGGGAGAACTTTTCCCTGCATTTGCACCAACCAAGAAAAGGGTCCCATAAAGCCTCATGGGAAGCATATACATTTTTTTCAATCACAAACCTGAAAAATGGGCAAGTGGGGTTCCCAAAGATCTAGAGTGGTTTATGGGAGAAGAAAAATAAAAGATGTGATTTTTAAATTATTTCCTGAGAAAGAGAGGAAGGAAAAGAATTCGGATTGCATCAATGTAGGGAAGCATGCATGCCTTTAAGCATTAACAAAGTTGTGGTTGACAGAGCCACCCAAAAGATAACCAAGAAAAAGAGAGAAGGCAGAAAAAAATCTCCTAGGATTCCTCTCAATCCATATATATATAACATGTGTATAAAAGATATGAATGCTTCTTATGTTATAATCAAAAAGGTAAATTTTAATCATTTGAATAGTCAAAATTAAAATATAAAATTGTGAATGCTTAATATAAAATAATATATAGATTACTTGTGATTAATAACTTTTACTCTTAATCATGTATAAGTACACATGCTTTATATATATGTAGGGTAATATAAGATAAAAAGATCAGATATGAGTTGGTGGCTAAGCTCAGTCAAAGAGGGTGACCCTCCAACTAGGATGATTAAGTTTGTCATCAACAACAAATGTCAATCCTTTAGTTTCTTTTTGGTATTACAAATGTTAGGTTGGATGAGCAAAATATGTTGAATTAGTGTTTTGTTATAGAACAATGTAGAATGATGTACTCTTCTTCTTTTCAAAGAAATAAGAGCAACAATATTCTTCTGCTCCCACTATTTTATTTCTCTTAAAAAATTTCACTTGGATTCTATGACAACCTTATTTGGGCCCTAGCCATCTAACTTCTCTTATCTAATGTTATCTATGGTTGTGGCATGTTACTTAAAAGTTAAAGGTACCCAAATTAAAAGGGATTGCATTATCTGAAAAGAAATCTTATTTGTCATTTCTATATTTTTATAGATTACTTGAGATTCAGAAACTAATATAGTACATCAATTTGATTTAGCCAATAATTTCAATATTTCACTCTACAATGTCTATTTTGGAGCTTAAAGACCCTCCACATTTTGAGCATCTTAATGAATAGGCTTCATATTCAATCGGACTAGTAATTCAATTAATTTATTCGTTAATCATCCAATTTATCTATTTAATCATAAAAAAATGGACAAATTGTATTAATTAGATCACCTTTTATTATTGGATGGACAATAAACGGTTTATGATATTTTTTAATATATCAAATTAAGTAATTCAAAGTCAATAAGTTGGATTCAAGTCTTAAATTCCATAGTGTTGAATATGTATAAATACGAAATTTTATTTTATAAAAATAAATTTTAAAACTATAATATGTTTTAAATAGATGGGGTTGGACATCCATAAAAAAATAACAAATGAGTTTGATGGAGTTTATTAAATAGGCTATGAATGGATTTAATTTTTTTAACATATTTTTAATATATTAAAATAGATTGATGATTTTTTTTTTACTCATCTATTTTAATTCAGCTCAAAATTTATTCAATTCATCTATTTGATACCCCAGTGGTCGATAACAACAAACACAGGAACAGATATTGATAAAAACAAAAAAACTTACAAAACAAAAGATATAGAAGAGTAGGTCATTACTCCAATCCAGCAAAATTTATGTTCAATATTGTTCCCTTTTCAAAATCTACAAATTCACCGTCCTGATGAAAAAAATTGTTCATAACACACTTTTTTTTAATACACTCTTAATTGTTTGTTAAAACTTATCAAAAACTGTAAAATTATGTAAGTCTCATTTTTTTTCATTTTTTATTTAACATTTTTCTTTAATGTTTTTGTAAATTTTTAATAAAATTCAACAAATAATTAAGAATGTATCATTGCTAATATTTCTCTTATTTGTAAATACAATAATCTTCTTTTCACTGTCTGTCTTTGCTCATTTATTGTACATGAGGTATCTGAGTGTATTATTAAGGGTCTGGGTTTGAGTAAAGTGTTTGAACAAATGAAGTAAAAATGCATTCAATTATTCAAATGCTAATATAACATGGTACTGGTAGAATAGTCAAAAGAACGAACAAATCGGTTGTGAATGAATAAAAGCGTGAAAATAGGTAAGAAAATGAGATTACAAGTTGAGAATCAATGGAGATTTGAGAAATGAGAAAAAGTAAAAGTTAATAGGTACTTAATTTAAATGAAATAACCCTTTTTATTTGGTCGAAAATGAAATAACCCTTTAAATATCCTCATTTTTTTATGGTATTAATATTAATGTTATACTTGTTTTTTTGTTCAACAATAATGTTATATCAATATAACATTATGGGGCCTGAAACTTGAGGTCTCAAGCTCTTTCTTGTTGCCGCCCTTAGCCAAGAGCGCCCCTGCAACAACCATCATGCATTGAAGAGCAAAGATAAAGTTCACTTCAAATAATTTAAATTTGATATGGTATTTAATTATTGATGAAGTATAAATAATGTTATTTAAATTAAATATTTTCAAATCTACCAATACATCATTGTAAAGTTTGAACACTCTTGTTAAAATGATGTATTGTGATCCGCAATTTCAAGCAATTGTCTATAAGTTCTGTACTGTAATCATTTTTCTTTTCTGGTGTAGTCAACCTGTAATCCTAGTTTAACCACACAATTAAATATCTATTTGATTTTTTGTGGAGAAAGAGCCTGATATAGGTCCAATTTAGATAAATTTTCAATAAATACTCATTAAAAAAAAGATAAAAATAGTTACACTCATCTCAAAAATTAAAACTAACTTATGCAACTGAATTTTAAAAAGGTTAAATAAAAGCACTTCTACAAACTAAAAAGAGTAAACTTCACAAATTAATTTAACTTGTAAAAAAAATTGATTTTTTATATTTTATAAATATTTATTAATAAAATTATCCAAATTGGTCATAGTTTGTCAAGAAACTTTAAGTTTGAGAATTCATGCTATCAGAAAACCAAATACACTCCTAAACTATGGCTGACTGCGTTCACATCTTCTCAGTGCATATTTGATATCATAGCAGCCAAAAGAACTCTTTGTAACAATGTCACATTGCCGTGTGCTTTATGTGAAATGCACAAACCATATATTTGTGCATAAAAGAAACTCTAATAACAATACACTAGTTTGAACACAGTACTTTTCCTAACTTGTGTCATGAAGATCTTTCCATGCAAAACATATTCCTTGCTTTCACGACATACATACATATGTGTATATTCCAATAAGAAACATTTACATCTTCCTTAAGAATGAAGCTCCTAAGGTAACAAAATTATTCGTATTTTTTAACATTTGCAAAGTTAACAAGTATTGGGATGCCAAGTTGTGATGCATCTCCTTCTCACCGTTTCCGGCCTGAAACAGTTTTCTTCACAGCTCCAACTGAAACCAAAAACTGGTCAAGGGATGATAAAGTCCTCATGTCATCTGGAGGAAAATAGCTGGCTGCCTTTCCCATGATTGATGAGAAGAGAAGGGAGAGTGATGGCCATGATGTGTAACGATCGCCCAAAAACTCGTCCAAAAATGCAAATGCAGCTCTGAAATCAGACCTACTTGCATTTATTGGAGCAGCAAAGTGAGCAGGGATGATTCTCTTGAACTTCCAATCTCGTGAAATGCTATCAACCCAATCTCTCACCTTGATCATAATAACAAGGCAAAATGAACTGATATTGTTAAAATGTATGAAAATATCCAAAATATTTAATCATATTGTTCCACAAGTTAAATTATCCTCTAGGATTAGTTATCTTATTTTCCTGTTAATTCTTTAAATTAGTTATCATATTTCCTTATCTTATCATGATTTGTTTCCTTTATTAGTTAGGATTATGATTAGTAAAAATAAGGGTTAGTACTTATGTTTTATGAACACCCCAACACAACATAATACATTTCAGTAACTATTAATTCTCTATTATTTCTCTTCCTCTCTCTATACCTAAAACACCATATTTTTAACAGATATGTTTGTCACCTATTTTTATCCCCTCAATGTTCAGCTATGTGATTGTTAGAACGTGTCAGGTTTGTGTTTTGTTTTCATTCTCAGTTTATACATTTTTGTTAATAGTTCAACAAGGTTACCTTGTTCTCAAAAAATTTGCAAAGAACGTTATTTACATTTTAAATTGAAGAATATATCATATTATTGAAAGCTGAAACATTCAGGCCCAATGGATTGAAGGACATATGTCCTGCATAAATTTAACCACATCAGGGTCAGAAGAAAGTAAGAGAAAATAACACCATGTTGAAAACTTAGATGGTATTCACTCACCAAGCAGTGATCACATTGTCAATTAATGGCTCTTTATCAGGTAGAACCAGATTAAAGTATTCATAATGAAAGAAAATGATGCAACAGAAAGAAGATTACCTTTTCAGGAACTTTGCTGAAAACTAGTGTTTTCACAATAGGTGAAACAATCAACTTCTGTGACATCTGTGCAAAGCTAGCATTAGGCTCTAAAAGATTTGATGGACCAAGAAACAAGATTTGTAGAACCATTCTTTCCCATCCTGCAGAATAAAGTAAAAACGTTAATCGTACTTTGACCTCAAATGAAAACCAGTGTGCTTTGTGGAAGTTGAAAAACATAAAAATAAGAGTAAACCTTTTTGCCGGTTCCTTATGTTGTCAACTACTGGTTCATCAGGTACCTCCTTTCCTTTACTAAGAATTTTTACAGCCAAACCATTTTTTGCCGATGCTAGCAGGGACTCTTTGCTAATACACTCAGGTGGCTGTCTTGGTACAAAAATAACAGCATCTGTCACGAATAGTGTTTTTGAAGGCTTGTGGTAGAAAGCTACCTCCACATAGGGTCCAATTCCTGAGCCAAACCACAACAAAAGAGATTTTTTTATCATGGACTTGCAAAGAATAAATGAAAATTGAGAGCTTCTATGGAGCTTATTTGAGCATGTCTTATAAGTTCTTGAGCAAGTGCTTGATTAAGCTTGTGAAAGTGGTTAAAACCTTCTTATAAGCTTTTTTTTTAATTTGATTAACTTCACTCAATAAGAGCTTATTAGATAAGCTTATTTTGATAAAATTCAAAGTATATCAAATAAGATTATCTAACAAGCTCTTATTGAATAAGTACTTAATTAAATTGTTTATCTAAATGTGCCTTGAGTCTAAAAAATGCAACAAGTGATAATTACCAACTTCTGGAGAGCTTAGAATCTTTTGTTCTATTTCAGCAGCCCAAGGAGTGGATAAATCTTCGTCTTTCAAGGTTTTAGCACGAAAAACGCCAAAGAATTCCAATGGTAAGTTCAATGGCCAACTCCATTGCCTTGGTGCCACCCATACTTGAGCAAGGGGAAACTTTCTAGAAAATGGACCAACAAATACTTTATGCTCATAAGCAAAAGTAGGGAGAACAATGTATTCAACAGGAGCCCCTAACTCCTTAATAAGCTGCAAGAAACAACAATAACAAATTGCCATGTTAGGAAACCATAATAAAATCACCATATCAATATGAGCTTTTATATTTTAGTTCTCACCAAAACAACCTTCTTGATCAAGTTGTAGTAGAAATTGCCTTGCAGCATTACTAAGGAATGAAAGTTTGCATAGTGAAACAAGCCAACCACTGAACTCAAAAATTAAATCTAAAAAATGGGGCCACCCCCGTGAACCAGATGAATTCAACTAGTTGCAATTCATTACCAAAAATGGCAAAAAATAAAAATTGACATGTACTAGCATTTTTTACTTCCATAAAAGCTTATCACCAGTTTGCATGCTCAAAATATGAGAACTGATTATCAAAATTAAACCTGAATACACTCATCAGTTGGAGCTATGGGTGCATGGACCCATAACCCCCCGGATTTGAGTTTGATAACTGTCATTCTGATGTTTGTTGAAACACTGCTGAAGCCTAATGCTTGTTCTTGTTCAAATAGCCATATACAGCCCTTCACAGCCTACAGCATGATTAAAAGAATAGGAGCTGTTACTGTTAGCGTCTCAAAAACAGAAATCCAGCTAAATTTATGGCTAAATATTTCCAAGAAATAACAGGAATTCCTATGTACTAGGAAATACCAACATGTCATTAGCAATTATATGCAATACCAAAACAAAACAAACTTATTTCATGAAGGAGTAAATGTGTCTTTGAATAAATAATTTAATTAAATACTTATCTAATATACCCTTATCAAATGAGAGTTTATTCATAAACTTAATTGATAAAATTACTAAAATAAGTCTAAAAATGTTTTTTTTTATAAACTTGTCCCTAAAGGTTATTAAAAAGAATATATAAGAAAATCATAAGTCACTTTCACAATAAGAGAAAACTCTTTAGATTTCAATTGCTCCTAAATGCACTCAAAATCCAATAAAAGTATATTAAGTGTCAGAAACACAATAGCTGAAGGAAATAAATCAGGAATTTCTTTATGACTAGTGTTTATGAGTGCTTTTATAACACAGGTTAAAGAATTAAAAGCGAATTTTTTTAAGTGGTATTAATATTTCCCCGTCATAATTTTCAAAACACTCTTAACGTGACTTTTAATAAAATTTTTCTATTATTATTCCTTAACTAAGACACTAGAACTAATTAGCAACGCCCTCCTTATTCAATCAAAAAACGTAATCCATCATATCTAACATGGAAAGAGCTTCCTAGGGAATTCATGAAAAAGAAAAAGCTGGAGCATAAAAAACATGTAAGATATATCATATCAGCATTAAGTCCTTGGATTTGGCTCTGCTATAGTAAGAACATATGAAAAATGAGAAAGTGAAGGTTTATATTTGTATTAGAATATTTTATAAACATAACCAATTTGAAACCAAGGATAGATAGATCCTCACCTTCTCAAATTACACAATTTTTGTTTTCACTTTAGAGAAACTAAATCCAAAGTACTAGATAGCCAATTCAATTAATAGAATAGAAATATAGAAGCTCCAAACAAGACCAATTGAGTGATCAAAATAAACAACAAAACCAAACATAAAATAAAGAAAGATGGTAGACCTCAGTCCTAATAGTGCGCCTGTTGAGGAAAGGACCCAATGGGAAAGGAAACCCAGTGAAATTGAAGTAAAATCTTCCACTACTAGCATTACTGGTTGTGACAGTAGAACCAGCTGAAGCCACAGCCAAATTGGTTAAATCTCTTCTTTGTTGCTTTGGTTTAAGATGCAAACAAAGACCCTTTAAAGACCCACCAACAAAACTTGAACTTGAGTCGCCCAAATAGATGGGATTCTGCAAAAGTGTGGACTTTGGAGAAGAAACAGCAATGGGTGCCACCATTTTTTGAAAGCTTACTTTGTCACCATAAACTAAAACATTGGTTTTGTAAGTGAAATAACTGCATTGTCCTAAGGGGAAATATTCTTGGATATGGTCCTGACACGTGGACTTTGCTGGTTGGATTACCTTACGTGGATGCTTTTGAGCCTCAGATTATTTGTGGAAACAATAAAGTAATAATCTAAATGTTATAATATTTTATTAAAAATATAATTTTAATATTATTAATCTATTAAATTGATATATAAATTTTATTGTGGATTTTTAGATCAAAATTGAAAACACTGATATATTAATCGTCTTGAAGTGTTCACAACAAACAATGAACAGAGAATTATCATGATGCAAAGAAGAGAACTTTCTTGTTCTAGTGCTAGAACACTGTAGACGGCATTTTATTTTGCTCATAGTTCCTATTTTATTTTTTTCAGGAGTTGATAAATTCGAATATTGTTGGTTGATATAGTGCAAATATTGGGCTAGAGTTCCTTTTTTTTTGTTTTTTTGTTTTTGGTCTGTTAACAAAAAATTAAGGAAAGAAAACATTTCACCAGTCCAAGTTTAAGAATAAAAATAGGCCCTAAGGCCAGTTTGATTAAATTATAAATCTCCTAATTAATTTGCATCACTGTTTGCTTTCACTTTATTTGTAGTGAGGCTCAAATGGTGCTGTTATAAAAGAATCTCATTATAGTTAGCTTGAAAAAAGAAGCAGTATAGGACAAAAAGTGCATAATAAAAAAATTGTGTAATTATACATGTCGTTAGATTGAATTTAAAACATTTTTAATGATTCTAGTTAAATTTCAATAGTTGAAAATATTATCCAAGGCTAACCAAACAATATAATTTTCTAACAACCATCTAAAACTAAGTTTTATCTTATCAAGATTACATGAATCACTCTTTGCTTTAAGTCTCTAACTATATTTGATTTTTTAAAGCAAATTTTATATGTTAGCTACATCAAAAGTATTCATAAATTAATACTATTATTTCATTAATCACATATTAATCTAATTAGTAAATTATTCTTTATCTTAACCAATTGTCTTAACTTATTAGCTTAGAATTACATTTAAATTAACATGAGAGTGGAATGAGTTCAACTTTAAAGATTATCTTAGAGTTAGATATGTTTTTTCCTAACTATAAAGTTACTATGAGTTACATGTTTTTTCGATGGTATTGATACGTTAATAATAACGCTATTACTTTTAATTTTATTTATTTGTTCAGTAAGAAGAAAAAATATTATACAACAAAAAACTTAAATCATTTTATTATAGTTAAAGTATAAACCTCCTAATATACTCTTTATTAACCATCTTCTCTTAAACCTATGAGCTACTCAAATAATGTAATTTTTGTATTCATTATATATAGCAACAAGGATATTAATAAAAAATAATTAATATTATTTTAAATTTATAAATAGACAGATAAATGGAAGAATTTTCATCTTCTCTGTATAAATAAAATTACATAAATCCAAGAAGTTAGTTGTGTAAAGCAAGATAGTATTTCACATTCGTCAAATAACAAATGTAAACCCTTACTTTGCTTCTTGAGGAATTTATATCCTTTTTAATTTTGGTGCGAAACTCACCTTTCGGTTGAAATTCTTTTAAGTGAATTTTACTTTATTTAAATAAAATTGAATATTATTTGCTAAAGCGACTTTAATTTAGTTCAATTAACCACAAATTCATTTAACAATGTGTAAAATTCATCTAAGTAGACATAAAAAGGCGTAAGATTATCTCGCTTAAACATAAGAATATTCACTTAAGTACAGCCAAATAATTTTATTTATTCTTAACTGAATTTGGAATAAAGAGCAATGGATAAATATCATGTCATTCACTTAAATGAAATATGTTTTGCTGAAGCGAAATAGATATTATCTTAACTGCGTCCAAGCAAAATAAATTAAACTTATGCAAAATGGAACAGAGAGCTATGGATGTAAATCCTATCATTTGCTTAAGCAAAAAATGATCTACTTAAATAAAATAGGTATTTGCTTAAGCCAATTTGGATAAAATACAACCAATAGAGATTTGCTTAAGTAAATTTGATATCGCTTAAGCAAATAATACAGAAAATGTTATTATTGTGCTAAAACTAACAACATGCAAGAGATAACATAAGGATGTCATTGAAATATATGAAAAAATTTCGGACAAATAATCCATTAATGAAAGTAGCATCTGATTTGGAGTAGTTTAAGTGTCCAAAATGAAAAATTACAAGTGTAATCCATTACAAAACAACAAATGTTTGAAATTTAAAACATCAAATGTTCAACTTAAATGATGAACAAGTATTGTCCAAATTATGAAATCAAGTGTCTCAAGTGATCATGTCTAGCACATACTCCTCGTTTTACATAGGTTGAACATGATCTTCCTTATTATTTGCAACATGATCGTTATCCTGTCCCTCTTCTTCTCCTGCTTCTTCACCTTATACTCCATCTTTTGCTTCATTTCCATTAATGTCCTCCTAGACTTCCTCATTTTGTACTACATGATCTTATGTATATTCTTCCTAAGCTGGGAAGGTAGAGTTGTCTCTAAGCCATGATACAGTTGTTGCAAAGTATTCTAGTGTAGGTCATGAGAAAGCAAAAGTCTTTCCATGATGTTAATGTAGTGTGAATCTCTAGAAAGAGAAGATCAGGGTTATGATAGAATAAAAATTTCAAATGCTAATTAAATGATTAAATGATAGAAAATTGACATGTAGAAGGACTTATTGAGCTGCATGTATGCTTAATTGTTTGCTACCATTTGCTATTTTATGTTAATAAGATGTTGTATGACCCAAGAATTCATGTTTGTCATGTTAGCCATGGATGCTAATAGTGGTGGTCATGTCGTAGGTGCTACAGATGAGGATAGCTAAGAAGAAGGTTTAATAGGTGCTCTAATGGATTGGTGCAGTATTTGTTTATAAAGTGAGTATTGATGGATTTCTTCAATTTGATGATTGATTTAGACCAGTTGACAATTGTAACACCTTGAGAAACACACAGAGCAATGATAAGAGCTAGTAATTCTAAAGATTTTGTTATTGTTGAAAAAGTGGAGGGGTTATAGATGAAAATTTGGTGAACCTCATTGAAGTTATAGTGGCTATGTCAACAATGATCTTCTCCATGATACTATAAATGAGATATGCTCGAGGCATGCGAACATTTGATATATGAGTGGTAGGGGCTATGTTGACAAAAAGGAATGATGTCCAAATTTGGGTCTCAAACCTCATTAGCTTCCCAATGACGTTTGTTTCATAGGATTTTTCAGGGAAGCATAAGGTCTCAGCTACTTTTGCATCAAAAAATCCTATAAACTGCTTTCTACATTGCTAGTAATGGCAAAGTCCCCTTTTACTAAGGTCATAGAGTTACTTAACAAGGCAGAAATAGCCTCCTGTCATAAGCCATTGTGTGCCTTTTAACCCAAGACTTTCTCTCCATGTTGTCTTGCATCAACGGTAATGCATTTGAATAAAATCCTTTGAAAACTTGTTCATGAATTTGGTTTGAGAGATTTACTCCTTCTAATTGTCTCTTGCATAAAATCTTCATACTCTCCTTCCTCTAAGACCCACCTTCCGCTCCAGTAGCAATTCCCTTGATTCCAAATCAATATATCTTTAAGCCTTTGCCTTTATTTTGAACCTAGACTTATCCCATTATGCATGCACAGCTGTGTCCGTGGTTAGTGTTTATGTTGGTGTAGATGTTGGTTATGACTCATGTTGTTAGGAACTTTGACCAACTTTAGTGATTTGCCTTTAACTTTGAGGAATAGATGTCTTAGGTACCATACCATCCTGAAATAACATTCAAAATAAACTAAGCTCATAGTATTTCCAATAGATTTGCTTAAGCTCAAAGGATTCATTTAAGCAAAAGTTGTTCACCTAAACAAAATTACCTCCATCAATGATTCTCCTTCTGTCCAAAATTCACTAAAGCAAAGCTCGTTGTGCTTTAAGCGAATTTCTTAGCAAAAAAACCAAACATACAAGGAAAAGAGACAACATCCACATATAATCTAAATAACATATTTCAATCATTTCAATGGAAACAGTTCAAAATGAAAAGACATAAATGGCATATAATCCAAATAAAACTAAGTTTTATCATGTTTTGAAAGGAGTTATATGTCAAAAGAGATAAAGCATAATTAGAAATCACAAATGTTTGAGAGAAACTACTTGAGGATGCAATGTAGCTTTGATGCGTTTCTAGGTTTATGGTTATCATTGAGAAGAAAGGAAAATGTTTTAAGAGGAGAGTTTGTGGAACAAATGAAGAAGAAATTGTTCTTTCTACTATTCCACTTTTAAAATCTAACCATCAAGATTTTCACTTAAGCAAATATTACTTTGCTTAAGTGAGTAAATTTCAAAATTAGTGCACTTAAGGGTGAAATTCACTTAAGCGAGCATATTTTGCTTAAGCAAAGTTACTAATGTTTTGGCACGAAAGCTAAGTGCAATGACATGTTGGTGAAGAAATATACATTTGAAAGCTTTCCTTCTATGAAAAATTGAACTAATATATGTTCAAGGAAGATTAGATAAGGAAATGACCTATTTGACACCTATGCCTTGGAATGTCCTAAGCAACTTCATGCCAATCAACTTCAAATACACACTAATTCCAACCTTACAATATTTACTTATGCGTAAAGGTGCATATTTATTTGTCATTTTGTTTTGATTTAAAAATACTTGATGAAGGAATCAATACTTATAATGTTTTTCATTTTTTTGGAGTAAAGAACAAATGATGAGTATAAATGTCTCATGGAAGCCAAGAGTTAGGTTACAGTTTGAAAATCATGAAGAAGCATGACAACTTTGGAGTGAATATGAAAGAATAGCAAATTTTAGAGTGAGAAAAAAATACTTTAACAAGTAAAAGGTAGATAGTATTATTACATCTTGTAAATATGTTTGTTGTAAAGAAGGACAACGAAAAGAAGATAAAAGAGATGCACAAGTTACAAAGCACAAACCATAAACTAGAATTAATTGTTTTACAATAATAGGATTGTCTTTGGCAAACAACAACAAATTTGTTGTACATGAGTTTGTTGAAGAGCATACACCCATTACAACTTTTTATAGACAACAAACATGTTTGATTCTAATTGTAAGATAATTGAAATCTAAACTAATGACATTAATTGGTTGAGTCCTTAGGATTGTGACAAAAGTCATTATTTCAACTTATGAGCACACTTGCAAGACACAGTTAATGTTAGGTATACTTGTTTGGACGCAAAAAATTATTTTAAGGCAAAGAGACAAAGTTGAATGGTATAGGAAAAAATTAGTTGTCTAATGTAATACTTTCAATAATAGTTATTAGATAACTTATCATTTTTTCATGGATGTCAATAAACAAATCACAAATATTTTTTGGATGAATGCAAAAATAATGATTGATTACAAATTTTTTAGTGAAGTTGTATCGCTAGATACTAGAAATTGTACCAATTAGATTAATAGACCTCTAACATTGTTTTTAGGTTTTAACCATTATAAAGGTGTTGTTTCGAGGTAGTCTTGTTGGATGATGAAATGGCAGAATCATTTCAATTATTGTTTAAGATATTCTTGAAAGTACAAAATAAAATTAAAAAAATCACAATTTTTCAAACCAAGATTAAGCAATAGTGAAACACATCATGCTTTATGCACGAGACACTTAATGCAAAATAGAATAAAACACATTGGCAATTGATGAAAGGGGATAGTCATTTTTTAAGAGGTTTAAAAAGATGCATGCATGAGTTTGATACTTCAATTGAGTTTGAGGAGACTTGGAGAATGTTGATTACATACACAATGTTGATGTGAATAATTGGATTATTTCATTTTATTCCATAAAGGAGAAATTGACATCATATTACCTCAAGAATGTGTTCATACTTGAAATACGAAGTATTCAACTAAGTAAAAATTTAAATTTTGATTTCAAAGCTTGTATAAAACCTAATGTTGACATAAAGTAATTCTCTGAACACTTTGAATGGGTTGTATAAGACAAGCATTACAACAATCTAATTTCTGAGTATAACTCCTGTCATAAGCTAACCATGTTACGACATGAATTGTCCCTTATACTAGTAAAAATAGTTAAGGTTTACATTCATATAGTGTTTAACTTATTTCAACAAAATTTGTTGATAGTAACTGCTCAACATAACACTACATCAATTAAATTCTTTTTTTTTTCTATTCATTTTGGTAATTCTCTTCTTATTTTGTAAGGACAGCTCTATGATACCTATGGTTCAATCCTTGATCAAAATTAATGGTGTAATCATCAAAACTTCTTTTTTTTTCTGCATTAAATATGTATTTATCAAGTCATTTTGTGTATAAAATGTAAGTGGAAACACTATGACATCAAATGTATTTGGTCTAACCTTGCATGTTGTCTGTTTGCGTATAATAATTACATTTTCTACATTATTTGCTTAAGCGACATCAAATTTGTTTATCACTTAAGTGAATCTCTATTTGCTGCATTTTATCCAAATTGGCTTAAGCGAATATCTATTTCGCTTAAGCGAATATCTATTTCGCTTAAGCAAATGACAAGATTTCCATCCATTGATCTATGTTTCATGTTTGCTTAAATTTAATTTATTTCGTTTAGACACGCTTAAGCAAATATCTATTTCGCCTAAGAAGAAAATGTTTTCGCTTAAGTAAATGACAAAATTTCCATCCATTGTCCTAAATATGTTTAAGAATGAATAAATTCTCTTGGATATCCTTTCACTTAAGCTAATACAATGTGGCTTAAGTGAGATAACTTTATGCCTTCTTATGTCTCACTTAAGCAAACTTCACACGTTGTTAAACAAATTTGTGGTCACTTAAGCAAATAATACTCAATTTTGCTTAAAAAAATTGTCTAGACAATCATGTTCATGCAAGAACTAGAGAGGATCTAGATCCTTTCATGAAATGTTCTTGAGGTGAGGTAACGTAAGTCCTTTATAAATGTCTTTTTTTTTTTTAATCCAAACGGCTTCTGTGCCTTGAAATGTAGTATTCCTAAATTTTTATGTGCCAATTAAAAATAAGATCAGATATAAAGTAGACACTCATTCCATCACGTTGTCCCTTCATTTCCTTAGGTGTGCGTTAAACCATTCTAAGCTTACGAAATGTGACATGTAACATATCCGAGTCACAATGATGCTTAAATGAGAAGTTACAAGGATTATGCACCATAAGTAAACTCGTTACAACGGATATCACTAATTTCAAATTAAACAGATAGAAGTTCCATAACCAGACAAACAACTCATATTATATACAATTTACAAACACAAAAATATAAGCTGTATTGAAAGTAACATCAATGTGTTCATCCATACAAAGCAAAAACTTGACATTGATCCAACAAATATTTGCCACCAGGAAAAGGAGCAAGCATTATTATTAGCCTATTCCAGTCCTGGCTGACATCACTATTAATGCCCAAAACTGACATCACAGCTAGCCAAGCTCTACCAGAGCTAAAGTAAGAGTCAAGTATACAGATATTGAGAGGGAGTCTATATGGTAAGATAAATGACAGCTTGTAAAGGGGAATTCCGCTAATTACAAAGATACATTGGGGCCATTATGTGAACAGCAAACTTGTAGTCTTAATGCTTGCAAAGTTGTAGCCTATACTAGTTCCCGATCTCAACTGATGATTTCCCTGACAAGCCAATCCAAACTAGGATATGAGAAGTACAAGATGAGAAATGATGGGAGGGCAAACAGAATTGTAACAAGTACATAAAGAGCCAAAATGGCTGCACTGGCTGGTATTGCATATAAGACAATCAAAAGAAATATAATCACCAATGGGAACTTAGCTGTCAACTGGACAAAGAAGACCAGTGACTTCTTCATATAGATATGCAACCTTTCCATACTGAGTTGATTACCAGTATTACCATGATACTGGCTGGAACTCGAAGTCTCTGGATGGCGAACTTGTCCCCTCCGAAGGTTGCCAGGGCTTACTAGACTTCCCGCAGCTAAATTGTCTTTGACTGGTAAGTGACTATCCCCACAGAAAGGAGAATGTGATTTCAGTCTATCACCATTCATGCTCTCAACCATCCAAAGAAGAAAGTAGTTCTTGCGAGGGAATTTAAGATTTCCCCGATAAACTAGGCGGAAAGATAGTAGGTTGCACCATGGGCAGGAGATAAAAAGCGGAAGTTGAACAGGCAGAGTTGGAAATTTCACAACAGCCCATTGCAGTCCAAGAATGCAATTTTTACAAAGGGTGTGGCCACACCATAAAACATAGGGCACATTTTCAACAATATTGAAAGATTCCCAGCATATTGGGCATTCCAGCCCTTCCTCTCTGCCTATAATAGAAGTCTCATCATCAGAACATTCTGAAGCAGAATTAGTTAGCTTTGAAGAATCACTTTTCAGCCCGACGGTTCCAGCAATGCAATTTGAGGCGAAGTTCCACATTATGAATCACAATATGTTAATAACCAATCAGAAGGCATCATCAATGACTTACCCAAAGCATTAAATCTGAAACATGACAACAGGACAGAGTCACAGATGTGCAACAAGAATAAGCAAAAGGACATAAAAAGAAAATTGACATATTAACATCTTAACACAATAATATAGATGTTTTACAAACACAAATTCAATTCATTTGAAGTAAATCAATAGCCATGATCACATATGCCTATCCTGCAAGGTCATTTCATGATCACATGCAATCATGTTAATGTACTGCATGCATTTGACACGCTTTCTATAACCATGATAGAGTAATTGAACAGGAAAGAAAATGAACATTGTTAACATCAATTTTGTACCTAAAATGTTTTTCTTTTGTCTTTTCTTTTCCAATTCTCTTAAGGGTAAGCAGCCAAGTTCAGTCATAATGACAGAACCTCATACCACATGCATTTCATATACTTTAGCATACCAATCACAAAATAAACTATGCCCATATTCGGAAGAGCTTATTTCAAGAGAAATATTTGTTTATTTTTCAAAAACTCTCAGGAAGCAGCCAAAAATAGATGATTAATTTGTCAAGATAAGGTGAACCAAACATGCACTAGGTATATCCCACATTACCCTATCAGTTATGGAAATGCATTTTTTTTCTCAAATTTTTCCTTTGGGAGTGAAGAGCTGGTTAACTAGCAAGAATGCCATAGTTCCACTCAACTCATGCATTAATCAAACTTGAAAGAAATAGTGAATACTATATAACCCATGTGTGCTATTCCCTAAATATCACGCAACGCATAGCTTGTTTGTAGTTATTTGTATGCTGGATCGGGGGGGAATCAGACCCAATGACCTATGCATTTGAAACTAAAGGCTCTGTGCTTAAAAATCCATCACGATCAAAATCAAGCCTTCAGTATTTAATTAAAAAGCTGCCAATAAGCACTCCTCCCAGCCCTGTGTAAATAACAAACAAGGAATTGGAGGAATTTATATCCAAGTCAGACTGCCGATTATGCATGCTTTATTATGTTTTTATTGTTTACATATGACAATCTTTTAGGGGTCTGTTGAAGAAAAAACAAACAAAATCTCATAGATAGCATAGATTTAATAAGTATTGTTTTGCAGAAGTTCCATCGAGACCTAGGAAGAATTTTCCAACCACTGTTTTTTAACTTTAAGAATACTAAGGTAGGCATGCGTGGAAGTATTCGTCATTCCAATCTAGAGGTAAGATCATGAAAACAGCTATAGATCGTATTATATGAATAAAAATAGCTCAATCCAGATAACAATTAGAAATCAAATATGAAAATTATGTTTGACTAGTTGCCCACTTATATATGAACTCAACTGCATAGCATAACATTACTAGGAAGCGATATCAACATTTAGCATCCCAAGTCACCACTTAGTGATAAACACTAAAGTTTCCATCTTGGCCCAGTTCAGCAAATGTATAGGATTTAGAAACCGATCAACTATCGAAGCACCCCACTTAACAAACGCACACTAGCAAAAATGTTAAGTCTAAGTGTCCACTTTTTGAATATTAGGAATTTTGGAAAAAGAAATACTCATCTTGTTTTAAATAAAAAGTGAACCGAATAACCAATGATTGCGATCCTTTTATGGTAAAAATTATGTCTTTCTACAATCACTTCATTCAAGATCAGGCGAGGATTCAAATCTATGAGAAACGAGAACAGGATGCAGAATTTTGAGAAACACACAAAGATTTAATATTTTCTCTTGTTCATAATTCATATCAAAGTTCACCCCATTTCATAGCAAGCCCCCAATTCAAAATTAGCTTCTCTAAACGAACCAAAACACCCATCAACAACAGCATCCAGTCCAAATAATCAGTAAAAATTAAAAAGAGAGAGAATTTTTAAAATTGAAAACCGAATCAGTGAATTTTAACACGAAAATCAATAGCAAGTTGTAATCCCAAATCATTGGTTTAGAATAAAAGCCTAATTCAAACTAAGCATCTGAAGAACAAAGAAAGAGAAGAAGAAATCAAATTGGACTGGAAGATAAGATGATGATGATACCGATTACGCGCAAAGATGGAGAATTGGCGAAGCAGAAAGGGAAGAGAAGAGTGAGAGTGGCAACACGAGACAGAGAGGGTTCGTTCAATTTGACTGCAACCAATTCCGTAAGAAAACGACGTCGTGTTCATTGTCCACTTGCCCCATTCCATGCCAAGGTCGTGTACTCTCAATTCGGAAACGGATCTCTTAAAAAAATAAGGTATAAACACTATTTTGAACACAATGCGTGATTTGACTATTTTCAAAATAATTAAATATTCATTACATAAAATACTTAATTTTTGAAAAACTGATAAATAAAAAAATGTATTCAAACAAATATGTGGATATCTCAAATTAGCAAAATTAGTTTTATAATTTAATAATGTATTAAAAAAACTAAAAAACAAGAAGTATAAAATTTTATATTATGAATAAGAATATTTTATTGAAAAGTGAAACATTTAGTGAAGTTACTTTATTTCAAAGTTTATCATGTGTATTTTTTTAAATTATAATTATTTTAAAATGATATTTGAATTATATTGTTTTTCAATTCTAATAATTTTATTTTTTTATTTACTTTTATGTTAATTTTTTAAAAATTTTGAAGATAAAAAATATTATTTAACTCTCTTCTTACTTTTTATAAATTTTTATATATGGTTAAATTTATAAAATTTTTATTATTATCTTATATAGATTTTTAAATTTTTTGCATTTATTTTTATTAATACAAATTTTATAATTTTTATTATATTATTATAATTTTTTTTTTCTAATGCATATCATTTCTAGTCATAAAATTAAGTTAAAATATTTTTTTAAAAAAATTGTATTTCAAATAATTTTATTATATATTTAAATGTTTATTTATTTTAAAATTTAATAAACAGTACAATTATAATAGGATTAGATAATTGATAAAATAATTTTTATCATTAATTTTAGATTGACAGATAATAGATAAGTAGTTTAATTAAAAAGAAAATTTTAATATTCTCTCATCAATTGTTAATTTAAAGAGGTTATAGAATACCCTCCACAGCAAGCACTTAAACAATTTTTCTTACCTTAATGAAATTACAATTCATAAACATTGTTACACTGCCTTGAATAACAAACATTTAAATTGTTTTTTCTGTGCTAATAACCCTATTAAGCGTGCTGTATATTGCCACATAATTGCATTAACATACATGTCTAACAACATGTGATAAATGTATTAAATGAAAAAATTACTTAAATTCATATATAAAAGAATAGTATTTTCTCTAACTTAATTTATCAAAAACTTGGAATATCCACAATTATAGCATATGTGACACATTCTATCACCTTAGACAACAAGGGATAAGTTTCTCACTCTAATTATGTTGTAGTAAATAAGTTCTTACAATTTATCAAAATTAAAATAATATTAATTAGAATCTCAAGACTGATTTTGATTTAATTCACATGTTAATTATCCATTTTAGTTCATATATAAAAAAATTTATATTTTAATTTCTACACATAATATCATATTTTTTCTTTAGTTTTTATATTAAAAATATACTAATTCTTGTATACTTTCCATGATAGCTAGAAATTATTTATAATCTTTTATATAGATACTAAAATATAATTTTTTTTTCATATAAAATTAAGATAAAAAACAGGTTAACAAAAACAAAAGTAAATAATTTGATAAGATTAATTATAATATAATTGTGAGAAAATCCAAACAATTTGATTATTTTTAAATCTCTAATAAATACTATAAGATATTATCTTATTTGTATCTTTTTTTTATTCTATGTAAGATTTCCACTACTATTTTATAAGAAAATATTTAAATTAATGAATATAATAACTTAAATTAATTTTATAATATTTATATAAAAAAATTTAATGTATTTAGCTTTAATTTTTCAATTTTAATATCAACTTATAAATTTTAAAATATATAAATGATTTATCTTTTGTTATATATTTAACTTTATTTGACTATGATATTGATGATTATAATAATAATAGATTATTAATGATAAAAAAATATTTTTTGTTAAGCATTAATATTTTATTAAGATAATCAAAATATAAAGTACTCTAACCCCTTACATCTCTAAAGTAAATTAATAATACATGTTAATGAATAATTAATCCAATTCACATGCACAATTGAATTTTCTAAATCTCTGTAACGAGTTACTCTCAAGAACAATACTTAATAGAATTAAACATTTTACTAACATTTAATACATTATTATTAAAGAAAATAGTATTTCTTTGAAGTCAGTTTGTCAATACTAATGCAAATCACATCATTACAACTCCCTTCAATTTCTTTTTTTCACATCAAATTTTACACGTACTCGTCTCATGCAAAATTTCAGATAAGCATATACTGATACTAAACCATTCAAACACCATGTACCACAGTCTCATAGAAGTACCGCAATACAAAAAAAAAAGTGCAGTACATCTTCATCTTTGGTATCACAAAATATACAAGCTTATGAAGAAATTGTCAATCTACGTTTGGTTAAATTTCTCTGCACCATAATTGCGTTAAGCAATAGATGCCACGCGAATACCATTACTTTCCTTAGCACGCTAACCTTCCAAACTTTGTGTAATGTTTGCACTAGATACAACTCCAAGTTGTTATAAAAAATAAAGTAATTATGAATGTAGTAATAAATAGATTAAATATTATAGTATTTATTAACATTACATTTTTACATCAACATGTCATTCACATTTTTCTTCTATCTCTTACTTTCCATAGTATTCTATAACTGTTGTTGTAAATTCTCCTTTCATGCAAATAATTGCCTTCTCTAAAAAATTTCTCATACTCATTGACTCATCTCAAATTGTCCATTATCCACCACCCGCACCTTCTTATTAGTCGCTACTAAAAATAACATTAGATATAATGAAAACTACAATAATAAATACTTTGAAAATACTGATAATTGTACAATAACATAATAATAATTGTGAAATTATTATATAATATAACTAGTAGTTTATGATCGACAAGTAAAACTAGAACTACAATAAATAAGAAGTAAGAAAATAAAACAACAATTCACTAAAACACAAAGGATGATGATAATAAAAACAAAAATAAACAATTTTAATAAAATATAATAGCAACAATAATAATGATAATGTTATCGGTCATTTTAGTAATGATGATAAAAGGTTAAATAATATTTTATGGTTAATAATTTTATTTAATTTTAAAATTTAAGTTAAAAATATTTTTAAATTGAACTACATTCTAATTAATTATTTTGTTTTGAAATTTTGTATTTAAAATTAAAAACTTACAAACACTCGTCTTTAACTTTTTTTATTTCTTTTGTATTAACCTATCAATTAAGTTTTTAAAACACTAAAGCTATATTTGGGAGTTAGGTTTAAGAGGGGAAGGAAGGGATTAGAAGGGGTTTAATTTTGTTTGAGAGTTGCTTAATTAGGAGGAGAAAGTTTTGAGTGATTTTCTAAACCCTCCAAAACTCTTCAAAAGCTTATTTTTTGAGTTCTCCTTTTTTAAGAGTTTTTTCTCTTCCACTCTTTCATATTATTTTACAAATATAATTCTTTTAAAATTTTTAAAAACTACAAATTTTAATTTTAAAATTATTTATATAATTAAACCCCTCTATCACCCTTCCTTCTCAATATTAAACATCCAAATAAAAGAAGAGTTTAACTTCTTTCTCCCTCCCTTCCTTTTCCCTCCTTCTCTCTTCAAACCCTTCCCTTTTCTCCCCCTCCAAACTTCCAAATAAAGCCTAAAGTTATGTTTGAGAGTCAAATTTAGGAGGAGAGGGGCAGAAAAGGGAAGGAATGAGTTAAGAGGGGTTAACACTTGTTTATGAGTTGCTTAATTAGGAGGTGAAGGTTGTGAGGGTCATAACACTAGCTTTTTGAGCTCCCCAATCTAGCAATTTTTTAGGAGTTTTTTCTTTCTTACTCTCTCATGCTATTTCATAATTTTTTAAGTGAGAATTTTTTTTAAAAAATTATAAAAAATAAAAATATTAATTTTAAAATTAATTTTTTGAGAAAAATATTTATTTTTTATTTTTATAAAAAAGTATAAGTAAAAGATATAAAATATAATAATATCATTTATATAATTAAACCCTTCATCACTCTGTCTCTCAATATTATTATTAAACATCTAAACAAAAGAAGAGTTTAACCTCTTTCTGTCTCCTTCCCCTTCTCCTCCAAACTTTCAAACTAAGTCTAAATGTCCAATTTAAATTTTTTGACAAGTGTGTCTGATAAGGTTTAGGGTTTATATTTACTGTAAAGTTTCATCGAGAGAATAAATTTAAAAAAAAATTGTGGTAAGGTGAATTTATAATTATATTTATTTTAAATTTAGTGTAATTAATTTTGAATTTTTTAATATAAGTAAGATAGATGTTTAAGTTAACCTCAATTGTAAGTTAAGATAGATGTTTAATGTAGAACTTTTCATAACTCCTGTTGAGTATTATATAAGAAAAGTTGATAATTTAGATGAACTTTTATTTAAAAAATTAACTTTTTCGTTCATACTTATAAAATGACATATTTATGAAATTATAATATTTAATCATTTGTTTTAATATTTAAATTTAAAAAATATGTCTTATAATTTTTTTAGGGTCATATATTTTTATTTTAACGTGTCTATAAGCATATTATTTTAGATTAATTCATTTATTTTATATAGTTTTAAGTTCATGATTTGAAAATGTAAAATAACTCTCGTATTTTTATTAAAATTTGTTCTTTAAATCTCACCAAGTTGAATATATTCTTCATTTAAAGCAAATAAAAATAGATCAATTCTTCATATACAAGTAAAAGAATTGTTAAAAATTTATTTCACGTACAAAATTTTAAGTCATTACTATTCATGCAAAATTTATTAGATATTTTATCCAAAATAAGTTCATACAAAAAGTTTGTGACATTTTTTGAATAATCACAATTAAATGAAGGAAATATTTTAACTCTAATTCTTAACCAAATCCATATGAATTATTTAATAATAAGTACACTTTTTTCCTATTCTATATTCTTTCCAACAAAATATTTGGTTAGAAATTAGTAATTTTATTCTAAATTTTTAAATATTTAACATGTAAAAGATTATGTATAAATAATTAAAATACTTTTTTCTCCGA